AAGAGGTCTACCTGGAACCAAATAGGATCTACATGGAACCAAAAAGGGTTATCCAATGGGGACAGCCACAGAACCCTTTTGGAAATATTTGTGTACTGTGTAGGCCTACATTTGACACAAATTTTACCTACAGTGTTTTGCTTTGTTTTGTTTACATTTTAGTCATTTAGCAGACGCTCTTATCCAGAGCGACTTTACAGTTAGTGCATAATTTTTTTTTTTCTTCTCATACTTTCATCTTGATGCTTACAATAGCTCTTATAATGGGATGGAGACTTATATTCATGAAGACATTCAATTTGGTTATTCCGATTTAGTTGTGTTCAAAACCAATTGATTGTCAGGGTGCTTCTCTCGGGTCAGCGTCAACTCAATTTGGCTACCAAGGACACAAAGAAATACTTTTTCTCATACTGTTAAGTCCTTTTTAGCTTGGATGAGAGACAATTCAATTAGTTAAGAATGTCTGGTTAATTTAATTAGAGTGATTTGGCCTGTGGGAAAGCATCAAACACTATCTTTTGAGTGTGAGGAAAGGTTGATTCTATCAGACAGGCCACATATTGTCTGCTTTAGTAACTGATACAGTGGCTAAGTAGGGGGCCAAAATAAGCTTAGACATCAGGTAAGGTAAGGCTGATCTATGAAACTCACTCCATGTCTGAATCAGCATGACTCAGTGGATACAACTTAGGTGTATCAGGTAAACAGATCCCACACAAAGCTCCCCTTTTCCCTGTCCTCACAGACCTTAGTGGTGTCATTGACTTTTGCTGTGTCTGAGCTGAGGTAATAGATATTACTTTGCAGGTCCCAAGTGACCCTAACATACACCATTGAACAACTACTACATTTGTCTTATTGTCCAGTATGAAAGTTCATAGTATCCAAAACTCTCAGTGTACAATAGCACACACATGTTTAACAACACAAGTTTTGCTGTGCCCGTAAGTTTACCAAAGGGCTTTACTTGTCTATAGAATATTTTTTATGCAACCTCAGCAAAGTATATAGATGCCATTCTCCCTTTCTTACTGAACACTTAAATGTATATATAGGTAATAATAGAGGCTTTGATACATGAAGACTTGGATAATGAGTGGGTGTTGCAGAGGCAGCAAAGAGAGAGAAAGTCACTGTAATTACATAAGCTTTTTCCCCCTTAGGACGTTAGATCATAGTTAGATCATAGTGATTTGAGCTGTACTATACACCCAACTACTCCTTAAGCGTCTAACATTTGAAATGCCCAAGACTGTGGTCAAGGTCAGGGCTTAGCTAAGATATTCAATTTTCTTTATTTCTCCCTTCTTTCCTTCCTCTCTGCCCTTAAGGTTTTTATCCTCCTCCATAGGCAACAATAAAGTGCAGTTTTGGGATGTGTTTAGCTGTCAATGGCCATATCGTCTTGTAGGATTCAACCATTAAAAACCGATAGTGTGTCTGTGAACTGTCTGCTGTCTTGTCTAGACTGTGAAACATGCCATCTCTATACGATTCTTCCATGTTAGTGAGATATTTCACCAGGTCTCCACTGTGTGTTGTAATGAAGTGGAGCTATAGCCCTGGAGACTATCAATAGGAGGTTGTGAAATTGACTATTTTGTCTATACAACAATACAGGGTTTATAGTGAATCTCCTGACCTCGCCAGGTTCATGCAATCTCTCAGTGACGGGACATTGACACATTCTTTTCTCTCTCCTCAGGTAGAGCCATTCAGCCAAAGCCTGTGCTGTGTGGGTGTACTGTGCACTATGTTTATTGGACCATGTGGGCCTATGCACCAAACCACAAATCACTGAGAAAAGGAGCAGACAAAAACAATAGTGCTGTCAGAGTCAGCTGGGAAAGTCTGCATGTTTTAGTCATTAAGTTGAGAAATAGCTAAGGAGTAGCCGAGGAGGACTGCCACTGAAACTTTGTCATCTCCTGCTTGCTGTTCAAACACGTTCTCTAGAGTCCTGTTTATACCTGGTTCTAACATGCGTCCTTTGTCTTGATCTTGTCCACATTCTGATTGTGTCCACATTTTTAGACAGGTGAAGACAATTAAAATACTAATTGTGATCTGATTGTAATCAGATCTTCCTGCCCACCTCTGGAGGTAGTCAGGGACTCATTGTATCTGGATCAATCAAGTGTAAACAGATATGGATGGTCAAACCATTTAAATCATCATTATACCGGTCTCTAAAATCATTGACAGGTAGCACCATTGACTTATGGAATCAGTAATTGCCTTAGAATAAATAAATAAATATTATTTTGACATAATATCTGTCAAATAATCTGCATACAGGGAAACCTGGCATCGAAAATAAGATCTGGTGCAACCAATTACCTTCAGAAGTCACATAATTAGTTAAATAAAGTCCACCTGTGTGCAATCTAAGTGTCACATGATCTCAGTATATATACCCCTATTCTGAAAGGCCCCAGAGTCTGCAACACCACTAAGCAAGGGGCACCACCAAGCAAGCGGCACCATGAAGACCAAGGAGCTCTCCAAACAGGTCAGGGACAAAGTTGTGGAGAAGTACAGATCAGGGTTGGGTTATAAAAAAATATCAGAAACTTTGAACATCCCACGGAGCACCATTAAATCCATTATTAAAAAATGGAAAGAATATGGCATCACAACAAACCTACCAAGAGAGGGCCGCCCACCAAAACTCATGGACCAGGCAATGAGGGCATTAATCAGAGAGGCAACAAAGAGACCAAAGATAACCCTGAAGGAGCTGCAAAGCTCCACAGTGAAGATTGGAGTATCTGTCCATAGGACCACTTTAAGCCATACACTCCACAGAGCTGGGCTTTACGGAAGAGTGGCCAGAAAAAAGCCATTGCTTAAAGAAAAAAATAAGCAAACACGTTTGGTGTTTGCCAAAATGCATGTGGGAGACTCCCCAAACATATGGAAGAATGTACTCTGGTCAGATGAGACTAAAATATAGCTTTTTGGCCATAAAGGAAAACGCTATGTCTGGCGCAAACCCAACACCTCTCATCACTCTGAGAACACCATCCCCACAGTGAAGCATGGTGGTGGCAGCATCATGCTGTGGGGATGTTTTTCATTGGCAGGGGCTGGGAAACTGGTCAGAATTAAAGGAGTGATGGATGGCGCTAAATACAGGGAAATTCTTGAGGGAAACCTGTTTCAGTCTTCCAGAGATTTGAGACTGGGACGGAGGTTCACCTTCCAGCAGAACAATGACCCTAAGCATACTGCTAAAGCAATACTTGAGTGGTTTAAGGGGAAACATTTACATGTCTTGGAATGGCCTAGTCAAAGCCCAGACCTCAATCCAATTGAGAATCTGTGGTATGACTTAAAGATTGCTGTACACCAGTGGAACCCACCCAACTTGAAGGAGCTGGAGCAGTTTTGCCTTGAAGAATGGGCAAAAATCCCAGTGGCTAGATGTGCCAACCTTATAGAGACATACCCCAAGAGACTTGCAGCTGTAATTGCTGCAAAAGGTGGCTCTACAAACTATTGACTTTGGGGGTGAATAGTTATGCATGCTCAAGTAAAAAAATATATTTTGCATCTTCAAAGTGGTAGGCATGTTGTGTATATCAAATGATACAAACCCCCCCAAAATCTATTTTAATTCCAGGTTGTAAGGCAACAAAATAGGAAAAATGCCAAGGGGGGTGAATACATTTGCAAGCCACTGTAAGGTTAGGCAACATTATGCTTCCCAGGTAACACTAACAAAATGTACTGTTCTTTTTAGTGAATGAGATTGTTTGATATACACATAACAATTATGAATAAAAATACATATTTGGTCCGTTAAGATGAATACATACTTTATTTTCCTCTTAGTTGTATTTATTTCACACGATCAGTTTGAAACAGTGTATCAAACCACTGAAATCTGTATACATGATTGCATGAACCTATAAGACACTGTACACAGAAATGTATATTGTAATTGGTATCACACTGGGCTGAACTACACTCCAATGTATTTTGTAACAAGATACTTTCAAGAGCTGTGATTTGTATTTTCATTTTTTATAGCGGTTCACCATTTTGTGGCTCCCTTTCACCTTGCATTGGTATCAGAAGTCTGATAGCACAATGGTGTGATAAGAGCGTCTACTAAATGAATTAAATATAAATGTGTACGTAAAAATGAGCTCATAGCAAGTTTAGGAGAACTTACGCAGCAGGTTAGGAGAATTCACGTAGCAGGTTAGAAGAATTAGGTTAAGCTGTATCCCATCTAGACATGACCCCTAAACAAGGCCAATAATAATACCCAGTGTGCTTTGTACTTCATTTTGGTATGTTCATTTTCACATATACAGTCAGTGCATTCAACTAAGGTAGATAAACAACAACATATCACAGTCATAGCAAGTAAAATGTTTCTGTAACCGTTACTAAGAATGTTGTTGCTGTTCGGGCCGGCTACTTGCAAAAGTATTTCTGTATTTTAAAATACAAAACAAATGTATTTTAATTAAATACATTTCAAAATACAAGTATTTTGTTGTTTATTTTGATACATTGATCTTTATGGTATTTTGTAATTGTATTCTGTAATTGTATTCTGTAATTGTATTTTGTACTTGTATCCATCTCTGACTTTACATGCAAGCAGCCCAGACATGACCTTTGACATTTTGGCCATTTCAGAGTGTGCAGGAGCAAACACCAATACACTATAAACTATATTACATCTCATAAATATACAACTTTTGATCAAGATAATATTACAATAATTCAATAAAAAGTATTGAATTACATATTATATTACTGTTATAACAAAGGAGAAACATGTTTGCATTTTCCAGCCCCAATGATTAAAGTTTAGAAAAGTGTGTACAGAGGGATCTCAAGTTATACAGTCATACAGTATTCAAAGTTCAAGTGGCATCAGAAGTACAATGCACCATGTTTCACCGGTGAGTACGAGCAAAATCAAAACAAGTTCATCTAATACTAAGATTAGCAAAAAGAGAAGATGGTATACAATGTTTGGTCACAGAGTTCACAAGCTATTTTGTGCAAATGAACAGTTGATCAAAAACCTTAAACCCCAAATGGATTTTAAGCAACTGTGGGTCTTGAGATATAAACAGACCAACAAATATGAGGCAGAAGCTACTTCTGAGAGTGAGAAGTTGAGAACATGTTCATTTGATAGAGATAATACTTGGGCATTTTAAATGGAACTGGACATACTCTGCATAACACATTACAGCATTAAAAGTACAGTAGTGCTACTTTAACCCTTCATCACTCTTCTCTCCAGTTAAACCCCTCCACCCACCCATCCACCCATCCATCCATCCATCCATCCATCCATGCATCCATCCATTCTCTCTTTCCACAGGGTGATTCAAGTGTCCTTTGTAATGGAAGCTACGTGGCTTTTCTCCCAACACCCAAACACGACCAGTCACGTTCTCGCCAGAGGCCCCTGGCACATGAGGGGCCCTCTTTCTGCGTTCTTCATGGCCTGGCCCGGGGCCCCTCGGGGTCCTCACACCCCAGTAGTGTTGGCCCAGGTAGGGAATGTATCTAGGTGGAACATGGCCCTGCCCCAGCTGTTGATGGCCAGAGTGATGCACAGGATGCCGATGATGTTCATTACTATACCTGTCCTAGCCTGGGAGAGAGAGAGGTGCAATGAATTTCAAGTTCTGTTTGCAATCATTCATACTGGAAAGGCAATCAAATGATGTGGCCTAGGACAATTGTCCTCAAATTATTAGTAAATGACACATTAAGAATTTTCCTAAATTGATTTAGGATTTTTTTGCTATTATTGATTTTTGTTAATGAATAATAAGATTGACAATGCAGTAGATCATATTCTCTTTATTGAATGATGTACTTTAACTCACCATGTCAGAAACCTTGAGGTAGCCATATGAGAAGACGATAGCATTGGGCGGTGTGGCCACAGGTAACATGAAGGCAAAGGAGGCGCTGAGAGTACAAGGCACCATGACGTACAGAGGATTCATTCCAATGGACTGGGACTGAAATAAACACACAGACACACATCTTCAGCTGTCTGCGCCTGGGCTGAGGAGGACACTCCTAGATTGAGTCCCAAATGGCACCCTTTTCCCTACATAGTGCACTACTTTTGACCAGAGGCCATGCACCCTAGTCAAAAGTAGTGCACTATATACAGAATAGGGTGCCATTTGGGACACATCCCTAATGACAACACTCTAGTCTGTGGTGCTGCTTTTCTGCACCGTAATCACTTGCTCATAACTATCTGATTTTAGTGTTTGTAATTCTAGGGTTCAAAATCGTCCATTAGGCGTGTGTAATTAAGATGTAGTTCTTATGCATGCTAAGTTGTTTGGGGTCTGAGTCATGGCAGGCAGGCAAAATGGAAACGCACCACAGATGTCTCCAGAAAGGTGTAGAACCACAGTGTAATAGCAAAACATAGATTAGAATGGAAGCCTCTGTAGTTTGAAAATTAATAATGGCTGAGATTAATACTGGCTGAGATTATTTTTCATGTCATAATTCTCATTCCTCTGGCAGGCTTTTCCTCAACGGATATAATGGATATTATATCATTTAGTTGGATTCATTTTTGTAGCAGTTTGGAAAGACAATACAGACATAAAACAAGCAGCTAGACACAAAAGCACACATCCTAGCAGCGTCTCTTTCCCAGACTTCCCTGTAAGTAGTAGTTGGTTCACTAACCCCATTTTTCTTCCTATCCTTCTCGCTCTTTCACTCACCCTTTTCTAAACTTATGTCATTTTCATGCACTCCTGTTGGCTTTGACCTCAATAAATCCCTCTCTCTATACCCCAGCTTGGAACATTCTGGCATGGCCCAGCTTGGATCCTCGCTGAGTGCTTGGGCACTGGGCACAGTGATACCATTCATCAGTGTGGATGGGGGTGGGCACCAGGACAAGCCACGGAGCTCAATTGGTGTGTTTGGCAGGGTGGCTATAGAAGGAGGGGCCCAGGGAAGGGGACCAAATGTATTCATCCCAAATGACTAACAACTACAGGCCAGGGCAACCAAACAAGGACATGTAGGCCGGCTTCCACTGGGAGTAGTTTCAGTGCTACACTCCTATAGGGGAGATTTCTGAATGAGCTTACACTGGTAAATACTGTACTTCACAACAAGGAGCTACAGTGTTCAGCCCATTGCAAGTAGTCTACTACTACTGCTGCATGTACTGTACGTGTCTGCGTGTCAGAGCAGTTTACCAGACTGGATAGCTATTGTATTCCTGCTTCCAGTTGTGTAATACTGTAATATTGTGTTGTAGTGTAGCATTGTATAGTATTGTAGTATTGTGTAGTATTGTGTAGTATTGTAATATTGTGTAGTATTGTAGTATTGTGTAGGATTGCAGTATTGTGTAGTATTGTGCAGTAGTGTAGTATTATGAAGTATTGTGTAGTATTGTGTAGTGGTGTAGTATTGTGTAGTATTGTGTAGTAGGGCCTAGTATTGTGTTATTAATACATAGCGGCGTGTTGAGTCTTACCATTGAGGCGAGGACAGGTAGGAAGAGAGTGGCCGTGGCCACGTTACTGGTGCACTCTGTGAAGATGGCGATCAGCAGACACAGGATGATAGCGATGGCCCAGGGTGGGATGGTGTGGAGGGGAGTCATCTGGTCCCCCATCCACTTAGACAGACCTGACTCCTGCAGGGGCACATACATAACCATAACCATACAATCAGTCTCAAACAACCATGGCACTCTTCATATGGTGTCGGATACATTACCAGACCCACATACATCTATATATGTACAAGTACTGTAACTACCAAAATAAAGGAAACACTTGCTTAGGGTCATGTAAAAAAATGCACAGTTGCCCGTTATTTTGGCTACCATGGCTAGAAGAAGAGATCTCAGTGACTTTGAAAGAGGGGTTTCAAAGGAGCATAGGGGGTTTAAAGTGTGTGCGTGTGTGTGTGTGTGTGTGTGTGTGTGTGTGTATGTGTGTGTGTGTGTGTGTGTGTATTTGTGTTTGTGTGTGTCTCAGTCACCAGATCTCAACCCACATATGGGAGATTCTGGAGTGGCGCCAGAGACAGCGTTTTCCATCACCATCAACAAAACACCAAAATATGAAATTTCTCGTGGAAGAATGGTGTCTCATCCCTCCAATAGAGTTCCAGACACTTGTAGAAACTATGCCAAGACGCTTTGTGCTCGTTGTGGCCTAACGCCCTATTAATACACTTTATGTTGGTGTTTCGTTTCCTTTATTTTGGCAGTTACCTGTACATACTGTGTACGGTATGCAAAGACAGAAAGGTGGATTTTAGTGTACTTTAGTGGCTAAGTAAGCAGCTGATATGTTACATGTGTCATCCCACATTATATGCCATATGTTTCATTGTACTTGGGAAGTGAACAGGGTAGAGCTATGTTGACTAAGCAAAAATGTCACTTTGTCACAAAGATCCCGATGAAATGTGGGATGATTCAATTCTCAGTGGGGATCTGACTTTTTTGGTTAAAAAGTTTCTGTGGAAAGCAACCAAAGATTACACCATACATATATATAATCTTAATTTGAGCCAGTTTGCTACAGCAAGAAAATAATCCTGTAGCAACAGGAAATGAATTATTATGTGATTTATAATGAACTAACATTTTTATAGGGGTTGACAAATTTTTCGTACAAACTTCAGAAGCCTTTTGTAAACCTCAAATACACTACACGTTTTACATTTCCTGCATGTCAGGAAAGTTATCCTGCAACAGGGTGATCCTACATCTGTACATGTATGTACATACTGGCCCTGTCTCTCACCTCACTGCCTTTGGCCAGGGCGAACCCTCCCCCCAAGAGGAGAACGATGCTCCAGGGTAACTTCTTCTGGGCCACCTTCCAAGTAAGCAGAGCTGGTGTGGAGCCAGCCGGGTGCTGGTGCTCTGTAGAGGGGTTAACAAATCACTGTTACAGACATGCCATTGTAATGGTCTTCAAGTCTTCATATCCTTAGATACTAAAGTAGCATACTCAAGATCAGGTACCGTGATTGTTACATTTTATGTGTGGTTTAAAAACATGGTTTACCAGTGTCAAAGCTTTGGGACCTCCTGCAGCAGAAGCGTGGGGCCTTGGAAGGCAGGACAAAGAGAAGGACAGCGATGAACACTGCCACTGTGGCATCAGTTACATACCTGGAGGGAAGAACGGATAAAGATAGCGTGACTATCTGTCAGCATTCAGACACACAATTCATGTTTTCTTGCTTATTTATTCTTGTGAAGTATTGAAGTATGTGGGAAGTGAGATACACTACATGACCAAAAGTATGTGAACACCTGCTCGTCGAACATCTCATTCCACAATCATGGGCATTAATATGGATTTGGTCCCCCCTTTGCTGCTATAACAGCCTCCACTCTTCTGGGAAGGATTTCCACTAGATGTTGGAACATTGCTGCAGGGACTTGCTTCCATTCAGCCACAAGAGCATTAGTGAGGTCGGGCACTGATGTTGGGTGATTAGGCCTGGCTCACAATCCGCATTCCAATTCATCCCAAAGGTGTTCAATGGGGTTGAGGTCAGGGCTCTGTGCAGGCCAGTCAAGTTCTTCCACACCAATCTCGACAAACTATTTCTGTATGGACCTCGCTTTGTGCACGGAGGCATTGTCATGCTGAAACAGGAAAGGGCCTTCCCCAAACTGTTTGCCACAAAGTTGGAAGCACAGAATTGTCTAGATTGTCATTATACGCTGTAGCGTTAAGATTTCCCTTCACTGGAACTAAGGGGCCTAGCCTGAACCGTGGAAAACAGCCCCAGACCATTATTCCACCTCCACCAAATTTTACAGTTGCCACTATGCATTGGGACAGGTAGCGTTCTCCTGGCATCTGCCAAATCCAGATTAATCCGTAGGACTGCCAGATGGTGAAGCGTGATTAATCACTCCAGAGAACGCGTTTCCACTGCTCCAGAGTCCAATGGCGGCGAGCTTTACACCACTCCAGCCGACGCTTGTCATTGCACATGGTGATCTTAGGCTTGTGTGCGGCTGCTCGGCCATGGAAACCCATTTCATGAAGCTCCCGATGAACAGTTCTTATGCTGACGTTGCTTCCAGAGGCAGTTTGGAACTCGGTAGTGAGTGTCCCGTTCTGTGAGCTTGTGTGGCCTACCACTTCGCGGCTGAGCCGTTGTTGCTCCTAGACGTTTCCACTTCACAATAACAGCATTGACAAATAACAGGACTTACAGTTGACCGGGGCAGCTCTAGCAGGGCAGAAATTTGACAAACTGACTTGTTGGAAAGGTGGCATCCTATGACAGTGCCACGTTGAAAGTCACTGAGCTCTTCAGTAAGGCCATTCTACTGCCAATGTTTGTATATGGAGATTGCATGGCTGTGTGCTCAATTCTATACACCTGTAAATAGCCAAATCCACTAATTTGAACAGGTGTCCACATACGTTTGTATATATAGTGTATAATTTGTCAATCTAATGTTTTTGTAACGGTCTCAAGTCTTTTTTTGTATTGATTAGGGCTGCGTCTCAAATGGCACCATATTCCCTTTATGGCTCACTACTTTTGACCAGAGCAATATGGGCCCTGGTCAAAAGTAGTGAACTATAAAGGGAATAGAATGCCATTTGAAAAGTATACCAGGCCTGTGTAATATGCTGTGTATGTACTGTGTAGTATTTATGAAGAGTAAAGGGCCGTACTCTGCGTCAGCGTTGAAGATGTATGTGGCCCAGCCTGCCACGAAGCCAGGATCTCTGGTGAACCACAGAACCACCAGACAACTGAACAGACCCAGCACACTCAGCTCTCCAAAAGACATTGAGCCCAGCTGACGATGCTGCTCCTTGATCACATTATATACAGCTATCTCTTTCTCTGTCTTCGCTGACCCACAGCCCCACGTCTTCTTAAAACTGGGAATGGAGGGAGAGAAAGGGGTTTAGGCTTATAGGGTGATTCAGCAGTAAATCGAATTCAGTAGAGTGATGAATGAGGATGATCTCTGACTGAAAGATAAAACATCATCTTATGATCTGAAACTCACTTGAATCCCATGAAGACAAACTGCAGCCAGAGCCAAGCCAGGGTCAGCATCAGGATCATGTTGGGGAAAGCAAAGCCGAACCAGGACGCAAAATTGATGACATCTCCATTGTCAGGAAACAGCCTGAGGGAAAGATAAAATATTATTAACATTAACGCATAAAGAAAAATATGATTTGAAAGATACATGATTTGAAAGTACTGAAATACACTGAGGACCATGGGCGGTGTGTTCAATAGGGCGATATGGGCGACGCACTGCCAAACGGGAAAAGGAAGGGATTTTTTTTCTAATCAATTATATCATGGCAACAGTAGTTCAGTGTTCACGTCTGATCTGCCAGCCACTAAATGTCCAATCAGGCTAAAGTCGTGCTTCAAATGTCCCCGCCCGTTTTGGGGCGATTTCAGTCAGGTTGAAAATCGCCCAGAAGTCTCTCATAGCCTCTAATGTAAAATATTTTTTTTTCAAATTTCTGAGCTTTCAATACATTCTCTATGGGTGTCTGAGGGCTTGCACTTACGCGCTTTCGTCATACGTAACGTAACGTAACCATGAACGGCAGACAGCAACGCTTGGACAGCGACTGGTGTAACCGACATGCACCATCTTTCAGAAAAGATTAAGAAAAATGAGCTGTCAAAGACCCACATTGATAGCTGTTTGAGATTGTCTGCTTTGGTGAGAGTGAATATTGCCACTCAACTGGATGAGGGATACAGGCTAGCTGTCCGCCGCCACAACGATGAGGTTAGCAACAGCAGAGTCGTGAACACTGTCTACGAGAATCGAGACGACCTCATAGAATGTTTTGAAGCCATCCGGACGGGTTCATTGGGTTCATTTGACCAGCCCACCGTACCAGAAGCTACAGAATAAGGACATCGATGCTGTCTTTATCAAACGTGCCCTCGACAGCTTCGCAAGCAGTGTGCAGGCCATAAGGTAAGATAAAGATTAAACAATATCATTCGATCTTTCTCAAAGCAGAGCTTTATTTGAAAATGTATGCATGAAAGGAGACTGCATTTGTGTTTGAAATTACATTATTGTCATTATATATGGCCAGTGGTGTAATCTATCTTATTTTATATACTATGTGTACTGTACAGTGGTGCTCATAAGTGTATGAACACATTCTAAAGCTGACTAAAAAGAGGAATAAAAAAATAAGAAAATCTGTTCATGTTCATTTTTACAAATCTATACAATTGGCCAGAATATGGTTGTTCATATTTACAAATCTATACAATTGGCCAGAATATGGTTGTTCATTTTTACAAAGCCATACATATTGTTTATGCAGTGTTGAGGAATGTGAAAGAACACCCTTGATTATTTTTACTGTGATAACTTATTTTGCTTTTGTAAGCCAACACTTTTGAGATCAGTCAATAAATGCTTCTGGTATTGACTTATATGCTGCCCCTGTCTTCATGTTGTTGCTGGACATATCTTTTTAAAAATGTGTGTAGGTCACCTAAATCATCAGAAAAATTGCCCCTCCTGAGAATTTTTTCAGGAGCCGCCACTGCTGAGGACACAATCCATAGCTGAAAGTACTGAAATACACTGAGGACACAATCCATAGCTGAAAGTACTGAAATACACTGAGGACACAATCCATAGCTGAAAGTACTGAAATACACTGAGGACACAATCCATAGCTGAAAGTACTGAAATACACTGAGGACACAATCCATAGCTGAAAGTACTGAAATACACTGAGGACACAATCCATAGCTGAAAGTACTGAAATACACTGAGGACACAATCCATAGCTGAAAGTACCCACTGGTTCATCTGTCCCTTGAGCACCAGGTTGGGTCCAGTCCCTGTGAGGGTGGCAGTGCCCCCGATGCTGGCAGCGTAGCAGACACACAGCGTCATGCCCTTACACATCTTCTTCTTGTCTGCAGCCTCCTTACGCTGGATAGCCTCCATAAACGGGTCTAAACAGGTCACCACAACTGGACAAACACAGTCCAAATAGGAACGTTAACATAGCCCAAATAGTCTCAAAGCAAACATTTGCAATGCACACTGCTCATACATATGCTCCCTAATAAGCTTACATGGTCCCCGAGCTCATTCAATGGATAATAACCCCTTTCATTAAACGCACAAATGAACTGTTCATTAATTTGTCCTTCTCTGCTCAGTGCTCACCATGTCCCTCTGCCTGTTTCTCTGTTTGTTTGCTGTCAGTGGTGTCCTGAAGCTGGGTACCCTCCTCAGTACTGAGGATCACAGGCATCTCAGTCTCTTTGTAGTTGTTGAGCTGCTCCAGAACAGCCTGGACGATGGGTACCATCATGGCTGTGGTGGCTGTGTTACTGATCCACATGGACAGGAAGGCTGTCACCCCCATGAAGCCCAGCATCAGACTGGAAAGAGAGGAAATCATAGAATGACAGAGAATCATAGCAATTATAGGATCTCCATGGAGGAAACACAGGCCTCAGCAAAGAAATGTGGAATAAGAATATTCTGTAACACTTTACTTAAAGCATAGCATACAGGTTTAATGCTTTATAACTTGTTATAAGCATGTATGAGCTTTAAGAAGGTCTTATAACAAGGCTTATAAAATGTTATATTCATCTATGCATAAAATTGGCAAAGTGTCTCAATGGGCTTTACTGAGATGGATCAGACCAAGTAAAAGGCAGAATACCCTCTGACACAGAGAGAGTGAAATGTTAGGTAATGTGTCCACATCATGTACAGTTGAAGTCGGAAGTTTACATACACTTAGGTTGGAGTCATTAAAACTCGTTTTTCAACCACTCCACAAATGTATTGTTTACAAACTATAGTTTTGTCAAGTCGGTTAGGACATCTACTTCGTGCATGACACAAGTAATTCTTCCAACAATTGTTTACAGACAGATTATTTCACTTATAATTCACTGTATCACAATTCCAGTGGGTCAGTAGTTTACATACACTAAGTTGACTGTGCCTTTAAACAGCTTGGAAAATTCCAGAAAATGGTGTCATGGCTTTAGAAGCTTCTGATAGGCTAATTGACATCATTTGAGTCAATTGGAGGTGTACCTGTGGATGTATTTCAAGGCCTAACTTCAAACTCAGTGCCTCTTTGCTTGACATCATGGGAAAATGAAAACAAATCAGTCAAGAAAAAAAATTGTAGACCTCCACAAGTCTGGTTCATCCTTGGGAGCAATTTCCAAACACCTGAAGGTATCACGTTCATCTGTACAAACAATAGTACGCAAGTATAAACACCATGGGACCACGTAGCCGTCATACCGCTCAGGAAGGAGAGTTCTGTCTCGTAGAGATGAACATACTTTGGTGCGAAAAGTGCAAATCAATCCCAGAACAACAACAAAGGACCTTGTAAAGATGCTGGAGGAAACAGGTACAAAAGTATCTATATCCACAGTAAAATGAGTCCTATATCGACATAACCTGAAAGGCCGCTCAGCAAGGAAGAAGCCACTGCTCCAAAACCGCCATAAAAAAGCCAGACTACTGTTTGCAACTGCACATGGGGACAAAGATCGTACTTTTTGGAGAAATGTCCTCTGGTCTGATGAAACAAAAATAGAACTGTTTGGCCATAATGACCATCGTTATGTTTGGAGGACAAAGGGGGACTTGCAAGCCGAAGAACACCATCCCAACCGTAAAGCACGGGGGTGGCAGCATCATGCTGTGGGGGTGCATTGCTGCAGGAGGGACTGGTGCACTTCACAAAATAGATGGCATCATGAGGAAGGAAAATTATTTGGATATATTGAAGCAACATCTCAAGACATCAGTCAGGAAGTTAAAGCTTGGGTCTTCCAAATGGACAATGACCCCAAGCATACTTCCAAAGTTGTGGCAAAATGGCTTAAGGACAACAAAGTCAAGGTATTGGAGTGGCCATCACAATCCTATAGAACATTTGTGGGCAAAGCATGTGCGAGCAAGGAGGCCTACAAACCTGACTCAGTTACACCAGCTCTGTCAGGAGGAATGGGCCAAAATTCACCCAACTTATTGTGGGAAGCTTGTGGAAGGCTACCCGAAACGTTTGACCCAAGTTAAACAATTTAAAGGCAATGCTACCATATACTAATTGAGTGTATGTAAACTTCTGACCCACTGGGAATGTGATGAAAGAAATAAAAGCTTAAATAAATCCTTCTCTCTACTATTATTCTGACATTTCACATTCTTAAAATAAAGTGGTGATCCTAACTGACAGGGATTTTTACTAGGATTTAATGTCAGGAGTTGTGAAAAACTGAGTTTAAATGTATTTGGCTAAGGTTTATGTCAACTTCCGACTTCAACTGTATAATGGCAAGGTCAATACAATATAATATACAGTGGGGAAAAAAAGTATTTAGTCAGCCACCAATTGTGCAAGTTCTCCCACTTAAAAAGATGAGAGAGGCCTGTAATTTTCATCATAGGTACACGTCAACTATGACAGACAAATTGAGAAAAGAAAATCCAGAAAATCACATTGTAGGATTTTTAATGAATTTATTTGCAAATTATGGTGGAAAATAAGTATTTGGTCACCTACAAACAAGCATGATTTCTGGCTCTCACAGACCTGTAACTTCTTCTTTAAGAGGCTCCTCTGTCCTCCACTCGTTACCTGTATTAATGGCACCTGTTTGAACTTGTTATCAGTATAAAAGACACCTGTCCACAACCTCAAACAGTCACACTCCAAACTCCACTATGGCCAAGACCAAAGAGCTGTCAAAGGACACCAGAAACAAAATTGTAGACCTGCACCAGGCTGGGAAGACTGAATCTGCAATAGGTAAGCAGCTTGGTTTGAAGAAATCAACTGTGGGAGCAATTATTAGGAAATGGAAGACATACAAGACCACTGATAATCTCCCTCGATCTGGGGCACCACGCAAGATCTCACCCCGTGGGGTCAAAATGATCACAAGAACGGTGAGCAAAAATCCCAGAACCACACGGGGGGACCTAGTGAATGACCTGCAGGGAGCTGGGACCAAAGAAACAAAGCCTAACATCAGTAACACACTACGCCGCCAGGGATTCAAATCCTGCAGTGCCAGATGTGTCCCCCTGCTTAAGCCAGTTCATGTCCAGGCCCGTCTGAAGTTTGCTAGAGTGCATTTGGATGATCCAGAAGAGGATTGGGAGAATGTCATATGGTCAGATGAAACCAAAATAGAACTTTTTGGTAAAAACTCAACTCGTCGTGTTTGGAGGACAAAGAATGCTGAGTTGCATCCAAAGAACACCATACCTACTGTGAAGCATGGGGTTGGAAACATCATGCTTTGGGGCTGTTTTTCTACAAAGGGACCAGGATGACTGATCCGTGTAAAGGAAAGAATGAAAGGGGCCATGTATCGTGAGATTTTGAGTGAAAACCTCCTTCCATCAGCAAGGGCATTGAAGATGAAACGTGGCTGGGTCTTTCAGCATGACAATGATCCCAAACACACCGCCCGGGCAACGAAGGAGTGGCTTCGTAAGAAGCATTTCAAGGTCCTGGAGTGGCCTAGCCAGTCTCCAGATCTCAACCCCATAGAAAATCTTTGGAGGGAGTTGAAAGTCCGTGTTGCCCAGCGACAGCCCCAAAACATCACTGCTCTAGAGGAGATCTGCATGGAGGAATGGGCCAAAATACCAGCAACAGTGTGTGAAAACCTTGTGAAGACTTACAGAAAACGTTTGACCTGTGTCATTGCCAACAAAGGGTATATAACAAAGTATTGAGAAACTTTTGTTATTGACCAAATACTTATTTTCCACCATAATTTGCAAATAAATTCATAAAAAATCCTACAATGTGATTTTCTGGAGAAAATAAATCTCATTTTGTCTGTCATAGTTGACGTGTACCTATGGTGAAAATTACAGGCCTCTCTCATCTTTTTAAGTGGGAGAACTTGCACAATTGGTGGCTGACTAAATACTTTTTTTCCCCACTGTACCTGTAGATAGTCATAAAGATGAACGGATTTCCCTTCTCTAGAGATAGATATAGCAGGGGATTTGTATTGATGGGTTAGTTAGTTAGCTAATTTAGTTAGTTACAGTGGCTTGCAAAAGTATTCACCCCCCTTGGCATTTTTCCTATTTTGTTGCCTTACAACCTGGAATTAAAATGGATTTTTGGGGGGTTTGTATCATTTGTTTTACACAACATGCCTACCACTTTGAAGATGCAAAATATTTTTTTTTGTGAAACAAACAAGAAATAAGACAAAAAAACTGAAAACTTGAGCGTGCATAACTATTCACCCCCCCAAAGTCAATACTTTGTAGAGCCACCGTTTGCAGCAATTACAGCTGCATGTCTCTTGGGGTATGTTTCTATAAGCTTGGCACATCTAGCCACTGGGATTTTTGCTTCAAGGCAAAACTGCTCCAGCTCCTTCAAGTTGGATGGGTTCCGCTGGTGTACAGCAATCTTTAAGTCATACCACAGATTATCAATTGGATTGAGGTTTGGGCTTTGACTAGGCCATTCCAAGACATGTAAATGTTTCCCCTTAAACCACTCGAGTGTTGCTTTAGCAGTATGCTTAGGGTCATTGTTCTGCTGGAAGGTGAACCTCCGTCCCAGTCTCAAATCTCTGGAAGACTGAAACAGGTTTCCCTCAAGAATTTCCCTGTATTTAGCGCCATCCATCATTCCTTCAATTCTGACCAGTTTCCCAGTCCCTGCCGATGACAAACATCCCCACAGCATGATGCTGCCACCACCATGCTGGATGGCGTTCTCGGGGTGATGAGAGGTGTTGGGTTTGCGCCAGACATAGCGTTTTCCTTGATGGCCAAAAACCTACATTTTAGTCTCATCTGACCAGAGTACCTTCTTCCATATGTTTGAGGAGTCTCTCACATGCCTTTTGGCGAACACCAAATGTGTTTGCTTATTTTTTTCTGGCCACTCTCCCGTAAATCCCAGCTCTGTGGAATGTACGGCTTAAAGTGGTCCTATGGACAGATACTCTAATCTCTGCTGTGGAGCTTTGCAGCTCCTTCAGGGTTATCTTTTGTCTCTTTGTTGCCTCTCTGATTAATGCCATCCTTGTCTGGTCCGTGTGTTTTTGTGGGCGTCCCTCTCTTGGCAAGTTTGTTGTGGTGCCATATTCTTTCCATTTTTTAATAATGGATTAAATGGTGCTCCGTGGGATGTTCAAAGTTTCTGATATTTTTTTATAACCCTACCCTGATCTGTACTTATCCACAACTTTGTCCCTGACCTGTTTGGAGAGCTCCTTGGTCTTCATGATGCCGCTTGCTTGGTGGTGCCCCTTGCTTAGTGGTGTTGCAGACTCTGGGGCCTTTCAGAACAGGTGTATATATACTGAAATCATGTGACACTTAGATTGCACACAGGTGGACTTTATTTAAATAAGTATGTGACTTCTGAAGGTAATTGGTTGCACCAGATCTTATTTAGGGACTTCATAGCAAAGTGGGTGAATACATATGCACGCACCACTTTTATTTTTTAGAATTTTTTTAAACGTTATTTTTTAAATTTCACTTCACCAATTTGGACTATTTTGTGTATGTCCATTACATGAAATCCAAATAAAAATCAATTTAAATTACAGGTTGTAATGCAACAAAATAGGAAAAATGCCAAGGGGGATGAATAATTTTGCAAGGCACTGTAGTTAGTTAGTTAGTTAGTTAGTTAGTTAGTTAGTTAGTTAGTTAGTTAGTTGAGGGTCACTCACAGAGCAGGGCGCACCCCTACAAAGAGCAGCACTCGGAGGGCAATGCGTTTGTGCAGGTTCCAGTGCTCCACTGCCACCGCCACCATCAGTCCTCCCACAAACAGCATGTTGGTGTCCTTCAGGTACTGCATACACACCTGGAAGACACACACAGACAAGTGACTCATGGGTCCACATTGTATTTGTGTAAGCTCATGCAAACATCTACCAATACTGTATCTACTAAAACAATGTGCAGACACCATTGTGAAGTATACTGAACAAAAATATAAACGCAACATGCAACAATTTCAACGATTATACTGAGTTACAGTTCATATAAGGACATCAGTCAATTGAAATAAATTCATTAGGCCCTAATCTATGGATTTCACATGACTGGGCAGGGAAGCAGCTCTGGGTGGGCCTGGGAGGGCATAGGCCCACCCACTTGGGAGCCAAGCCCACCCACTGGGGAGCCAGACCCAGCCAATCAGAATTAGTTTTTCCCCACAAAAGGGCTTTATTACAGACATAAATACTCCTCAGTTTCATCAGCTGTCCGGGTGGCTGGTCTCAAACGATCCCGCAGGTGAAGAAGCCAGATATGGAGGTCCTGGGCTGGCGTGGTTACACATGGTCTGCAGTTGTGAGGCCGGTTGGACGTATTGCCAAATTCTCTAAAACAATGTTGGAGGCGGCTTATGGTAGAGAAATGAACATTACATTCTCTGGCAACAGCTCTGTTGGACATTCCTGCAGTCATCATGCCAATTGCATGCTCCCTCAAAACTTGAGACATCTGTGACGTTGTGTTGTGTGACAAAACTGCACATTTTAGAGTGGCCTTTTATTGTCTCCAGCACAAGGTTCACCTGTGTAATGATCATGCTGTTTAATCAGCTTCTTGATATGCCACACCTGTCAGGTGGATGGATTGTCTTGGCAAAGGAGAAATGCTGACTAACAGGGATGTAAACAAATTTGTGCGTATGGAACATTTCTGGGACCTTTTATTTCAGCTCATGAAACATGGGACCAATACTTTACATGTTGCGTTTATATTTTTGTTCAGTATATATTGAATATCAGTAGGCTACTATAGTACAGTTTCATTAGTACAGTTTTATAGTAGTTTCTTCATCATGTTATTGAAAGGTCTTCATGGCATGCAGTAGAGGCTGTCTTACGTCTTTGGACTGCATGATGCCAAACATGGGGAAGAGGACAGCAGGGAGCAGGGCAGTGACAGCCAGCGGTAAGGCCTCTGTACACCAGTACACTGCCATCAGGATGATCACATAGGCACATGCTGCCTCCTGCACAACACATACATAGGATCCAACAGGTCACCAACAGGTCACCAACAGGTCAGAACATCCAACACACCTGGGAATGATTACTGCTGGCTCATACGAATGCAATATCTTAATTTGACTCTGCTTCTCATAGCAGGAAAAGAATCCTGCAACAACAGGAAATGTTAATTATTATCGGAATTATAATTAATGGACCTTTTTTTAGGGGTGGATACATTCTTGGTTAGGGCAAGTCTGACATTTTGAAGTGGAAATTATCAACTTTAGAATACTTTTCAAAGGCCTGAATACACTACAATTTGCATTTCCTTATGCACAGGAATATTCTCTGCGACAACAGAGTGATCAAATTAAGATAGCAGATCTGTACTGCTGTTAGGGACAGGAAAATGATATGACACAAAAGTCACTATAATCCTAAATTGGAGAGATTATAGTTGATTAGTACTGAGATATGTTGATTGGGGTTAAAGATCACTGTTGTAGTACATGGCAGCACCTGTTAGTCTCAACTGTACACTGATCAGTCCACACTTATCACTCAGCAGTCCTCTATGATGTGTGTGTGTGTGTGTGTGTGTCTGTGTGTGTGTGTGTGCATGACAGATTAGGTGTGATGACGTAGTAGGTATTGATTCTGATACACTGAAACTACACACCAAGGATAAGACAAAGATAACATGCTTATAGCCCCATGTGTGAGAACACATGATGCAGTGGTGGCAACACTAGGACAGAGTCTCAGCTTCGGTGGCATGTAAAACTGCGTTCCAAATGGCACCCTATTCCCTATGTAGTGCACTACTTTTGACTAGGGGCTATGGTAAAAAGTAGTGCACTATAGTGAATAGGGTGCCATTTGGAGAACCTATGACAGGACGATTCAGTGTAACTAGCGTTCCCACGCTGGAGATGACCTGCCATATAGGGTTTAAACAACAGCATTAGGCTACTGTCTTTGACACAGTCTCAGGGCACAGGGATGATGGGCGGCAGGTAACCTAGCGGTTAGGAGCGTTGGACCAGTAACCGAAAGGTCACTTGTTCAAATCCCTGAGCTAACTAGGTGAAAAATCTGTCAATGTGCCCTTGAGCAAGGCACTTAACCCTAATTGCTCCTGTAAGTCGCTCTGGATAAGAGTGTCTGCTAAATAAATATAAAAATGGTTCTACGTAGCTTCTGCCATGCTGCAACTCACTGTTTAGGTGGCATCGACAGGTGCAAGGCTGAACAAAACCTATGCGATTACTAAATGTCTCTCAACCACAGAATGCAGTTAGACCTGCTTCAGTACATTTTCCAAAAAGTGTCTAATTGAAGGTTTATGATCAATTTAATTATACAAATTACCAACTCCTTTTGCATTTTACAAATAAACAATATAATTAAACAACAATATAAAACCTGCTTACAAGATACATAAAATATATTTTAAACATAAAAATGTGTGTGTAAATCTGTGCAAAACATATGTGACAATTTACATACCTTTGTTCCAATGACTAAAGGCAGCGGGAGAAGAAGTAACGGGGTAGAGAATAGAACAATCTCATTCTTCAGATTCCGAAGGGATTTCAGAAATGCTGCCATCCTTTGACTTGAGGCGATACAGAGGCAAAGAAAGTTGGAGCACTAGGGACCGTCGTTTTACTTAGAGCGGGTCGGGGGAGGGGAGGAAGTGAAAGGGGGAGCAAGGGGGAGTCCCGCAGCTGATAATAGGAGAGGGAAGAGAGCTCATGAACATATAATGATGGGAGGGAGACAGACGGAGAGAGAGAAGGCTAAAGCTAGATTTAACGGTGGTGGGATCCTGAATACCTTCACCACAACTTGTTCAAAAAACATGCATTAAAATGTATGACTGATTTTGTTTCTTTCAGAGAGATTAAACAATCAATAACAATTATGTAAACTACGACCAGTATCTCAATATTTATTATCTAATTAAATTGATTATAGCTTTTTCAAATGGAACTGATAACTCAAATTCGGACAGAGATATTAAACCCTGTACACCTCAAATATAAAAACAAATTATGAGCACATTTAACAAATATAATAATCTTAACTTTCTGGACTCCATGAAACTAATAGTGTTTTCAATTGTGCTTGATTTACATTTTAGTCATTTAGCAGACGCTCTTATCCAGAGCGACTTACAGGAGCAATTAGGGTTAAGTGCCTTGCTCAAGGGCACAGACAGATTTTTCACCTAGTCGGCTCAGGGATTACAACCAGCGACCTTTCGGTTACTGGCACAACGCTCTTAACCACTAAGATACCTGCCGACCTTGATGAGCCATGAAGTGTCATGATGTTCTGTGACCTTTCCCTGTATAGTCCTCTGGGTCTGCACAGACAGCAGTAATGATAATGTTCCCTTTGGTGGTGAGCTGAACAACTTTTAATTAGTGTTTCCAAATCTCTGTGGGTTATGACCCAGTATATGGGCTTTCCACTATCATGCCCAGTCACATTTCTGCTTCTTTTGAAGCCAAGTCTTACATGTTATTACAGCAAAAGCAATAACTGTTTGGACAAGATTCAAATGTATTGTGCTTAGTCATTGACTTTATAGCACTAAACCATATGGAGTTTACCATGCATGTCATTCTCAAGACTAACCTTTATCTTAGGAGTAGCACATTGAGATAGCGAAAGAGAGGCCCAACATAACATGCAGAAGATAGCCTACTGTTTTAGAGTGAACTAGCTCTATGGACAAACTATATGAGATATATGAGGTAATTCTATCTGTCCGGTGCAATATTTTATTCCAATCAATGTTTTATCAGTTACAAATGATACATATTTTTTCCCACCACATAAGACCCATAGGATCACGGACTAGCCCCGAGCTGACTGATCTCAAAGGATCTTATATCGCCACCTTGTGGGTTTTCTGATTAGCTGCAGTTCAGTGATCCTTAGGTAATTTGTTTGCGTACCTGGATTTGTGTGGCATGATTTGAATTCTGAAAATACCAGAATTTAACAGTAAATATGAGTGAATAAGCTCTTTGCAGTGTTTGTGAGGAATATTGTGTATGTTTAAGTGCAGTAAGTAACAGTAATGATATCTTTGTTTCTCTAATCTACATCCACTGGCTGAGTGCTTGACCTTAGTAACAGAAGCCCATTAGGACAGAAGAAGCTTGACATTAATTGACCATTTGTTCATATCCATTTTTAGGTTTCTTCTAATCTAGACATACAAAAGCATGTTTATCATTCATAAATTATGCACAAAATAAAATATAGGCTAATCAGGGCAAAAATGTCCAAAACTCACATAGGATTTTGACATGTTTAATGTCTTATCAAGTAGCCTAATACATTCGGACACAATATTGCATTTTCATGATACATTTAATCCTAAACATCAGATAGAAATAGCAGTAAACTTCATTAGCGAATGTGGGACACCTCAGTGTGTTGTGTATTTGAAATAAAACAAAATACAAATGTTTTTTTTTTGTTGTTGTCACATTTAGAAAAACTGTCAATCCAGCTGCCCATTTGGATAACTTGGGCTGTTGTCATGCATCTGAGTTGCTCATCTGGATTTGCTTCCTCTCTGACAGACAGCAGTGCAGTTCAAGGTCAATAGATAATGGTCTCAATCTCCCCTCATTGAATGAGGTTTCAGCTTACTTGGGTGGCCCACCAAAAGAGTGACTATAATGTTTGTCATTCTTGTCATCAATGGGGAAGTGTACTTTATCTAGGTTGGCAGACCCTCCACTACTCTGCATAGCAGGAGCTCCAGGGTTAGGGTTGGTGATGACACCCAGGAAGACTGGTGCTTGTGTCTTATCGTCCATGAGGGCAAAGAAGAAGGGCTGGTTGAGACTAAAAAAGGGGTTGGACCGTAAGATGACCAGGCTGGTAGCTGCAGCAGCCTCTGCTCCCTCCTCAGAGATCTCCATACTGGACTTGTGCTGTACACTGGACACCAGCAGAGGGCCCTCGGCTATGGCTGCCAGGTTGGGACGAGCAAACAACTCCCCCATACCTGAGAATAGAACAAATCACACACTTAGGTATAAGAGGAAGAGGGGCAGTTCTAAAGTTTTCAAAAGACTTACTGCTTCTGCCAGTAATTTTAATTTGTGTTGAAAAATAACATGGACAATTGTTTTTTTAAATCTTTATCTCTCCTTCCCATGTGCTTCAAGCCTTATTATCTATGCACGTTTTCACTTGTACACCTACTTCACATATTAATCTAGCCTGCTTATGGATCCTCTCCTACATACCAATGTTGGTCAGAGCCTCCTGCAGGTCCTGGCTGTAGTCCAGTTTGAATTTGGGCAGTTTGACCTGCATGGATCTCTCTCTGGGCAGGCGGTTGTACAGGTGAGAGATGTTGAGCTTTGCTGCGAGGGCTGACACGTTCACCTGGCCATTCATGGGCATCACTATCAGCAGGCTCATCTGATTGTGAAGGGGAAGTGAGCCACCTGCACAGGAAGCCGAGGACAAGGGTGAGATAGAAGTGAGGTAATATAGTGTGCAACAATTTTGTGACTCAGGAAAATAGGAGGGTGAATAGAGAAATTCAAGGAGAGAAAGGATAAAAGGAAGATAATGTCATAAAAAAGGAGGCAAATACCATTTGGGAGTCATATCTGAAATATAATATAACATACAGTATATATACTACATGTAGAGAGTGATGGATGGTAAACATAAATGGTCAAGCAGGAGGGGACACGAAGGAGTGAGAGTCTTATCATGAAGTCAAAGTCAGTAACACATTAGTACTTTCTTAATCTGGCCATTTAGAGTATTGTTTCATTCAATGTCACTTGTTTGAACTTCTGTACACTCAATGTGTCTATTGTCATTATCTTCCTTCCATTTCCAGGTCCGTTTCCTTTATGTTCCATCAACTTCCTAACCCTCTTACTCAAGTAAGCAGTGAAGTGTTCGGGGCAATTCCATTTCAATCCCCTTAACTGTAGTCAAATGACCAAATCGCCCTCTAGTGGACTCATGGGTGGAATGTTATTCATATTTTTCATAATTAATGCACATTATTATTTTGTCGAAAATGTTGAAAATCCGGTGTTTCCATGGGAAATTATTTTGTTATAGTTCAGTCTTCTGTGATTTATATGAAGTGTAATATTGGGATGCAAACTCAAAATGGAATACATTTCAAATCTATATCTGACATGATACAGGTGTCCTCTTCTTTTTTAAGCCCATAACCATGTGTGTGAGGTGTATACTTTTGTTTCAAAGTAGATTTGTTTAAGACTACCAAGAACCACTCTGTGTAGCCCTGATTTAGCCCACTGCAGTAATGAAGAAATAAACAAAATTCTAATTCCACATTTTCCTCTATGAAAAGCATTGAAGAGAACTGCAATTTCAGTGTACTTCCTGAATTGACTGGAATTGAAATGGAATTGACCCCAACCCTGAAGCAGCGAACACTGACCTGGTTGCAGGTAGAGGCGTGTGGCCACTTGCAGGTTGCTCTTGCGGAGGCGTTCCAGGAAGTTGTGTAGAGACATGTGGTAGCAGGGCAGAGTGTCACCATGGAGATGGTGCATCAACAGCTCCTCTGTCTCATTCATGGCTCCTGAGATACATACACAGACATGATGATGCAACATGCTGCAGCTTATTGACAGTGTTATTGATTATTGTACTGCAATGTTGAGTGAGCTAGCACACAAGCATTTAGCTGCACCTTTTATTCCTGCTGTAAACTGTACACATGACGAATACAATTTGATTTGAGCTCTCAACATTTACAGCAAACAAGTACCTATTCATTGGGGTTGAGTCTAAATTTCCTATTGTCAAAAGTAGTGCACTATATAGGGAATAGGGTGCCATTTGGGACATAGTCTAAGAGGTTATGATGCTGGTAGTGTAAACCATGCCAAGTACAGATGATCCTGAAAGAGCAGAGATGCACAATACCTACATTTCTAAAACTTTTTAATCACTCCTAAAAAAACAGCAAAAACAGAACATGTCATACCCAGAGCCAGCTGGGAGAGTGCCAGGGATATGCTGAGGGGGGATATTATGACATTGGGCTGCTCAGGTCCTGTCTTCATCTGGCCCAACAGCTTCATGCCCAGTCTCTGGATGGCACCAGCTAAGGCCTGCCTGGATTTTGGCCTGCGGGCCTGGGCCCTACAACCCCCATCCTGCTGCTGATTATCCTCCTCAGACGAGCCCCCGTCCGGGGCACTAGTCGTCACAAAGGGAGGAGGGGTGGTGGGACTTGTGTTTGGAGGCTCCTGTGTACTGGGGGCAGAAGTACCTGATTCCTGGAAGAGAGGATTGTGTTGGGTTAAGAGAACGTAGAGTAAGAAGGCACGTGGAGGGTATGAGATCTGTGTATTCTGCTTTGGCAACAGACCTCTTTAGGGTGGCTGGGCATCAATGGGATGAGAGGGACCAGTGGGATTGGAGCATCATTTGACACCTCTCCATTCTGCTTGAAGGGGAAAACAGTGATATGAGAATGTTGCACATCATTCAGGAAAAGCAGTCACGATTGATGTTGATGATTAATTGCAGTGCTTTACAGTTAGTCCTTGTCTGCAGACACAGAACAACAGGAGTGATAGTAGACAAAGGTCCATGTCCATGAACAGCCAGCCTGAAACAACAGAGGGTAACAAGCTATTACCCAATGAAGCTGGCCCACTCAATTCCTGTCAATGGAATGAATCACAGTTGAAGGAAGACAGCAAACGGACATTTAGGCTACATAATCCAGTTTTACGCAATGACAGACAAAAAATGGTTCTATCAACTTCTTTAGTATGGTACAGCAGTGTATCTCATTTTAAAATAGAAAACATAACAAAACAGATTATTCCCTTGAAGAAAACATTTATTTACTGAGGTACAGTGGGGAAAAAAAGTATTTAGTCAGCCACCAATTGTGCAAGTTCTCCCACTTAAAAAGATGAGAGAGGCCTGTAATTTTCATCATAGGTACACGTCAACTATGACAGACAAAATGAGAAAAACAAATCCAGAAAATCACATTGTAGGATTTTTAATGAATTTATTTGCTAATTATGGTGGAAAATAAGTATTTGGTCAATAACAAAAGTTTCTCAATACTTTGTTATATACCCTTTGTTGGCAATGACACAGGTCAAACGTTTTCTGTAAGTCTTCACAAGGTTTTCACACACTGTTGCTGGTATTTTGGCCCATTCCTCCATGAGATCTCCTCTAGAGCAGTGATGTTTTGGGGCTGTCGCTGGGCAACACAGACTTTCAACTCCCTCCAAAGCAGAGCATATGAGCGGAGTGGAGCGGGAGCGAGCGTGGAGCGTGAGCGGACAGATTTTGAACAGAGCGCAGAGCGGCATTTTTAAAAGGACGGAGCGTCGCCCTATGTCCCGCTCCAATTTCGCTCGCTCACACCACGAGTCTGAAGCATGCTCAAGCCTGACCCAGAATCCATCTGTTTAATTTAATTTGTGTCGTCCATGAATTTGTATTTTATAGAGCGAGAGGAGCAGCAGCAGCAACAAGAGAAAAGGGTTGAGGAATTCAAAAGTTTATTCACTGCACGCAAAGGCCCAACCATAACAAGGGAGAGAAAAAGAGAGCTGGATGTAGCATTTTTTGAAATGATTTTCATGGACTATGAACCGCTGAGTAAGGGAGAACGCGAAGGGATGCAACACTTCGCCAGCGCAGCTCCACCGGGCTACACCCCCCCAAGAAACTATGATAAATCAGTACTTTACTTTGTCAAATTTACATCTGAGATGCCCCATTCACATGCTTCAGTTGGCGATCAAAAACGCCGTTAACAAGCACGACAACATTAAAAGGCTGTTAGTGAAAGTCGGGCACCTGGTGAAAAGTGTACGCAAGAGCACAGAGGAAACCGACCAATTAGGTGTCCGCCCCACAAATGCCTGCGCCATTCGATGGAGCAGCCAGCTGCGGATGATTCAGTCGTTCATCCGGTTGTTCCAAAAAGACCCGTTATGGTCAAACAAACTCAAGTCTAATGTTGCTAACATCACCCTGAATCAAGTACGGCAGCTGACGCACCTTGTCAGTGTGCTGACACCATTAGCAGACCTCACAGACAAAATGCAGAAGGAGCTGGGGAACCTGGGGATGTTCCTCCCTGCTGTCACAGAAATCAAATCCCTGCTCACCGATTACACTCACGCTGCACTTCCAATGGGCATCGCTGCTTTTGCAGAAACATTGGCAAACAACGTGTCAATTCGCTATGGAATATACTATACTGATTAACATCTCATTTTAGCGTCAGTGTTAGATCCCCGTTTCAAGACAGAATGGATAATCCGAGATGAGTCTGTATGCAACAAATTCGGGGAGATAAAGTAAGGCTGTGGTTTAAGCTAAAAGTGAAATACATGCAGATTTTGTTCCTTTTTTGGAGTGAGCGGGGGGCGATTTGAGTGGAGCGCGATGCAAACTGCGTTGAGCGCTGAGCGATAATGAGCGGACTGGCCTGATGTGGCTTTGAGCGGGGGAGCGGAGGGGGGAACAGCTCCGTGAGCGAGGAGCTGAGATTCTCACCGCTCCACTCCGCTCATATGCTCTGCTCCAAAGATTTTCTATGGGGTTGAGATCTGGAGACTGGCTAGGCCACTCCAGGACCTTGAAATGCTTCTTACGAAGCCACTCCTTCGTTGCCCGGGCGGTGTGTTTGGGATCATTGTCATGCTGAAAGACCCAGCCACGTTTCATCTTCAATGCCCTTGCTGATGGAAGGAGGTTTTCACTCAAAATCTCACGATACATGGCCCCATTCATTCTTTCCTTTACACGGATCAGTCGTCCTGGTCCCTTTGCAGAAAAACAGCCCCAAAGCATGATGTTTCCACCCCCATGCTTCACAGTAGGTATGGTGTTCTTTGGATGCAACTCAGCATTCTTTGTCCTCCAAACACGATAAGTTGAGTTTTTACCAAAAAGTTATATTTTGGTTTCATCTGACATTCTCCCAATCCTCTTCTGGATCATCCAAATGCACTCTAGCAATCTTCAGATGGGCCTGGACATGTACTGGCTTAAGCAGGGGGACACATCTGGCACTGCAGGATTTGAGTCCCTGGCGACGTAGTGTGTTACTGATGGTAGGCTTTGTTACTTTGGTCCCAGCTCTCTGCAGGTCATTCACTAGGTCCCCCCGTGTGGTTCTGGGATTTTTGCTCACCGTTCTTGTGATCATTTTGACCCAACGGGGTGAGATCTTGCGTGGAGCCCCAGATCGAGGGAGATTATCAGTGGTCTTGTATGTCTTCCATTTCCTAATAATTGCTTCCACAGTTGATTTCTTCAAACCAAGCTGCTTACCTATTGCAGATTCAGTCTTCCCAGCCTGGTGCAGGTCTACAATTTTGTTTCTGGTGTCCTTTGACAGCTCTTTGGTCTTGGCCATAGTGGAGTTTGGAGTGTGACTGTTTGAGGTTGTGGACAGGTGTCTTTTATACTGATAACAAGTTCAAACAGGTGCCATTAATACAGGTAACGAGTGGAGGACAGAGGAGCCTCTTAAAGAAGAAGTTACAGGTCTGTGAGAGCCAGAAATCTTGCTTGTTTGTAGGTGACCAAATACTTATTTTCCACCATAATTTGCAAATAAATTCATTACAAATCCTACAATGTGATTTTCTGGAATTTTTTTCCTCAAGTTGTCTGTCATAGTTGACGTGTACCTATGATGAAAATTACAGGCCTCTCTCATCTTTTTAAGTGGGAGAACTTGCACAATTGGTGGCTGACTAAATACTTTTTTCCCCCACTGTATATCATACAAAACATTCTCACCTGTATATATTTTTTTAAACTGTATTTGTGATGGACATTTAGAAGTCTATAATCCCATCTCCCTCTCTGTATGGCACCTGGATTCTTAATTTAAAGAACACCTGAAAGATGGTGACCGGGTAAAAAAACAGTAACATTTTGGGCTCTCTTGCTCTGGTAAAGCTGGTTAGCAAGACCAGCAGCTGGTAAATCTGGTTAGTTGAGACCACCAGCTAGCTATATTATCTGTATCGACATAATTGCAAGCCTTGCCACAAGTACACAGAGAGGAATTACTTTAATACTTTATGACCAGGTACATTAACCACTTGCTATTTCTTCATAACAGACCAAAAACAGTTTGCAATTGAATGTAAAATTAGGTGACATTTGGTTTAAATGAACACACATAATCAAGGGGCATCCTCCAGTGGTATACTATTACTATAATTATAACTATCGTTTACTATTAGGCCTACTACTACTACTACACTGAGGCAAAGCTTTAGCTGAAACCTTACACGTTCATTTATTCAAGTCATAAGTCAGTTAAATCATAAGCCATATCATAAATTCCCAAATTTTCGATCTTACCTGACAAAATTAAGATGGGAGACCTGCTATCCTGTCTAAAAAAAGAGAGAGAGAGACACACACACACACTGAATGAGCAATGGCAGAATTCTCATTTGCAAAAGACTGGCAGTTGCTCAGCAGGCTGTTAAATATCAACTTTCATTGATCTGTGCTTCATATGTCACTACTTTTTTGTAAATGTAAATATTGAGACCGATTCAGGGGTCAAACAGTGAGCCTGACACTTTATTGAGAATGAAAGTGTACTGGCAAATCCGCAGTGTGAAACACCAGGACTAGGTGTGAAGCAACACGTCATGGTTTGATTACATTAGTGAGTTGTATCAGTGTTTGTGTGGGACAATAAATAAAAGCAGATCACAAAAAGTTATGTGGGTGGAATCGCTGATTCCCAATTTCCCAGAAGCTCTTAGTAAGAGCTGTACAAGTAGTAGCCATCTGGGTATAGAGCAAGTCCAAAACAGACAAAATTGGCAATAGAATGGTTTGGACGGGTAGAAACTGAATGTGGCTACACTGCATAACAGACAAATCTTTTTACCACTCAACATAAACAGTAGGTGGTATCTATCGGATCACATGACTGCAGCTGAGCTGACAGGCATTTTTCAACAAACATCAAGAGGGGACTTTGTCCAATAAGAACCCTGAATATTGCCCTCTCTGAATCGCTTGCAACAGTGAGGAGGATTTGGTGAAGACTGACATTGGACAAACATTTCTGATTTATGTAAAAACCTGAAACAAGCACATTGTGTAGGTAATATTTTATTAAACCTGTTAAATAGAATAAGCACTTCTCTCATCAAAATGTTGTAATGGACATCAGTTTGACCATTTCTGATTATCAAGGTGTTATTTGATTCCTTTTGAAAACAAAGTACATTTTTGATTATTAGAATACAAAAGTCACAGGAAAAAACATTTTTTTAATCAGAGCAAGCCTCATGGGAACATTGTGACCCTTGTGGCCTGTTAAACAACTGGATGAGCCAAGGTTGACGTTCCAAAAAACGAATATAGGATTGTGTTGAGGTCATGGATGGAAATGCACATCATAAAAGTGCAGAAGAGAACAGACACCCTTGTGAGCAGAGTAGACTGTCTTGAAGGTTGACCAAGAACAGGAGTGAAAACGTTGGCAACAGGTGTTATGGTGTAAGAGATAAGTATCCCATTCAGGATAACAAGGTACATACAAAACCGGGGCAGGTAACAAATGCCTCCCCCAAAATACATGATCAGGAGTTAGTTTAAAATCACAAATTAATATATATATATTTTTTTTATAAATGGCTTTTTCTTGCCATTCTTTTTATTACACTGCCAATTTGTGATTACATATAAGGCATACTTATTACAATACAAAAGTCTATTGTTTATTGACTTTGACGTTTTGTTCCTATGCTGACTAGTCTATGTTATGGACAAAAAAAGAGTCCAAACACATTGCTTGCTTAATGTCTGAGTGGGTTTCATCATGATACATAACATAAAATCAACCTTTTCTTTAAATTAGGCCTACATCACACAAACTGATTATTTCTATCAATATTTTAATATTTTGGCAACCATGGTTTAGGGTTATTCAAAAGAAATATAAACAACATTAATATTAAACCATTGATTAATTGTAAAATAATAATCTTAAAATGTGATCTATGAGAATAGCTTGATAATGGAGCTCCTTATTGTGCAGTAGGATTTGACCATGTGACCTCAGCACACAGCAGTAACAGGTTGAAGAATCACATCGTGACTCTGCCATCCCTCTCGACAAGCCTTAAGCTTGTCCGCATTGAGAAGATGCACGAACACTGTCAAATGAAAAGGTCTTGTGTAGGTATACATTTTTTCCTACATTTTAAAAAAGGTGAGAGAAAGCATTACCTCTTTAGAAAGACATGGCAAACAGACTTACATTTTTATTTATTTTTATCTATGAATACTGCATAGTTATTCAATGCATCTGGTGCATGTTGTGATCTAATGCCAGGGAGATAATGATGATAGGTGTGGGCGTGTGAAATGTCAGTCAGTCTTTTTGGTTGGTAGGTATGCATCTATTTGGAAAGGGCAAACACTACAATAGAGCCATGTTAGGCTCCACCTTCCTGAGCAGTTCCTCTGATCCATTCTTTTGTACAGAATATTGACCTAGTCAAGGATAAGAATCTTCTTCATAATTTAAGATCTATAGATAAATGCTAAAAGTCAATCAAGTGTTTCGTTGCCCCGTACGGTAGATCTATCCTTGACTGAGTGATATAACAACACTTCATCTTTATTTTGGTCGTTGACTACAGTAGAGAAGACGAGCAAAGTGCTCTCAGTTTGAGGCTCATATAACTACTGTCTTAGCGCTCCCCTCTCTCTCTCCGTTGTAAAAGGACGTTTTGAGGACCTCACCACTTGCCTCTTCAGCGGGTCTAGCCTCCATCCCACGAGGGGAGGAGCTGAGAGAGGCTCAGGATACAGGCAACAGGCTTTAGGAATAGGACACCTTCAGCAAAAGTCAACAGCAGAATCTATAGCTAGCTGAGCCAGCTCGTTATACATTAGCTCCTATGCTAGCAGCCTGATGGCCCCGTTCTCTGAACCCAGCAGCAGGAGCCTCTTGGTGGGCAGCACAGCCAGGCTGGTGAGGGTCCCACGGAAGTTCTCAGAGCTAAGCTTGGTGCTGCTGGCCGGGCTGGCAGAGATGTTCATCATGGAGTACACCCCTATCTTGTTGGCCACGGTGCCCGCCACAATCTCTGCCCCGTACAGGTCAAAGGCATGGACCGGGTCGGAGGGAGACTTGTACTGGTGGAGGGGCTTGTGCTCCAGGTCCTTCCACACGGTCAGAGTGTGGTCAGTGGACGAACTGATGATCAGATTTCCCCCAGCAGCCTGCAAAATACACAGGAGACCACAGTCAGAGACCAGAGTAACAGGGCATTGTGTGTACACTCACAAACACATACCCACGCTCACATAACTGGATGACAAAGAGCACTTGTATGTTCATATTCTTTGCCTGGACATTACTATCACCAGTGGTATCGAGGTGTGTTAGATTGAGGAGTGGCACCGTTTCCAGCCAAAAGCGCACCTCAAACATGGGAGTATTGACAGAGTAAACCATAAATATTACAGCAATGAGGTGTCTGGGTCATTTCTGGATGGACCAGTGAGACTCAGTATAGCCTTTCTAATGAGTAACTCCTGTCCATATTTACATGAACTTGAGCCTCTAAAGCCAGAGACACAATCCTTGACCCCACCAATCAGGGTTAAATCAAGTTTGCTCAGCACTAGTGCTTTGTTGACTGCTTCTGAACAAACCATCTGGGAACAACTGTCACTTCACTCATGTTAAAATGTCACCACCACCAATATGGAACAGCAGAATAAAACAGCTAGCAGCAACTCTGCCTCTCATTTATATCAGCTGACTGACTGATCAACATTTCAGAGCCCTAAATACTCCCCTGAGAGGAACATGTGAAGGACTGACTGGCCAGAGAAAGTGGCTGCGTCTGAAATGGCATCCTATTCCCTGTATAGTGCACTACTTTTGACCAGGGCCCAAAGGGAGAGAATAGAGTACCATTTGGGACTAGCAGCAGAAACATGTTGATGGGAAAAGGCCCATAACGTAACAAAGCCCTGCGGGCCAAATAACTGACTGTGTGAGAGAGTGGGAGCAGTCAGTGCTGCGAGGCAAGGTTCACTTTATATCCCCCAATATCCTTTCTTTATGCCGCTGGTCAAATCCAATAGCTAACCACAGTAAAGAATAATCACTATCCAACAGGAACATGAATCTGTACTCATTTGAAACCACTGCTCTAGTAATAGTCACTGTGAAATTACCAATACACACACACCTACACCTACCTTAATCTGCAGGATGTCTCCCTCGTGAGCGGGCCAGCCTCTCAGCACCAGGCCTGTGCGTGCGTCTAGCAGCACGATGAAGCCAGAGGAGAAGCCTGCAGCCACGGTACGCCCCCCAGGGCTCACGGCCAGGTAGCGGATCAGGCCGGCACTCACGTTGTTGTACGCCAACCGGAACTCATGCTGCCCGGTTGGGGGGGGACACAGGGAGAGCCATAGACAATATAAGCATAAGTGTATAAATTATAAGAGTGTTCTATTTTTATGGGAAGAGCATTGTCTCTGGCATATCAGGCAGGCCAAGAATAGACAGAGAAGAAGCAATAGGCAAAAGCTATTCTATTACATTACACTGATGGGATAGAAAGGTCGAAAATCATGGTCCCGTCCCAAATGGCACCCTATCCCCTACATAGTGCACTACTTTTGACCAGACCACTAGATTAACATAAAAAGGATGGAGACTAAACAGGGGAGTGAGCAGGGTAGTTCTCCTCTAGCTGGGTTTGGTAGGTACCTGCAGGCCTGGTTTGCGTGGGTCGATGAAGCGGAGGACAGAGTCTGCACTGCCAAACACCACACTACAGTGAGGAGCAGGCATGGTGGTCACTGCTGTGATGGGGTTCTTCCCATCCAGGGCCTCATAGGAGCGGATCTGTTTACCTGGACACACACAGGGAGAGGAGAGCTTTATTTCCCAATACTGTATGTTCTGAAGCATTCACATTTTATTTACCTAATTTCTTATTATTAATTCTAATTCAATATGTAGTGGTATTAAAATAAAATCACTCAGTTAAATGAAAAACATTCTGTGTACTCCAACAGAACAGAAGCAGAGACTCAACTTAACACGTCTCCTCCCCACTGACCTGTGAACTGGTCCCAGAGGTGCACGGTGCCGTCACAGCTGACTACCTCCTGCAGCGCCTCCAGTTGGCCAACATAGAACACAGACTTCTTATGATCTGTGTAGGTCAGCCTTGGCTCCACCTCCCGCGTCCCATCGCCATGGTTATAGAGGGGCCACAGCTTCACCGTCTTGTCCTTGCTGCCAGACAAGAAGTAGTCCTCTCCAGCCAGCGGTGCCAAACACTTAGCCGTGCCCGAATGGCCCAGGAAGCTCTGCAGGCGGATCTGGTGGAAGTGGAAGTGGGGATCCTGCTGGTTGAGACCAATCTCATACTGCCAGTAGGCCAGCCAGTTGCCCTGCAGGGAGCGGCCGCTGCGAGGGAGCTCCTGCTTCAGAGCGCTGTCCTCGGGGGTAGGACCCACCACCCAGGAGGAGGAGGAGGAGGAGGGGCCCAGGGATGGAGTGGTGAAGGTGGAGGCAGACGTGATGACAGGCTGAGTATGACTAGGCCGGGGGTGGCCCCAGTTGTCTAACGAGCCCAGGTTGGGGCTCCCACCCCCCGGCTCAGAGTCCCGGGCCACCTGGATGCGGTTGCCCACCAGATGGCTGCCAAAGGTGCCTGACTCTGGGAGGGTGTCTGAGCCCAGGGGGGTGGAGGAGTTGTAGGGGGCAGGGAAGGGGCTGCGGCCCACATGGCGTCCCAGACCAGGGGAGGGGCCCATGGAGGAGGTGGTGGGGGGCATCTCTACCCTGTCCTTGGACCCTGCTGGGGGGTTGGCATCCGGACTGCCAGGGCTCACCCTGGAGTGGTAGGACTGGGCCAACCTCCAGACCAGCTCGTGGTTGGAAACAAGCTTACGGATCGCTACATCGCCTGGGAGGGCCAAAGGACACAATGCTTTGAGAACCATCAAGGACATGTAAGGAACATGTCGAATTCAGATTTTAAGATGGATTGTATGCATTTATAAACTGGTGTGTGTGCTGCACATGCGTCTGTGTGTGTGTGTCTGCCTGTCTTTGTATGTGTCTGCCTGTCTCTGTGTGTGTCTGTCTGCCTGTGTGTGTGTGTGTCTCACCTATGAGGCAGTAGAAGGGGATGTAGGAGGCGTAAGCCATCTCAGGGTTAAACACGGCCTGCAGTTCCTCCAGAACCCCCAGCTCACACGTCACCTCTGACCCATCTGGCGTACGCACGTCCAGCAGGATGTATTCTCCCACCTCCCTGCGGGGGGCACTGTCCATCTACACCACACAGAGGAGAGGACAGAACAGGTCAATGGAATGAAATAATAAAAATCTCACCATTTAACATATGTTAAAACATTTAGCTCACATATCAAAACTGCTATATTTGAATTTCCTGGCTTTTAACCAGCCAAACTTCACTTAAACATTTTTGTGTTTAATATATACAGTGTCAGGCCTGTGTTTACCTGTCCCTGTAGGTACTGCAGCAGGGAGAAGACAGTGAAGAAGCGTTTCAGGGTTTCTACCATGTGTTGCTGCACCATCTCCCTCCCGATGCGCAGACAGATGAGAGCCATCAGGCTGAGGGTCTTTAGACACACAGCCGAACGTGTCTGCACTCCACTGGGGAACCTGAGGACAGAACACAGAGTGGCAGATTCAATAGAACCCTGTTTCACATTATGACTATTTCAACTCAATGTAACACTATGTCAATTTATGTGAGAAAATGTTTCCTTGCATATGTTTCAGTCTCCAAGGTATGATGCTACACAGAACAAAAATATAAACGCAAAATGTAAACTGTTGGTTCCATGTTTCATGAACTGAAATAAAAGATTCCAGAATTTTCCATACATTTCTAAAATGTTGTGCACAAATGTGTTTACATCCCTGTTAGTGAGCATTTCTCTTTTGTCAAGATAATCCATCTACCTGGTGTGGCATATCAAGAAGTTGGTTAAACAGCATTATCATTACATAGGTGCACCTTGTGCTGAGGACACTAAAAGGCCACAAAAATGTGCAGTTGTGTCACACAACACAATACCACAGATGTCTCAAGTTGAGGGAGCATGCAATTGGCATGCCGAGCTTTTGCCAGATAATTGAATGTTCATTTCTCTACCATAAGCCGCCTCCAACGTCGTTTTAGAGAATTTGGCAATATGTCCAACCGGCCTCACAACCGCAGACCACGTGTAACCACGCCAGCCCAGAACCTCCACATCCTGTTTCTCCACCTGCGAGATCGTTTGAGACCAGCCACCCGGACAGCTGATGAAACTGTGGGTTTGCACAACCGAAGAATTTCTGCACAAACTGTCAAACTGTCTCAGGGAAGCTCATCGTATGCTCGTCATCCTCACCAGGGTCTTGACCTGACCGCAGTTTGACATCGTAACCGACTTCTGTGGGCAAACGCTCACCATCGATGGCCACTGGCACGCTGGAGAAGTGCGCTCTTCACGGATAAATCCCGGTTTCAACTGTACCGGGCAGATGGCAGACAGTGTGTATGGCATCGTGTGGGTGAGTGGTTTGCTGATGTCAACGTTGTGAACAGAGTGTCCCATGATGGCGGTGGGGTTATCGTATGAGCAGGCATAAACTCCTGACACATTGCATTTTATCAATGGCAATTTTAAGATACCGTGATGAGATCCTGAGGCCCATTGTCGTGCCATTCATCTGCCGCCATCACCTCATGTTTCAGCATGATAATGCACAGTCCCTTGTCACAAGGATCTGTACACAATTCCTGGAAGCTGAAAATGTCCCAGTTCTACCATGACTTGCATACTCACCAGACATGTTACCCATTGAGCATGTTTGGGATGCTCTGGATCGACGTGTACGACAGAGTGTTCCAGTTACCGCCAATATCCAGCACCTTCGCACAGCCATTGAAGAGGAGTGGGACAACATTCCACAATCAGCAACCTGATCAACTCTATGCGAAGGTGATGTGTCGCGCTGCATGAGGCAAATGGTGGTCACACCAGATACTGACTGGTTCTGATCGCGCTGTCGCGTTGCATGAGGCAAATGGTGGTCACACCAGATACTGACTGGTTCTGATCCACGCCCCTATCTTTTTTTTTTTTTTTTAGGTGATCTGTATTCCCAGTCATGTGAAATCCATAGATTAGGGCCTAATCAATTTATTTCAATTGACTGATTTCATTATATGAACTGTAACTCAGTAAAATCTTTGAAATTGTTGCATGTTGAGTTTACATTTTTGTTCAGTTAACCTTCTGGTAAACAAATGGAAACTACAGTAAAAACTGCCTTTAGAGTGTGTTGTGTTGTGAGGTGCATTAGGTTTCCCCATCCTGGGCTAGGTGACCAGTTCCAATAGGGTTAGTTGTTCAGCCTGATCACTAGAAATATACTTAGATTTCAGACATTTGAAAAGATCCCTGGAACTTTATACAGTGCATTCGGAAGGTATTCAGACCCCTTGTCTTTATCCACATTTTGTTACGTTACAGCCTTATTCTAAAATTGATTAAATTGTTTTTTCCCCCCTCAATCAATCTACACACAATACACCATAATGACAAAGCAAAAGCAGTTTATTTTTTTGAAAGATCACATTTACTTAAGTATTCAGACCCTTTACTCAGTACTTTGTTGAAGCACCTTTGGCAGCGATTACAGCCTCGAGTCTTCTTGGGTATGACGCTACAAGCTTGGCACACCTATATTTGGGGAGTTTCTCCCATTCTTCTCTGCAGATCCTCTCAAGCTCTGTCAGGTTGGATAGGGAGCTTCGCTGCACAGCTATTTTCAGGTCTCTCCGAAGATGTTCGTTCGGGTACAAGCCTGGGCTCTGGCTGGGCCGCTCAAGGACATTCAGAGACTTGTCCCGAAGCCACTCCTGCGTAGTCTTGGTTGTGTGCTTAGGGTCGTTGACCTGTTGGAAGGGGAACTCTCGCCCCAGTCTGAGGTCCTGAGCGCTCTGGAGCAGGTTTTCGTCAAGGATCTCTCTGTACTTTGCGCCGTTCATCTTTCCCTCAATCCTGACTAGTCTCCCAGTCCCTGCTGCTGAAAAACATCCCCACAGCATGATGCTGCTGCCACCACCATGCTTCACCGTAGGGATGGTGCCAGGTTTCCTCCAGATGTGATGCTTCGCATTCAGGCCAAAGAGTTACGTCTTGGTTTCATCAGACCAGAGAATCTTGTTTCTCATGGTCTAAGAGTCTTTAGGTGCCTTACGGCAAACTCCAAGCGGGCTGTCATGTGCCTTTTATTGAGGAGTGGCTTCAGTCTGGCCACTCTACCATAAAGGCCTGATTGGTGGAGTGCTGCAGAGATGGTTGTCCTTCTGGAAGGTTCTCCTATCTCCACAGAGGAACTCTGGAGCTCTGTCAGAATGACCATCGGGTTCTTGGTCACCTCCCTGACCAAGGCCCTTCTCCCTCGATTGCTCAGTTTGGCCGGGCGGCCAGCTCTAGTAAGAGTATTGGTGTTTCCAAACTTCTTCCATTTAAGAATGATGGAGGCCACTGTGTTATTGGGGACCTTCAATGCTGCAGAAATGTTTTGGTACCCTTCCCCAGATCTGTGCTTCGACACAATCCTGTCTCTGAGCTCTACGGACAATTCCTTCGACCTCATGGCTTGGTTTTTAGCTCTGACATGCACTGTCAACTGTGGGACCTTATGTAGACAGGTGTGTGCCTATCCAAATCATGTCCAATCAATTGAATTCACCACAGGTGGAGTCCAATCAAGTTGTAGAAACATCTCAAGGATGATCAATGGAAACAGGATGCACCTGACCTCAATTTCGAGTCACATAGCAAAGGGTCTGAATACTTATGTAAATAAGGTATATTTTTCATTTTTAATACATTTGCAAAAATGTCTAAAAACCTCTTTGTTTTGTCATTATGGGATATTGTGTGTAGATTGATGAGGATTTTGTTGTTGTTTTAATTCATTTTAGAATAAAGCTGTAAGCTAACAAATGTGGAAATAGTCAAGGGGTCTGAATACTTTCCGAATGCACTGTATATGCCTTCCTCAGCGCTCACAAAAAACAAAAAAGCGATTGCCCAGCACCGGGCGCGAACTCGTGATGCTCCAAGCCAGAGCACACTGCTTAGACCACTGCGCCACCGCAGTTCACAATGCTCTAGCAAGCCGTGAGAATACTTGATACTTGATGGTAATAGCATGTCGTTTTTTATTATTTTGTTTTAAGCCTTCCCCAAACCATAGCCCTAACCTTAACCACTCGGAAATAATACCTAAACTTAACCCTGTGACCACGTGGAATTAATGCATAAAAAATAGAGACTTCATCCAGAATACGTCGAATTCCGAAGGGAAACTATGAGATCTTGTTGAGTTGTTAGTATGTGTATGTGTGAGGGTGCGTTAGGTTTACCCACCCCATCCTGGGTGAGGTGAGCAGGTCCAGCAGGGGCAGCAGAACGTCCTGGTTGATCTTCATCAGCATGTCCATGAGGGTGGAGTCTGACAGGAACACAATGATCTTCTGGGTCAGAACCACGGCTCCCAGCAGACCTGCCTCCTTACGGGTGTTCAGACGACACGACACAGGGGGAGACACCTGGTGGGGGGAACACACCACACAAGGTTAACATACCATACAGGGTTACAACTCTCAGAGCCAAAAGAGGAATGACCTCCAGTAGTGAAACTGTGTAGAGCCTTCAGGAAATACTCATGTCTATTACCATACAAAGCTAAGTATATGACATAGGTTGCGTCTCAAATGGCACCGGGCCCTGGTCAAAAATAGTAAACTATATAGGAAATAGGGAGCCATTTGGGATGCAACCATAGCAAGGGCAATGAAATAAAAGACAGTATTACCAGGTATCCAATGTAGGGCAGGTACTGGTAGGTGAGTACAGGCTCTCCATAGAGGTGTGCGATGTAGATGAGACAGTCCAGAACTGGTCCTGCTGTCTGGTCTCCTACCACAGGCTTCTTCTCATACACACTGCCCATCCCAACACTCTCCAGGCTGCTCTCCTCCGACGCCACCGGAGCCACAAACTGGTGCTTCTCAGGGCCTGGTTGGTTAGAGGGAGATGAGAGAGAGCGCATATACTGACATTTCCATTTCCAACAGTAGGCACTATAAAACGACACATACAGTAAGGGAAAAAAGTATTTGATCCCCTGCTGATTTTGTACGTTTGCCCACTGACAAATAAATTATCAGTCTATAATTTTAATGGTAGGTTTATTTGAACAGTGAGAGACAGAATAACAACAACATAAATCCAGAAAAACGCATGTCAAAAATGTTATACATTTATTTGCATTTTAATGAGGGAAATAAGTATTTGACCCCTCTGCAAAACATGACTTAGTACTTGGTGGCAAAACCCTTGTTGGCAATCACAGAGGTCAGACGTTTCTTGTAGCTGGCCACCAGGTTTGCACACATCTCAGGAGGGATTTTGTCCCACTCCTCTTTGCAGATCTTCTACAAGTCATTAAGGTATCGAGGCTGACGTTTGGCAACTCAAACCTTCAGCTCCCTCCACAGATTTTCTATGGGATTAAGGTCTGGAGACTGGCTAGGCCACTCCAGGACCTTAATGTGCTTCTTCTTGAGCCACTCCTTTGTTGCCTTGGCCGTGTGTTTTGGGTCGTTGTCATGCTGGAATACCCATCCACGACCCATTTTCAAATGCCCTGGCTGAGGGAAGGAGGTTCTCACCCAAGATTTGACGGTACATGGCCCCGTCCATCATCCCTTTGATGCGGTGAAGCTGTCCTGTCCCCTTAGCAGAAAAACACCCCCAAAGCATAATGTTTCCACCTCCATGTTTGACGGTGGGGATGGTGTTCTTGGGGGTCATAGGCAGCATTCCTCCTCCTCCAAACACGGCGAGTTGAGTTGATGCCAAAGAGCTCCATTTTGGTCTCATCTGACCACAACACTTTCACCCAGTTCTCCTCTGAATCATTCAGATGTTCATTGGCAAACTTCAGACAGGCATGTATATGTGCTTTCTTGAGCAGGGGGACCTTGCGGGCGCTGCAGGATTTCAGTCCTTCACGGCGTAGTGTGTTACCAATTGTTTTCTTGGTGACTATGGTCCCAGCTGCCTTGAGATCATTGACAAGATCCTCCCGTGTAGTTCTGGGCTGATTCCTCACCATTCTCATGATCATTGCAACTCCACGAGGTGAGATCTTGCATGGAGCCCCAGGCCGAGGGAGATTTACAGTTATTTTGTGTTTCTTCCATTTGAGAATAATCGCACCAACTGTTGTCACCTTCTCACCAAGCTGCTTGGCGATGGTCTTGTAGCCCATTCCAGCCTTGTGTAGGTCTACAATCTTGTCCCTGACATCCTTGGAGAGCTCTTTGGTCTTGGCCATGGTGGAGAGTTTGGAATCTGATTGATTGATTGCTTCTGTGGACAGGTGTCTTTTATACAGGTAACAAGCTGAGATTAGGAGCACTCCCTTTAAGAGTGTGCTCCTAATCTCAGCTCATTACCTGTATAAAAGACACCTGGGAGCCAGAAATCTTTCTGATTGAGAGGGGGTCAAATACTTATTTCCCTCATTAAAATGCAAATCAATTTATAACATTTTTGACATGCGTTTTTCTGGATTTTTTTGTTGTTATTCTGTCGCTCACTGTTCAAATAAACCTACCATTAAAATTATAGACTGATAATTTCTTTGTCAGTGGGCAAACGTACAAAATCAGCAGGGGATCAAATACTTTTTCCCCCTCACTGTATAATCTCTGATTTAATAGGGATATCTTAATTTAATAGGATCTCTGTGGTATGCACAGTCAAATTTATTTTGAAGTGTGAACTGGCAGATGGTGTCACATTTCAACCAGGACAATAGTGTGGTGACTTGGTGTTTTCTGTAATATAGTATGTATGAACCGTTACAGCAAACTCTTTCAGTATTTGAAAATCCTGTCCTTTCAGTGCCGACTATCCATCAGTTACTCACCAATGTAGCAGGTGGTGAGCAGCCGGAGCAGATTCCTGGCCACATATCGAGATGTCACAGTGGGTCCAAGCTTTGCAGACAGCCATCTAACTGTCTTGCAGACAGTGTCTGTAGGGAGAAATCAATTAGCAGTGTTATACAGTCAACACAACAATGACAACTGATATTCTCAGCACCCAAAACCAAATCTCTCGCTAATCGATTTGGGTTCTAGGGTAAAATGCTTTCCAATCTCTCTTAACAAAATCCCCCGCCCCCTCTGCCAAAGCCCATCCCCAGTGGGGGGTGAGACATCAAACACATTGAGCAACTACAACTTGAAATCTGCTGCAATGCCTGTTCATGTGGGGGTAAAGTTCAGTTCAGCACTCATTTGTCCTAGCCTGGGTAGAAGTCTGTTTGTGCAAACATTCCACTCCAAACATTGTTTGGCATTAGACAGAGTACAAGGAGTGTAATGTTAGCTAAAAACAGGTCTGGATTTCAGGCTACATTTATCCAGGGCAAAGTCCAGCACTGTAGCATTCAATTGGTCTTTTCTGGATGTGTGTGTAAAGAAGACCATTTCACCCAGTAGACTACTGTCGAGATTTAATGACAAGGCATTGTTTAAGAATGAAGGGTGCTGCTGTAACTCTGCTGGTGTTGCTGGTCTGTCTGTCTGGGGTATGGGCTCTGGGGGATAGTGGAGGGAGGGTCAAAGGGAGTGAAAGTATCAGCCCTGACATCTGGACTGAGCTGAGATCGCTGAGAAACATGGTGGTGGAACAGACAGTGGTGCTGAGAAACATGGAGGCCAAATTGAGGGACAGTGAGAAACAGATGGAGGAGATGAAGAGAGACTTATGTCATCATAGGACATTGACGAAAACCAACTCAAACCAAAGGTGCTTATCATCCACATAGTGTGCATGTGTATGACACATCTACTGTAGTCAAGGAGTGACGTGAGAAAACATACAACTTTCACAACAGTTGAAGATGTTAAGATAATATATAGTAGAATGGCCAGAATTAGTGACTAAATCAATGGATGCCTGAGGGGAAAAAAGTGGTCAAAAATCAGGGAAATTGCATCGCGTTAGCTAGGCTGGATTCTGTAGCTCAGCTGGTAGAGCACGGCGCTTGTAACGCCAAGGCAGTGGGTTCGATCCCCGGGACCACCCATACACAAAAAAATGTTTATGCACGCATGACTGTAAGTCGCTTTGGATAAAAGCGTCTGCTAAATGGCATATTATATTTATATTATATTTATTATATTATTATACTTTCCCGTTGAACTCGTCATCTTTCTTCTCGAATCCGCAGGACATAAAACAAACAATACAGAGGTAAGAAGGATATACATTTTTAGACATAACATGTAGTATTTTCATATTTTAGTAAACGCTTTCATATTAAATTTGAAATTCCTGTTCTTTTTAGAAGATTTCGCACAAAAACAAGCGTATCGCTGTGAAATGTCAACGGAGCACTGAGCGTATAGCAAGCGTTTTATTTTCAAAGCCTTTTACATTTAATTCAGATTGTGTCATGCTAATTTATCTTTTTGTGACCCGCGGAAATAACTTTGAAGACAACGACCACAAAATGCAAAATCCTCAAAAGGTTGTTACGAGAAACCTGCACCGCAATCAACAGAGCTAGGATATAATGTTAATGATATGTTAGAGCAAGACCCCACTGAATGATTCAGAACATGAATAATCATATTATTCTACAGTGAGGGAAAAAAGTATTTGATCCCCTGCTGATTTTGAACGTTTGCCCACTGACAAAGAAATGACCAGTCTATAATTTGAATGGTAGGTTTATTTGAACAGTGAGAGACAGAATAACAACAATTAAATCCAGAAAAACGCACGTCAAAATTGTTATAAATTGATTTGCATTTTAATGAGGGAAATAAGTATTTGACCCCTCTGCAAAACATCAGATTCCAAACTCTCCACCATGGCCAAGACCAAAGAGCTCTCCAAGGATATCAGGGACAAGATTGTAGACCTACACAAGGCTGGAATGGGCTACAAGACCATCGCCAAGCAGCTTGGTGAGAAGGTGACAACAGTTGGTGCGATTATTCGCAAATGGAAGAAACACAAAATAACTGTAAATCTCCCTCAGCCTGGGGCTCCATGCAAGATCTCACCTCGTGGAGTTGCAATGATCATGAGAACGGTGAGGAATCAGCCCAGAACTACACGGGAGGATCTTGTCAATGATCTCAAGGCAGCTGGGACCATAGTCACAAAGAAAACAATTGGTAACACACTATGCCGTGAAGGACTGAAATCCTGCAGCGCCCGCAAGGTCCCCCTGCTCAAGAAAGCATATATACAGGCCCGTCTGAAGTTTGCCAATGAACATCTGAATGATTCAGAGGAGAACTGGGTAAAAGTGTTGTGGTCAGATGAGACCAAAATCGAGCTCTTTGGCATCAACTCAACTCGCCGTGTTTGGAGGAGGAGGAATGCTGCCTATGACCCCAAGAACACCATCCCCACCGTCAAACATGGAGGTGGAAACATTATGCTTTGGGGGTGTTTTTATGCTAAGGGTACAGGACAACTTCACCGCATCAAAGGGACGATGGACGGGGCCATGTACCGTCAAATCTTGGGTGAGAACCTCCTTCCCTCAGCCAGGGCATTGAAAATGGGTCGTGGATGGGTATTCCAGCATGACAATGACCCAAAACACACGGCCAAGGCAACAAAGGAGTGGGTCAAGTAGAAGCACATTAAGGTCCTGGAGTGGCCTAGCCAGTCTCCAGACCTTAATCCCATAGAAAATCTGTGGAGGGAGCTGAAGGTTTGAGTTGCCAAACGTCAGCCTCGAAACCTTAATGACTTGGAGAAGATCTGCAAAGAGGAGTGGGACAAAATCCCTCCTGAGATGTGTGCAAACCTGGTGGCCAACTACAAGAAACGTCTGACCTCTGTGATTGCCAACAAGGGTTTTGCCACCAAGTACTAAGTCATGTTTTGCAGAGGGGTCAAATACTTATTTCCCTCATTAAAATGCAAATCAATTTATAACAATTTTGACGTGCGTTTTTCTGGATTTCTTTGTTGTTATTCTGTCTCTCACTGTTCAAATAAACCTACCATTAAAATTATAGACTGATCATGTCTTTGTCAGTGGGCAAACGTACAAAATCAGCAGGGGATCAAATACTTCTTTCCCTCACTGTAGGTAAAATGTATTTTATAAACATAAGGAAGTGAAACTTCATCACCAAAGTGTTTTTTCACCCACAGTGAGTTTACGGTCAGTCCGAAAACATTTTTTCTCCACACAAACAGCAGAGATTATTTTATTGGAACTCTTGTTAAAGTTGAAAACATGAACAATGGAACATTAGGCCTATTTAACGTCATTAAAGAGACCGACTTTGGGGTGATATTATAGTAAGACTACTTTTGGGGTGATGTTATAGTGAAAGGATCTGTGGTAACAGTCTAGGCATTCATACGCCAGATATTTGCTACAAACATTGAAGGGTAGGGTATATTTCAGACTGCGACATTGGGATGTGGGAGGTCTTCCAAGTGCACTTTAGAGCCGATTGGCCTAATTGTTTCTCAATGTTTAATGTTTTCTTCCTTGGTATTTTAGCCTTGGAGACCAGAATGACAACCATGAGAGCCAGGTGTGGAATCTGAAGACCGAGAATGCAGGTAAAACAGATGTGAACTTAACACCAATTTTACGAAAACAATTGTAACTATTGTTCAATAAATCCTGTTCAACATGATCCTGTTCTCTCCTGTGTCCGCTGCGCAGGCAGACACAAGGTGGCATTCTACACCTCTTTGTCTAACTCGGGAGCAATGTATTTCGGACCCTTCAACACTGAAACCACATTGGTCTACAAAACCGTCATCACAAACACTGGCACAGCCTACAACCAAACTACAGGTAGCGTCTTCAGTGCTTACACACCAACCTACATGTCCACAGCAGTGGAGGTTGTTGAGGGGAGGACGGCTCATAATAATGGCTGGAAAGGAGCAAATGGAATGGCATCAAATAACATGGACACCATGTGTTTGATGTATTTGATACCATTCCACTCAAGCCATTACCATGAGTCCATCCTCCCCAATTAAGGTGCCACCAACCTCCTGTGGTCCACAGTGGCCAGCTACAGACACTGAGTCCAACATCACTGGCTGGCTGCTCCAGTGTCTATAAGAGATAGACATTGTTGATCTCTCCCCATTTTCCCCTCTGAAACAGGTATCTTCACAGCACCAGTGAAAGGAGTCTACTACTTCAGATTCACTGCCATGGACCGCCGGGGCTCTGCTTTACTGGGTGTAAACTTGTACAAAGGTGTCGAGAATGTGATGCACAATGGCATCTACAATCTTCACAGTGGCAACAACGAGCCCATTTCCAACGCGGTGGTTCTCGAATTGTACGTGGGGGACGTGGTGTACATGCGTCTCCCTGCGGGCTATGGACTCTATGATGATTCCAGTCACTACACCACATTCAGTGGCTTCCTGCTCTTCCCTATGTGAAGGGAGTGCCATGAACGCTGTATGATTTAGACTACGGCCATAACCGACAGCTTCTCTGTATACTGTCATAACTTGTAACTCTATACTGTCTAATGACTGGCTAATCAAGACACTGTACTTTGTTTTATTTCTTCAGCAAAAAACAAAGATCATATGATAAGCGCATATTAAGTTTCTAAACCTAATAATAAAAAATGCAATCAGCAATAATTATCTTTTCCTGTTATGAATTGTGAACAGAATGGGCTCTGTAATTCAGAGAAATTCTAACAGATCAAGAGCATTTTGTTCTGGGTTCTGGAACTCAGAGCAGAATTCTAGAATCAGATTGCAGGAGGGACATGAGTGGTTGGGTGCTGATATCCTCTCACTCTATCCGACCATTCTCTCTCACACTATCACTTACAGTTGTGTCAGATAGGCCTATTACACAATACAGACTCTGCTAAACTCACATCTACCCACACGCTCTCATTCACACACACACACAGTGGTTATGGTATGTTAGTAGAATCTCACCTAGAAGGATCTTGTGCTCTTTCTCCTCAGAGTCCTCTGACGGGTCATGCTCTCCCTCCTCCTCCTCTCCCACCATGTCTTTCTGTGCGTTCTCCAGCTCCATGCCATTGACAAACTCTCCCTCCAGGGTGGCCACTGTCTCCTCTGTGCAGCCAGATAGAGTCAGTTCTAGGTTGGGACCACTGCCCTCCCCTGTCCCGCTCTCCTTCCCCTCCTCAGTCTCCTCCTCCAGCTCCCCTCCCTCCTCTCCCTCGCTGGCCTGCTTCAGGTCCTGGCTGCTGTCAGCTGACTTCAGACTGGCTCGGTCCCGAGTGGAGTCGGCGTCTCCGATAGAGACCTCGCTAGTGCTGCTCTTGTCGCTCAGTTTCCCCACGCTCAAAGACTCCTGGTCCTGCTCGTTGCCTCCTGCTGCTGAGTTCTGGCTCTGCAGTTTACCCCCAGCAGCTCCCCCTGTTCCATTGTTGACGTAGAAGCCATTCTGGAAATCCTCCCCCTCTGAGAGGAACACCTGGTCGTTGAGGCTGATACCTGAGGAGTAGTCCACCAGCCCTGGGTCTCCCCCCACCCCTACACCCCCAGCCCCTCCACTGCCTCCTCCTACCTTCCCACTCACAGAGCCTGAGGACGGCCTGCCTTCCTGGTAGTCCTCCTCCTCCTCTCCTAGGTCACATGCCCCTCCCCTCAGGCCTTTGCTGGCCTCCCATTGGGGCTCAGATCCCGAGCTGCAGCTCTCAAAGCCAGAGATGATCTGGAGCACGTGTGGCAGGAGGCTGGACAGGAAGGCCTGCAGGCCCAGTCTGACGATCAGCTGCAGAACAAAGCAGTCTGTGTAGAGGTAGAAGCGACCTCTGAGGCACCGCGGGTTCTCATACACACTGACCAGGGGCTTCAGGAGATACTTGGCTGCGTTTCTGGGCCCAAGTACCCTAGAGATGGGCTCAAACAGGTACCAGGCAGCATACACAGCAGTGGACTCCTCTAGCATGAGCGCCAGCACAAAGGGCAGGAGGATCTCCAGCCCCTCAGCTGTGATGACTCCCTGTAACAGTGTCTCCAGCTGCTGCCATAGGTGGAAGACCACATCGCGACCTTGAAGGCTGCAGGTGGTCTCCATCTTGGAATGGTAGGAGTAGATGAAATGGTGGAGGGCAGGGAAATAGGTGGGGAAAGGCAAAGGGGAGAGGATGGGGCTCAGTAACTGACAGGGGTTTGGGGGAGGGAGACCCTCATAAATGGGGTCGTATTTAAAAAGAAGAGGTCGAGGACAACATGGTTTCTCTACTTTGGCTTTGAAGGAGTGCTGGCGTAGCTGTAGCAGTGTCTCCAGAGCGTGATGCAATGGCAGGGGCACGTCACGCAGGCTGGCCGAACATAGATTAATCACAGCCTGGAAGCGCTCACTCAGGGGGGTGCCTGGTTTCACGCCCCGCAGTTTAGACGAGTAGAAGATCTCTGCTATGAGGACGCCCAGAGCCTGCATGTCCCTCTGGTAGAGTTCTGCTAGCAAGGGGAGACATTGTGGAGCTCCTGTCCTCTCCTTCCTGGAGTCAGATTGGTGCCAGACTTGTGCATGCAGGCTCTTCACCAAGAAGTTGTTCAGTTTCTCCAGCTCTTCCAGAGGTTGAAGGGGGCTGAAGCCCTCAGGCAGGGTGATCTTGAAGTCCTCTGTGTTGGTGGCACCACTCACACTCCCCTCTCCGTGCTTCTTGTTTATGGGGCCTGCTCTCTGTAGCATGGCACTGCGTATGCCAGAGCCCAGGGCGCTGGTGGCATTACCTGCTGTCCCCTCCCCAGGCAAAGAGCTGGGAGACTGGGACACCACCATGGCTGGGTGCTCTCCTCCAGTCTTCCCCCCAGACCTTGCGGTGCTGATGAGAGGTAGAGGGATAGAGGAGGTAGTGGAGGTGCCAATGGCGGCCCCTCCACTGAGTGAGTCCAGAGCCTCCATACCTTGTTCTAGCTCTTCATCTCGGTCTACCATGGTCCAGCCACTGGACTCACACCCCGTGGCCTCTGGGACCATTCCGTCCACCACGGCATCTAGCGGTGGGATCTGTAGAGGAGGCACGTTGAGAGTGGCGGGGCCCAGGAGAGGGGGTTCAGGTAGCGAGTACTGGTAAGGTGCAAGGCGGGGTGGGTGGGGCTGGTCAAACAGCTGGACTACTCCGTAGCTGGTCAGATGGGTGTGGTTGTCCACCAGGTGCAGGCACACGTTCTTGGCCTTGATGGCTTCTTTACCAGACAGCTTGTAGCCGAACGTCAGGTCTATCCAGTAGTGCAGCTGCTGAGACACCTCTCGGCTCTCCAGGAGGCATCTGTGCACCTCGATGAACTCCTCACAGGAGTTACACCATGGGGGAACTTCCAGATCCGGCATGTCAGGGTGGATGGAGCGGAATATGGAGGGATCTGTGTAGAACTCTGGGATACATTCATCCGGGGTCCAGCTCTGGATGCGTTCCATACTGGCTGGGTATTCGTTCGGTTCCCACTGAGACCTGACATGGCTGCACAGCACTGACTTGGGTGTCTGCCGGGCCCTGTAGACGTAGTAGGTGATGTCTGACAACACGTCTGAGATGTGATGGGGCACGTGTAGGTGTTCAGACTGCCCTGAACCACCGGCGCCTACAGACCCACCCAGACCCAGGTCTCCTATAATACTGACTGCCCCACCTCCGTTAGCCACCGCTGCTGCAAGGGCCTCTTTGGTCATCTCATAGGTAAAGTCCAGCTGCTTGTCTCCTTTATTCAGCCTGAACTTGGACCGCCTGAGGTCCCGGAACCTCCCATATGGCACAGTGAAGTCCACCACCCAGGGCAGGACCGGGTGGTAGTTAGGGTCTCCCTCCCGCCGTCCAGCTAACCTGTTCAGCTCCATCAGGTAGCGGAAGTTGCTGACTCTACCATGGACCCAGTCCAGGACCAAGGACTTGAGCTCATCAAAACAATCTCTACACAGCCTCTTATCACGGTCACGGTTCACACCTTGGCCCTGGTCTCTCGCCTTGATGCTTCTTGGCACTTGTCCCTCAGTAACATAGCCGTCAGCCTCTCTGTCCTCCCCCAGAGCTTCATAATGGGCCAGGGTGACCTTGAGGCGGCTGCAGAGCTGCTCGTCCACCGCTATGTCCTGCAGGGAGAGCTCTCCACAGGACAGCCCTGACGCCTGACAGGCCCGCAACGCGATTAGTAACTGGTAGAGGATGAACAGCACTTTGGCATGGCTGTTGGCCAGCTTGGCTGGGCTGTAGGTGACGATGTCGTGGAGTGAGTACTGGGTGTAGGGGAGAACCACGTAGAGCATCTCTGCTGACTCCAGTAGGCACTCAGCAGGGAGGATGTTAGGACACAGTTGGTCTGAGGGGTGCTTAGAGGAGGAGGCGCTGCTTGGGGAGAATGGGTTGTCTTTGTCCTTGTCTCTGGCAGGGGAGAGGGATGGTGACACGGGGATGGAGACGAACGTAGAGCAGAAGAGCTTCTGCAGCGCTTGGCGCACAGCATCTATGGCTGCTACGTGCATCTGCTCCGTAGCCCCTGCATAGGGCTGCACGTGGCTGTGATGAGCCTCGCACCACAGGTTTCTGTGAAAGGACCAAAACAGATATGAGTACGGTAACGACTCAACCATGTTTTATTACACATATCCATAAATGTATTACATTTTGAGGGCTACATTTTACAATTAATTTATTAGGAGTTTAAAATTTTAACTTATATGTAAATTCTTGAAATAAATGTACAATGCTGTTATTTCACAATTAAAATGGACAAAAAAAATATGTATGTATGCAATTAAAACTGGAAAAATACCTGAAATTACATTGTGATACCCCCTGCATGGTCTTCATGAAAGAATCCTGGGAGACTAGTTGGCAGCCTGGGTCCCTTGCCAGCCTGTAGCTCAGCTTGCTCTTCCTCAGGCCCTGGATGCACACTCGGGTCCAGCCAGGAGGCAGCTTCACCAGGGAGCGCTGGAGGTAGGTGCGAATCTCTGCCTCACTGGCGCTCTCTGAACGGGCACAGCGGATGACCCTCCTCTCCCTTAGGCCCATCACCCAGCGGGTGGGGACCAGGGCCACCAGCTCTTGAGGCCGGGGCCCTGGACCTAGCTGCCGACGATCCACCCCTAGGTCCTTCTCTACAGCTGACACTAGCCACTCCATGGTGACCTACTCTTTCAGGCCTGACAGACAGGAGTGACACACTGTCCTGCTGTCGTCCCACTGGCTCCCTCCTCACTACCAGCACAGAGAATGACTCTCTCTCACCCTTTCATGGAAGGAGGAAGTGCTGACATGTAGGAGCGGGTTGTGTCTGACAATGTTTCCTGTGAAGACATTTGAAACAGAATATAAATTATCAAGTTGCATTACAATGTTAAACAGAATGTAGGTAAGATGAACCTGGTTTGAATGGTTTAATTAAAATACAAATCTGCATAGAAACAAGACTTTCATTCATTTTACACTAAACTAACGAGTGAGCTTGTCCAGGGGTGGTGCTGCTGACATGAATGATAGCTAAGCTGCTACTGCTTATTATCTATCCTGTTGCCTATTCACTTTACCCCTACCCATATGTACTGTACATATCTACCTCGTACCCCTGCACATCGACTCGGTACTGGTACTGTATAAAGTTATTGTTACTCATTGTGTTTTTATTCCTTGTGTGATCTTCCTCTCTGCATTGTTGGAAAGGCCCGTAAGCATTTCACTGTTAGTCTACACCTGTTGTTTACGAAGCATGTGACAAATACAATTTGATTTGATCAACTTTACTCGTTAGGCTAAGCTCTACTCACGTGACTCTCCTACTGCCTATCCAATGGCTTTTCAAGGAAATAGATAGATCCAGCCAGCTAATCAACACAAGCACAACAAGTGAAAGATGAATGAATATGATGACAGCTGCTAGTTATTATTCCACTTCATCTTCCACTGAGCCATTGGAAAGGCAGTAGTAGAGTCATGTGAGCAGAGCTTAGCCTAACGAGACGGGTCTATCTGCAGACCGCATTTACTACATGCCACGGCCACCATGCATCACTTACTACTGCCACTGAGGCTGCTAGCTAGGACAGGGTTTCCCATTGAGACTGCCAGCTAGCTAGGAAATAATGGTGCAGCCGGAGGAGATGGCTGCTATTGTGTGTTTTTTTTTCGTGTTATTTGTAATTTATTCTGTACATAATGTTTCTGCCACCGTCTCTTATGACCGAAAAGAGCTTCTGGATATCACGACTGCGATTACCCACCTCGTACTGGACAAAGATTTTTACTTCAACGAGTCGGACGCAAAGGATTTTCTTCAGAACCCGACAAGGCCCAAATCCCTGTCATTCGCATGAGAAAGAGAAGGAGATATCGGGGACGTAGGTCGGGGTGCCTTATAAGGATCCGACGGCGAGTGTGTAATCTGCCTCTACCATCAGTCCTATTAGCCAACATACAATCATTGGATAACAAAATAGACAAACTTCGATCACGGATATCCTACCAACGGGACATTAAAAACTGTAATATCTTATGTTTCACCGAGTCGTGGCTGAACAACGACATGGATAACATACAGCTGGCAGGATATACGCTGCATCGGCAAGATAGAACAGCTGCCTCCGGTAAGACAAGGGGTGGAGGTCTGTGTATATTTGTAAACAACAGCTGGTGCACGAAATGTAATATTAAGGAAGTCTCAAGGTTTTACTTGCCTGAGGTAGAGTATCTCATGATAGCTGTAGACCACACTATTTACCAAGAGAGTTTATCTATATTTTTCGTAGCTGTCTATTTACCACCACAAACCAATGCTGGCACCAAGACCGAACTCAATGAGCTGCGTAAGGCCATAAGCAAACAGGAAAACGCTCATCCAGAGGCGGCACTCCTAGTGGCCGGGGACTTTAATGCAGGGAAACTTAAATCTGTTTTTCCTAATTTCTACCAGCATGTTACATGTGCAACAAGAAAAAAATAAATCTAGACACATACAAAGCTCTCCCTCGCCCTCCATTTGCCAAATCTGACCATAATTATATCCTCATGATTCCTGCTTACCAGCAAAAACTAAAGCAGGAAGCACCAGTGACTCGGTCAATAAAGAAGTGGTCAGATGACGCAGATGCTAAGCTACAGGACTGTTTTGCTAGCACAGACTGGAATATGTTCCGGGATTCTTCCGATGGCATTGAGGAGTACACCACATCAGTCACTGGCTTCATCAATAAGTGTATCGATGACGTCGTCCCCACAGTGACCGTACATACCCCAACCAGAAGCCATGGATTACAGGCAACATCCGCACTGAGCTAAAGGGTAGAGCTGCCGCTTTCAAGAAGCGGGACTCTAACTCGGACGCTTATAAGAAATCCCGCTATGCCCTCCGACGAACCATCAAACAGGCAAAGCGTCAATACAGGACTAAGATTGAGTCGTACTACACCGGCTCCGACGCTCGTCGGATGTGGCAGGGCTTGCAAACTATTACAGACTACAAAGGGAAGCACAGCCGGTAGCTGCCCAGTGACACGAGCCTACCAGACGAGCTAAATTACTTCTATGCTCGCTTTGAGGCAAGTAACACTGAAGCATGCATGAGAGCATCAGCTGTTCCGGACAACTGTGTGATCACGCTCTCTGTAGCCGATGTGAGTAAGACCTTTAAACAGGTCAACATTCACAAGGTCAGACGGATTACCAGGACGTGTACTCCGAGCATGCGCTGACCAACTGGCAAGTGTATTCACTGACATTTTCAACCTCTCCCTGACTGAGTCTGTAATACCAACATGTTCCAAGGAGACCACCATAGTCCCTGTGCCCAACAACACTAAGGTAACCTGCCTAAATGACTACCGACCCATAACACTCACGTCTGTAGCCATGAAGTGCTTTGAAAGGCTGATCATGGCTCACAACACCATTATCCCAGAAACCCTAGACCCACTCCAATTTGCATACCGCCCCAACAGATGATACAATCTCTATTGCACTCCACACTGCCCTTTCATACCTGGACAAAATGAATACCTACGTGAGAATGCTATTCATTGACTACAGCTCAGCGTTCAACACCATAGCACCCTCAAAGCTCATCACGAAGCTAAGGACCTTGGGACTAAACACCTTCTGCAACTGGATCCTGAACTTCATGACGGGCCACCCACAGGTGGTAAGGGTAGGTAACAACACATCTGTCACGCTGATCCTCAACACGGGGGCCCCTCAGGGGTGCGTGCTCAGTCCCCTCCGGTACTCCCTGTTCACCCATGACTGCATGGCCAGGCACGACTCCAACACCATCATTAAGTTTGCCGACGACACAACAGTGGTAGGCCTGATCACCGGCAACGATGAGACAGCCTATAGGGAGTAGGTCAGAGACCTGGCCCGGGTGGTGTCAGGATAACAACCTCTCCCTCAACGTGATCAAGACAAAGGAGATGATTGTGGACTACAGGAAAAAGAGGACTGAGCACGTCCCCATTCTCAACGACGGGGCTGTAGTGGAGCAGGTTGAGAGCTTCAAGTTCCTTGGTGTCCACATCACAAACAAACTATCATGGTCCAAACACACCAAGACAGTCGTGAAGAGGGCACGACTATTCCCCCTCAGGAGACTGAAAAGATTTGGCATGGGTCCTCAGATCCTCAAAAAGTTATACAGCTGCACCATCGAGAGCATCCTGACTGGTTGCATCACTGCCTGGTATGGCAACTGCTCGGTATCGAACCGCAAGGCACTACGGAGGGTAGTGCGTACGGCCCAGTACATCACTGGGGCCAAGCTTCCTGCCATCCAGGACCTCTATACCAGGCGGTGTCAGAGGAAGGCCCTAAAAATTGTCAAAGACTCCAGCCACCCTATTCATAGCCTATTCTCTCTGCTACCGCACGGCAAGCGGTACCGGAGCGCCAAGTCTAGGTCCAAAAGGCTTCTTAACAGCGTCTACCCCCAAGCCATAAGACTCCTGAACAGCTAATCAAATGGCTACCCGGACTATTTGCATTGTTCCCCCACCACCCTCTTTTACGCTTCTGCTACTTTGTTTATTATCTATGCATTGTCATTTTCCCTCTACCTACATGTACATATTACCTCAACTAACCTGTACCCCCGCACATTGACTCTGTACTAATACCCCATGTATATAGCCTCTCTACTGTTATTTTACTGCTGCTCTTTAATTCTTTGTTATTATTATTTTTTACCTACCACTTATTTTTCTTAAAACTGCATTGTTGGTTAAGGGCTTGTAAGTAAGCATTTCACTGTAAGGTTGTATTCGGCGCATGTGACAAATACAATTTGATTTTGACAGGGTTTCCCCATTGAGGCTGCTAGCTAGCTAGGACAGGGTTTCCCAAAGTAGGTCCTGGAGCCCCTCCCTGGGTGCACTTTTAGTTTTTTGCCCTATCACTACACAACTGATTCAAATCACTGACTCATCATCAAGCTTGGATTGTTTGAATCAGCTGTGTAGTGTTAGGGCAAAAAACTAAACGTGCACCCAAAGGGGCCCCAGGACCGAGTTTGGGGAAACACCGAGCTAGGACACTGCCACACAGTGTTATTTGCCCCGCCTGCCGAGCACTGCTTTCCAGCAGTTATTTGAACGTTAAAATCCTTTTTTTCGGCGGTTGGCATCCAACATTGGTACATTACGTTACCGCCACCTACTGTGCTGGAGTGTGGGCCAGAGACAGAGCTAGCAGCCACAATGGCAGTGGGCGCGGCATGTAGTAACCAGTCTTGCAGATGGACATTATTGAACGAGACTGGTAACAGAGACGGAAGAGGAAGCGAGACACCCCACTCGCTGTTTTTTTTGAAAGTTCAATGAAAGTCAAATTAACTAGCTAAGTAGACCAGACCCAGGTGCTATTGCATTAGTGTCTATGGGATACACACCTAGTGAAGTAGACCGGAACGTACCATTTTTTACAATGGTAAACGGCCTGAATGAACTATCTTCATGTATCCACCATATTTGCTGGTACTAGCAATGTCAGTGTTGTAGCTAGCTAGTGAGCTATCTAGCTAAAAGTCTTATATTTCAGTCTCCGAGTTCTACGAAACTTTATAATAATGCATACACCGAAACTGCAATGCATTCAGCGAGACAGTCACTAGCTAACTGAAAATACACGACATAAAATATTGCGAGCAATTTCCTTAGCTAGCTAGCTGCAAGCTGTCTATCTCGCTAACTTAGCTACCTATTTATCTTACTAGCTAACTTACCTGTGACAGTAACTTAAACAACGTCAGGTTCCATACTGAGTCCTAAATCAACTCGGATTTTCTATTTGAGCAGATGCACAAGTGTACTCACTCTTTCAGAAGCAACTTCGGTGAATTGGCTAGCCAGAAAAGCAGTCAGCCGAGGATGTTTTGAATCCGATAACTCACGTGACCCCCTTCCCTATTCCGTGCGCGCTCATGTGATTCCTTCTTCTTCTTCGATGAGGATTAACCTCACGACGGTTGGCATCCAATAAATGTTGCATTACCACCACCTACTAGACTAGAGTATAACTATCTTATACGTTGCTTGAAAATAAATAAACAAATACCCTACCATCTAACACTACACTCACAAAAATAAATGTAAAAAAAACACTCCACTATTTAAATCTATTTAGTCCTACTTCAGGCCAACAGCCTGAAAGGAAAGGCCACCACCACTTAACAAGTCTCTCACACCCAAAATACCTCTCTGCAGCTGCAACCACAACATACATTTTCTGCGCCTTACCGTTCCATCCCTGCAGTACAGTTGATAACCATTGCTATAAATGTAAAAAATCCAATCTTACTGAAACATATCACTTGTTGGTTTATCCCCCTGTACTGGTACAGATCTACTACTCACACCACTCCTCTCAGGATCCCTCCCCCTTGACCCATCTTCCTCTACTTTCTTCACTGCCTCAGCATGACACCTTCTGCACTACTCTAACCCTGGAAACCTCTTCCTGCCTCTCTCACACAGGACACTTCTGATCCCCAGCCCCATGGGCACCCCTACAATTAACACATACCACTACTTTCCCCAATGCTACACATTCCTTTGTCTCATGCCCTTCTGCACACTTCTCACACCAAGGAACATCCCTCCTACACACTGCTGCCACATGCCCGTAAGCTTGACACCTGTAACAACGTAATGTATTTGGCACAAAAGTACAGGATAACTTATATATCCTAACATCACTGTTGGGCAAAGACTCAACATCAAAGCTCAAAAGATAACGACTCTTCTGTTTCACCACTCACGCCACTCTGTCTGCGTTGCACCAAACGACGAGCATCATAAACACCAGGAATCTTGCCCTTCAGTTGGTCAGCTTTCACATTTACAGCTACCCCAGTAATCATTGGCGCCCTTTTCTTGAGAGCAAAACAATTCACATCGCTTGCCTCCATTTGTTTAACGCAGAGCGCCTGCTCCCTCTGACCAGCAGAAACACAAACAATTATCACAAGACCACTTCTGGTTACCCTCACCGATTCCACAGCACCCAACTCTGTTTTCACCCACCCTGACACCACAAATGGATCAGCCAAAAATGCAAGGATCCACTTTTTCCAAAAAGTTCACCCCTCCTGTCACAGACTCATCTTTATCCTGACCCTCAGTGCAAGCCTCGGGCTCCGAGAACTTCACCACACCTACCACCTCAGATACTTTGCCCTCATTCACTTCCATTTCTCCTCCTGTCTTTAGCTCATTCTGCTTACACTTTCTACCATTCTTCTTTAACAAACCATCTCCCTTTTCCCCGCCATTTTTAACCAACTCAAGCTCACCCTTTTGCTCCCTCTCTTTCTTAGACCTCCTCTGCCTCTCTTTTTCCCTCCATTCCTCCTCCGTATTCCAAGTACACGTCTCCTTACGATAATACTACACTTCTCCTGACATACATCTTGTTCTTGCCTTCTCAAGGGATACCATTTAACCGGCTGTCACAATCTCCATACAATCAGCACGAACCCCTCGGGATGTAGCGCTCAACAGTGCATACCACTTCAACTCCATGTGATTCCTTCAAGTAAGCTCTCGAAAATGTACATTATCTTTGGTGTGAGATCTCTATACATTTCTATCATGTGTAGACTATTACTTGAATGTATAGGCCTATTTGTTATACATGGTCCCTAACATACAAACCTGATATTTCCCAAAGAAGTTGGAAATATTTGCCAAAACATATTTGCACAACATTTGTTGGATGGGGAGAAAAGTAGGATATCTTTATAACGCAACTATAAGTTCAGAGCAAATTCCTTCTTGGCACTGCATTGACTCCAATCAATGTAAAGAAAATATGGTCTCTATGTTTTAGGGAGTGCAAGCATACTGCAGCACGGTGGCAGACTTACCATTAGGCAACTAAGGCAATTGCCTGGGGCCTCACACCATCAGGGGGCCTCGAGAACTTGGTATAATTTTGTTTAATAATACATTATTTCTGTTATCTTGCCTTCCTCTTCTGCTCGAGGCCCTCCCCCGCTCGTGAGTAATCTCTGATGTGGCAAATGGATCAGTTTCTGTTTTCTTCCTCTGGATTTGGTGCTAGCTTTTGATTAGGAAAATAGAAGACATGTATGTGTCCCTATGACGCTCACAAGCCATGCAGGACACTTTAGAAGGGACTGTGACAAAACCGCAGTGGTGTAAAGTAACTAACTAAAAATACATGGGTGGGGCCTGCAAATCACAAAAAGCCAATTTATGCATGATCCGATAAAATCCAAACTTAATAGTGATACTAACAATCCACCCTAATAAAAATAGTACATTGCCAAAACAAACAAAACTCCCACTTCTTCCTTCTTTTAGTTCTCCATATTTCCCTTCTCAGACGCTAGGACCTGAGAAGGTGGTATGGCTTTTGCTAATATTCCATGAAACTCCTTTGCTGTGAAATCTTTCAGCCCCAGGAACCGCTCCGCCGCAATCACAATGATTTCTATCTTCCCAGATCTTTTCTCCACCTTGGCAGTGCCATTTCTCACCATTGCGATGAAGGCCACAAAGTCCACATTTTTAACCTTTAAAATGTCAGGATGCTCTTGGTGTAAGACACTGCAGCCTGCAGTGAAGGCCTATCCACTACCATGGACTCTTCTGGTGCAACGTTCAAACCCTCAACCCTTTTCACAGCTTCTGCATATGAAATGCTCTGTACAATCCTGACTTTGGCCACCTCGTTCTCTTTTACCGTTGTGGGGCATTCTGAAGACGTGGCTTCATGATTCCCACCGCAATTACAACATGTCACATTTTCTACACTTTTATAACACATAATATGTTATTTTCCACATATTGTACATTTCGGCTTCTCCCTTCCGCAAACACTTTATACAAGACCAAAAACTTTACAATGTTCACACTGCATTGTTCTTGGGATAAATGCTCTAGCTCTGTAGGTAATATACCCTAACCGCACTTCATTAGGGAGAGACACCATTTCAAAAAACTAAAGAACAAATTAACTCTTCAATTTTTCCCCATTCACCACACGTGCTTCAATCACTCCAGGAATATTTTTCATCTCTTCCCACGAAACGCCAGATATAACCCCCTTGAGGGGTGCCCTGTTCCGAAGAGACACACAACACTTCAAACTTATTAAATTGATTAAGACACAAACAATCTAAACAAGCCCGCCTCTCGTGATCCTCACAGACTTCACTTTACCCAGTACTCTCTCCACCAGTTTAGATAACTCAAATGGTTTCTTCAAGATTGGTACTCTGCTCAGCTGATCCTCATTAACAAACCATACTCCTACTAGATACGAAGGGTCATTCTCATCACTGTACTCTACTTTGCTCCGTTTTCCTTTCTTTTGAACAATACTCCAATTCTCATTGATTCTACCGCCATCGTATTCAGATTCCACTTCATCATCCGCTTCCACCATCTTCCTTCCAATACCGCATGATGTGTGCCTCGCAAATTTTGTAACAATGAGTAGGGCTCCATATAATCAAATCAAATTGTATTGGTCACATACACGTGTTTAGCAGATGTTATTACGGGTGTAGCGAAATGCTTGCATTGACATGATTGGTTGAAGGTAGTTGGGGGTGGGAGGTCCTGTATAAACACAAATTCACTTTGACTACTACCTTCACAACAGCTCTGGGCTGCTCCGCAGAGCGCAAGAAGTATGAATGCCCTGACTTCTGTAGAGGCCGTATCACCGTAAATGCTTTATAGCCAATGCAGAGAGGTCAGATTGACCATGAAGCGCCTTTAAATCTGACCGCTTTTCATAAACAAAGATGGTGTTCATAAATGTTGCAGGATTTGCAGGACATCTAATAAAAGAGCAGCTATTCATACAACAGTTATTCTTTGTCTTCTTATAAAGAATTTTAGACATTGCAATGCTTACTATATAAACACTTTCTTATTTACACGTTTAACCAAAGGCACGTTCCATAGAGGCATGTTGGCTCGGCACGCTGGTCTAAGGTCAGTTTTACGTTTTACCCCCTATTGCTAAAGGTGGGCTTGGCGAGTGTAAACTGATCCTAGATCTATAAGAGAAACCCGGAACGCTTAGCAGTAAATGACGCGATGACGTTATGAACAGTTCGCGCGTTCAGGGATACATTTGGCGCCACAGACACAACAACACTGAGGAAGCACTGTCACTGTAGAAGTGAGATTGTCCTCTCCGAATTCGCTTTGAAACGTACAGTTTCACCCTACATAGCTATAAACTCAGCTACAACATGACTAACATGCTGACAAAAGGAGCGATAGAGGTAGGTGGTGGCATTTTATGACATCCCAGAAAGCATACAAACAAAGTTTACCCAGCATCTGAATGCTTTGTTGAGTTAGCTAGCCACAATGCTAGCTAACTAGATATATTTTCCATCTGTCTTAAGCTGTTTTCTGCTCTTTCAACAGGCTATAACCAAAGGCTCTAAGGATTTACAAAACCCCATACTTCAATTAGTGGTGAGTATGAATGTATGTTGTTGTGGAAGTAGCTAGCTAGCTAGCTCGCTCGCTAACTTTAGCGAACTGAAGTTAGCGAATTAACCGTAGTAAGTTAGGGCCAACTGTTGAAGAATGGCTATTGGCATTGTCAACAGTTAGCTAACTTGGACAGTATGGACCCATGTTTTAGAGACCAACATTTAAGACAAGGATATTCACCAAGATGGAAATACAGATTTGTACCACTGGCACTGCTAGATTTGTGACAAATATGATTTCTACCGCACTCCTATATTCATATTCTTTCAGAACATCCGTAAAATTGATGGTGGCAGTGGACCAGCCCGCTTTCGTCTGATGATGAGTGATGGACAGCACTCAATGTCCTGTGAGTAGAACTATTCCAAATCCACTCCACCACCTGTTCAAAGTAACGTTACACACATAAATGGTTGTATGGCAGGAGGCAGGTGACCATGATAGGTAGCAAATACAAGCATTGCTTTGTGGTCGTGGCATGTAAAGAAAACGAAAGTTTTCTATTTGGATAATATATGCCAGTATTTTAAGTTCATGCAAGGTTACAACTGTATTGAATATATATATATACAGTAAATGTAAAACCAAATTGTACATTTAAATTTTAGTCATTTAGCAGACGCTCTTATCCAGAGCGACTTACAGTTAGTGGGTGCATACATTTATCATACTGAGGTAATATGTACTGTAGGTAGGTGTAAAGTGACTGCATAGATAATAAACAGCTAGTAGCAGCAGCATAAAAAAAGGGGGTCAATGCAAATAGTCTGGGTAGCCATTTGATTAACTGTTTAGCAGTCTAATGGCTTGGGGGTAGAAGCTGTTAAGGAGCCTCTTGGACCTAGACTTGGCGCTCAGGTACAGCTTGCCGTGCAGTAGCAGAGAGAACATTCTATGACTAGCGTAGCTATAGTCTTTGACAATTTTTAGGGCCTTCCTCTGACACTGCCTGGTATAGAGGTCCTGGATGGCAGGAAGCTTGGCCCCAGTGATGTACTGGGCCGTACGCACTACCCTCCGTAGCGCCTTGCGGTTGGATGCCGAGCAGTTGCCATACCAAGCGGTGATGCAACCAGTCAGGAGGCTCAAGGTATCAGTGTAAATTAAAGTCAAGGATATTCATAATGGAAATCTGGAAATCATCAAAGAAGAAGAAAAAACATAAAGAATTAATTTCTTCCTTTTAATTTTGCGAAGTTTAAGAAGTGTTGTGATTACCATACAAAGTCATAAAAGTTGGGAAATGCATATCATCATCTCTCAGACAAGACAGACTAGCACAAGCAATACTGCACTGCCAATGTTCTTGTTGGTCTGTCTTGTCCCTAACATCTCTCCTATCATCTATCTATCCCTCCTGTAGCATTCATGCTCTCCACTCAACTCAACCCAATGGCTGAGGACAACCAACTGGCCCCAAACTGTATCTGTCAGCTGAAGAGGAACGTGACCAATGTCCTAAAGGATGGACGGTATGGTGCTTCTATCTTTTCATGTTTTCCTGCCTACAGAATGACAAACCCATTTCTAAACTTTTAGAGCTGTTAGGATGGACACACACACACAATGGATATGCACATACCCACTTTTTGTTGTTGATTATCAACCATATGTTTAGTCTTTGGAATGTGATTTACAATGCAATTGTTAATTGCTGTTCTTCTGTTCAGGCTTGTGGTGGTCATATTGGACATGGAGGTGGTGAAGTCTGCTGATGAGGTGGCTGGAAAGATCGGAGAGCCCACGCCTTACGTGGAAGGCGAGTCTTCGACCCATACTCCATCACCATATCATAAGGCTTAGGGGGAGTGAAGATGAACAAATGTTTGAATCCAGACATGGATATAACCTACAATGTTGTTTGTGCAGCTTACTTGAGTTTTTACCTTTCACTCCCTCACCTCCCTTGCAGGTCAGAGTAAAGCCCCACAGTCAGCCCCCAATCCCTCAGTCCACCCCCTGCAGCCCCAGAATGGAAATTATGGTAAACAACTCCAGATCACCCACTGTGCTTTTAAATGTAATGCCTTTTCACATCCTGTACCAGGAGTTGAATTGAGAGGTTGGGTCATTAATGGACTGTATTCTCAAGATAAATTCCTAATATTTTGCAGTGCCTTCGGAAGGTATTCAGACCCCTTGACTTTTTCCACATTTTGTTACGTTACAGCCTTAACCTAAAAATGGATTAAATAAAAAAATGTAATCAGCAAACTACACACAATACCCCATAATGACAAAGCGAAAACAGGTTTTTAGAAACACCTTATTTACATAAGTATTCAGACCCTTTGCTTTGAGACTTGAAATTGAGCTCAGGTGCATCCTGTTTCCATTGATCATCCTTGAGATGTTTCTACAACTTGGAGTCCACCTGTGGTAAATGCAATTGATTGGACATGATTTGGAAAGGCACACACCTGTCTATATAAGGTCCCACAGTTGACAGTGCATGTCTGAGCAAAAAACCAAGCCGTGATGTTTAAGGAATTGTCCGTAGAGCTCTGAGACAGGATTGTGTCGAGGCACAGATCTGGGGAAAGGTACCCAAAAATGTCTGCAGCATTGAAGGTCCCCAAGAACACAGTGGCCTCCATCATTCTTAAATGGAAGAAGTTTGGAACCACCAAGTCTGGAGGAAACCTGGCACCATCTCTACGGTGAAGCATGGTGGTGGCAGCATCATGCTGTGGGGATGTTTTTCAGTGGCAGGGACTGGGAGACTAGTCAGGATCGAGGCAAAGATGAACGGAGCAAAGTACAGAGATCCTTGATGAAAACCTGTTCAGGACCTCAGACTGGGGCGAAGGTTCACCTTCCAACAGGACAACGACCCTAAGCACACAGACAAGACAACGCAGGAGTGGCTTCGGGACAAGTCTCTGAATGTCCTTGAGTGGCCCAGCCAGAGCCCGGACTTGAACCCGATCAAACATCTCTGGAGAGAACTGAAAATAGCTGTGCAGCAATGCTCCCCATCCAACCTGACAGAGCTTGAGAGGATCTGCAGAGGGGGGTGGGAGAAACTCCCCAAATACAGGTGTGCCAAGCTTGTAGCGTCATACCCAAGAAGACTTGAGGCTGTAATTGCTGCCAAAGGTGCTTCAACAAAGTACTGAGTAAAGGGTCTGAATACTTATGTAAATGTATTGTGTGTGTAGATACAGTGGGGGAAAAAAGTATTTAGTCAGCCACCAATTGTGCAAGTTCTCCCACTTAAAAAGATGAGAGAGGCCTGTAATTTTCATCATAGGTACACGTCAACTATGACAGACAAATTGAGGAAAAAAAATCCAGAAAATCACATTGTAGGATTTTTAATGAATTTATTTGCAAATTATGGTGGAAAATAAGTATTTGGTCACCTACAAACAAGCAAGATTTCTTGCTCTCACAGACCTGTAACTTCTTCTTTAAGAGGCTCCTCTGTCCTCCACTCATTACCTGTATTAATGGCACCTGTTTGAACTTGTTATCAGTATAAAAGACACCTGTCCACAACCTCACAGTCACACTCCAAACTCCACTATGGCCAAGACCAAAGAGCTGTCAAAGGACACCAGAAACAAAATTGTAGACCTGCACCAGGCTGGGAAGACTGAATCTGCAATAGGTAAGCAGCTTGGTTTGAAGAAATCAACTGTGGGAGCAATTATTAGGAAATGGAAGACATACAAGACCACTGATAATCTCCCTCGATCTGGGGCTCCACACAAGATCTCACCCCGTGGGGTCAAAATGATCCCAAGAACGGTGAGCAAAAATCCCAGAACCACACGGGGGGACCTAGTGAATGACCTGCAGAGAGCTGGGACCAAAGTAACAAAGCCTACCATCAGTAACACACTACGCCGCCAGGGACTCAAATCCTGCAGTGCAAGACGTGTCCCCCTGCTTAAGCCAGTACATGTCCAGGCCCGTCTGAAGTTTGCTAGAGTGCATTTGGATGATCCAGAAGAGGATTGGGAGAATGTCATATGGTCAGATGAAACCAAAATAGAACTTTTTGGTAAAAACTCAACTCGTTGTGTTTGGAGGACAAAGAATGCTGAGTTGCATCCAAAGAACACCATACCTACTGTGAAGCATGGGGGTGGAAACATCATGCTTTGGGGCTGTTTTTCTGCAAAGGGACCAGGACGACTGATCCGTGTAATGGAAAGAATGAATGGGGCCATGTATCGTGAGATTTTGAGTGAAAACCTCCTTCCATCAGCAAGGGCATTGAAGATGAAACGTGGCTGGGTCTTTTCAGCATGACAATGATCCCAAACACACCGCCCGGGCAACGAAGGAGTGGCTTCGTAAGAAGCATTTCTAGGTCCTGGAGTGGCCTAGCCAGTCTCCATATCTCAACCCCATAGAAAATCTTTGGAGAGAGTTGAAAGTCCGTGTTGCCCAGCGACAGCCCCAAAACATCACTGCTCTAGAGGAGATCTGCATGGAGGAATGGGCCAAAATACCAGCAACAGTGTGTGAAAACCTTGTGAAGACTTACAGAAAACGTTTGACCTGTGTCAAAATCCTACAATGTGATTTTCTGGATTTTTTTCCCTCATTTTGTCATGACGTGTACCTATGATGAAAATTACAGGCCTCTCTCATCTTTTTAAGTGGGAGAACTTGCACAACTTGGTGGCTGACTAAATACTTTTTTCCCCCACTGTATATATACAGTGGGGAGAACAAGTATTTGATACACTGCCGATTTTGCAGGTTTTCCTACTTACAAAGCATGTAGAGGTCTGTAATTTTTTATCATAGGTACACTTCAACTGTGAGAGACGGAATCTAAAACAAAAATCCAGAAAATCACATTGTATGATTTTGAAGTAATTAATTTGCATTTTATTGCATGACATAAGTATTTGATCACCTACCAACCAGTAAGAATTCTGGCTCTCACAGACCTGTTAGTTTTTCTTTAAGAAGCCCTCCTGTTCTCCACTCATTACCTGTATTAACTGCACCTGTTTGAACTCATTACCTGTATAAAAGACACCTGTCGACACACTCAATCAAACAGACTCCAACCTCTCCACAATGGCCAAGATCAGAGAGCTGTGTAAGGACATCAGGGATAAAATTGTAGACCTGCACAAGGCTGGGATGGGCTACAGGACAATAGGCAAGCCGCTTGGTGAGAAGGCAACAACTGTTGGCGCAATTATTAGAAAATGGAAGAAGTTCAAGATGACGGTCAATCACCCTCGGTCTGGGGCTCCATGTAAGATCTCACCTCGTGGGGCATCAATGATCATGAGGAAGGTGAGGGAACAGCCCAGAACTACACGGCAGGACCTGGTCAATGACCTGAAGAGAGCTGGGACCACAGTCTCAAAGAAAACCATTAGTAACACATTACGCCGTCATGGATTAAAATCCTGCAGCGCACGCAAGGTCCCCCTGCTCAAGCCAGCGCATGTCCCGTCTGAAGTTTGCCAATGACCATCTGGATGATCCAGAGGAGGAATGGGAGAAGGTCATGTGGTCTGATGAGACAAAAATAGAGCTTTTTGGTCTAAACTCCACTCGCTGTGTTTGGAGGAAGAAGAAGGATGAGTACAACCCCAAGAACAATAATCCCAACCGTGAAGCATGGAGGTGGAAACATCATTCTTTGGGGATTATTTTCTGCAAAGGGGACAGGACGACTGCACCGTATTGAGGGGAGGATGGATGGGGCCATGTATCGCGAGATCTTGGCCTATAACCTCCTTCCCTCAGTAAGAGCATTGAAGATGGGTCGTGGCTGGGTCTTCCAGCATGACAACGACCCGAAACACACAGCCAGGGCAACTAAGGAGTTACTCCGTAAGAAGAATCTCAAGGTCCTGGAGTGGCCTAGCCAGTCTCCAGACCTGAACCCAATAGAAAATCTTTGGAGGGAGCTGAAAGTCCGTATTGCCCAGCGACAGCCCCGAAACCTGAAGGATCTGGAGAAGGTCTGTATGGAGGAGTGGGCCATAATCCCTGCTGCAGTGTGTGCAAACCTGGTCAAGACCTGACAGGAATACGTCTTATTTCTGTAAGTGCAAACAAAGGTTTCTATACTCAAATATTAAGTTCTGCTGCTTTTCTGAGTATCAAATACTTATGTCATGCAAGATAATGCAAATTAATTTACTTAACAATCCTACAAGTGATTTCTGGGTTTTTGTTTTTAGAATTAAGTCTCTCACAGTTGAAGTGTTACCTTATGCTTAAAATTACAGCCCTCTACCTGCTTTGTACTAGGAAACCGCAAAATCGGCGTGTCTCAACTCTTGTTTCTTCCCCACTGTGTGTGTGTGTGTGTATATATATATAATATATATATATGTGTGTATTTCTTATGATTTTGTCGAGAACCTTGAAGAAACTACAAAAAACATTTGCCTCTTGGGTAGTAGATGGCAGTAGAAACTAAATCTGGTAATGATTACTGGATGCTACAGAAAGCTAAAAACATTTTGCCTGGTAGTTCTGACTGATCCATGTTGACCATGGATGCTGTTAAGGACAAAATACTAGGTCTGTATTCTGTCGCTTTGTTGCAATAAGCCATTAAAATCAGTCTTAGAGTAAAGGTATAAAACAGACATGCTGCTGTACGTCACACTGGTTATTATTTCCAGGTGTCCAGATGTGCTCGTCAGTCAGACTGTAAATCTGGTTTTGAATTGGATATGATATGAATATACTGTAGTATTGACTTAAGGGTTTCAACACCTTACATTTACTTCATCTAGCAGATGCTCTTATCCAGAGCGACTTACAGTAGTGAGTGCATATGTTTTAATACTTTTTTCATACTGGTCCCCCATGGGAATCGAACCCACATCCCTGGCGCTGGAAGCGCCATGCTCTTCCAACTGAGCTACACGGGACTAACTTAATCTTAATTTCGACAGTTCCCTTTTCATCAAGTAATTAGGTAAGCACTTGGTTATAATTAGTACTGAAATAAAATGGTAATCATGCCATGATGAGAGATGGTATGTGATGGGTAGCCTAATTATCAATAATAGTAAGCTACTGACATTGATTCCAAAATATACATATATTTAGTTAGTCTACTTGAATTTGGCATTTGTTTTATTTTTTACAAATGCTCACTAAATAGCTCTAAGAGGAAAAGGGTGCAGGTAATTAAATTAATGCCTAATTCTAAGTTCATGTTTATCATCTCTCATTACCCATCTCTTGTGACATATAACCATTTCTAATCATTACACAGTACAAATGTTTAACCAGTTATTTCATGAAAATATGCAGGGCTATAGGAAATATTTCTTAGTGCTAACCTACAGTATTGTATGGCATTTTGTGAACCATGACAGATGAACTCTTAGCCCAATATATGGCTTCAGAAGCTTATATCATTTTATGGTCAGGGTCGTAGGTATTCATCCCACTAATCTGGTGTCAGGGAATTGAAGTAGTGATGGTGAGCTTCATCCTCCTCATCAGCACAGTTATTATTGTTCAGTTGTGTGGCTGTGCTGCTGGATCTGGGGGCTTAATTACTAGAAATGCAGTGGTTGGCAAAGTGGACACTTTGAACTGTAATCCACAGTGTGAGACGCACACAAATCAAATGTGCAGCTAGCGCTTGTCCGAACAGAGAAACCTCAAAGTCAGGCCGCATGCACCAATCTCCTGTGGGAAGAGCAGCTTTGGTTTGTTATTTCACACTTCTGTCTGCTTTGAGTCTGTGATACGTGAATGAATCATCATCTCTCTCTCTCTCGCTCTCTCTCTCACTGAAACACCATCTCACAGACTCACAAGTTAGTTGGTCTTGGGGGGTTTGTCTCCTCTCTCCTATCCCAAACATACAGCAATAAATCCACTACTCTTCCTGATTAAAGTTTTTCTGTTATGTGAGACTACTCTCATGAAGTTAGATAATTACAGTGATCAAGGAGTTGCTATCCAAATATATATATATATATATATATATTTTTTTTTAATTCAGCCCTGATGCATTATGGATGTCTATTCTGTTGAGTTTGCCACTCTATCACTGCTGTCTATATGCACCAATAGCTCCCCTGTTGTCTTTTTCATTTCCCTATCTATCATAAGGCTCCATGAACAAAGGTCCCAGCAGAGAGTTTGGGGGGAAGAAGGCCATGCCTCCGTCTGCCATGCCCAGCACTCCTGGGGGATCCTCCAAAGTCGTGCCCATCGCCAGCCTCAACCCCTACCAGTCAAAGTGTGTGGTCTTCTTATACCCGTCTATGGTTGCGTCCCAAATAGCACCGTATTCCCTATATAGTGTACTACTTTAAAGTAGTGCACTATATAGGGAACATATTGCCTTTTGGGATGCATCCTATCATTTTGACGACCATCTCAAACAGCATGATCTCTTGCCCATATGTTTACTCTTGAGTCATAGAATGGTCATAATGATGGTCTGATTTGTATGTGGGGATGTGTTTGTGTGATTTATTCCATAGATAGTTGGTCAAGGTATTTTCAAGGAGTATAGGTTCATCCAACAACAACATAAACATTGTTTATTTTCTGTCAGGTGGACCATCCGAGCCCGTGTCACCAACAAGAGCGGCATCCGCACCTGGAGCAACTCTCGTGGGGACGGCAAGCTGTTCTCCATGGAGATTGTGGATGAGAGTGTGAGTAACCCTTTCTGTTTGCATTTTCTCATGTTGCCGTGTTGGATCGCGTGGAGCTAGTCCGTAGCTGACTGTGTTGTGTGTTGATGCAGGGCGAGATCCGAGTGACTGCCTTTACCCAGGAGGTGGACAAGTTCTACAGCATCATCGAGACTGGCAAGGTGAGATGAACTGCCTCCTATTAATGATGCTTATCCACCATATGTCTGTCACTTTGGCAGATTTGGGTCAACTGAGTAATCAATCTCAATGTGCTATTGCCAATACTTTTTGATTTGTACAATGTGCTGAATTGGATATAATATGATTTGATATAATGATAAAAATCTGAGATAATGAATGATTCTCTCCAAAATGAGTCACAGGACAGTAGCAACATGATCATCTGCTACAGATCCTCTGCCAGGCTTTATTTAGCTCCTACATCAGTATTCAGGTGAAATGAATCCTGTGCCCAAATCTATTTTAGATTTAAGCCTTATTTGATCCATGTCCAGGTGTTCTACATCTCCAAGGGATCACTGAAGATCGCCAACAAGCAGTACTCGTCCCTGAAGAATGACTATGAGATGACCCTGAATGGAGAGTCCACCATCATCCCCTGTGAGGACACCCAGGACGTACCCATGGTGCAGTGCAACTTCGTCTCCATCGCCGACCTGGAGGCCCGAGAAAAGGACGCCATTTTGGGTAAGGCGCAGGTGTACCAAGGGAGGAGTGAAGGGGATAGGTGGTCCAGGCAGGGCTGGCGGGGCGTGATAACCATCATTAATAACAGACTTAATAATAAGCTATCATGGGGATAGCTGCAAAAGAGTGGTAGGGTAGCGTAGGGGAGATGGATGCTACGGCGATAGCGGGTTGCGGTAGGGTGGTTGAGGTAATTATAAGAGCAGAGATAAAAGTCATTAATAATGCTGATGACAGTAGTGGCCTGTGGCGCAGATTGACTTTGGGCCCTATGGCGGAGTCCGGTGAGCAGAGGAGAAAACACTGTCACTGGTAAAAGGAGTCGGTAATAAGAAGCCATAGTCGGCATCCCAAATGGCACTCTAGTCCCTATATAGTGCAATACTTTTGACCAAGGCCTATATGGCTTCGGTCAAAAGTAGTGCACTATGTAGAGAATAGGATGCCATTTGGGACACATCCCTAGTTGTAATGATGTTAATAGACTTAGTGCAGCTTGTAGTGTAGCTGTAGAGTCATTTGTCTTCCGGACCAGCAGGCGTCAGCCCAGCCAGCCCTGTGATGTTGAAGATATCTTCTTAATCATGCTTAAATGAGTTGTAACCTAACAAAGACTGGATGAAAGGGTTAATTAAGATGGCAGAGAGTATAGGCTACTCCCAAATGACACCCTATTCCCTATATAGTGCACTACTTTTGACCAGAGGGCCCATTTGGGACGTAACCATAGAACTGTAATGTTGCTGATAACGTCTCATTTGCTTTGGCCCCCTTGCAGGGGTAAATGGCTATGCATCAGCTCACCTTGATAGAAGCAGGTTAACATGAATCTGTACTCAGGATAAATTAAATGAGCAACAACATCCATTTAGTTTTATTTTTGTTTCCCATTCCTATACATACAGTACCAGTCAAAAATGTGGACATACCTACTCATTCAAGGGTTTTTCTTTATTTTTACTATTTTCTACATTGTACAATAATAGTGAAGACATCAAAACTATGAAATAACACATATGGAATCATGTAGTAACCAAAAAAGTGTTAAACAAATGAAATGAGATTCTTCAAATAGCCACCCCATGCCTTGATGACAGCTTTGCACACTCTTGGCATTCTCTCAACCATCTTCACCTGGAATGCTATTCCAACAGTCTTGAAGGAGTTCCCACATATGCTGAGCACTTGTTGGCTGCTTTTCCTTCACTCTGCCGTCCAACTCATCCCAAACCATCTCAATTGGGTTCAGGTCGGGGATTGTGGAGGCCAGGTCATCTGATGCATCACTCCATGACTCTCCTTCTTGGTAAAATAGCCCTTACACATCCTGGAGGTGTGTTGGGTCATTGTCCTGTTTAAAATCAAATGATAGTCCCACTAAGCCCAAACCAGATGGGATGGCGTATCGCTGCAGAATGCTGTGGTAGCCATGCTGGTTAAGTGTGCCTTGAATTCTAAATAAATGACAGACGGTGTCACCAGCAAAGCACCCCCACACCATAACACCTCCTCCTCCATGCTTTACGGTGGGAACTACACATGCGGAGATCATCCGTTCACCCACACCGCGTCTCACAAAGACACAGCGGTTGGAACCAAAAAACTCAAATTTGGACTCCAGACCAAAGGACTAATGTCCATTGCTCGTGTTTCTTGGCCCAAGCAGGTCTCTTCCTCTTATTGGTGTCCTTTAGTAGTGGTTTCTTTGCAGCAATTCGACCATGAAGGCCTGACTCACACAGTTTCCTCTGAACAGTTGATGTTGAGATATGTCTGTGACTTGAACTCTGTGAAGCATTTTTTTGGGCTGCAATTTCTGAGGCTGGTAACTCTAATGAACTTATCCTCTGCAGCAGAGGTAACTTTTGGTCTTCCATTCCTGTGGCGGTCCTCATGAGAGCCAGTTTCATCCTAGCGCTTGATGGTTTTTGCGACTGCACTTGAAGAAACTTTCAAAGTTCTTGACGTTTTCCGTATTGACTGACCTTCATGTCTTTAAGTAATGATGGACTGTCGTTTCTCTTTGCTTATTTGAGCTGTTCTTGCCATAATATGGACTTGGTCTTTTACCAAATAGGGCTATCTTCTGTATACCACCCCTACCTTGTCACAACACAACTGATTGTCTCAAATGCATTAAGAAGGAAAGAAATTCCACAAATTAACTTTTAAGAAGGCACACCTGTTAATTGAAATGCATTCCAGGTTACCTCATGAAGCTGGTTGAGAGAATGCCAAGAGTGTGCAAAGTTGTCATCAAGGCAAAGGGTGGCTATTTGAAGAATCTCAAATATATTTTAATTTGTTTAACACTTTGTTGGTTACTACATGATTCCATATGTGTTATTTAATAGTTTTGATGTCTTCACTATTATTCTACAATGTAAAAAATAGTACAAATAAAGAAAAACCCTTGAATGAGTAGGTGTGTCCAAACTTTTGACTGGTAGTGTATGTATGTGTGTATATGTATGTGTGTGTGTGTGTGTGTGTGTGTGTGTATATATATGCCATTTAGCAGACGCGTTTATCCAAAGCAACTTACGGTACGTGCATACATTTGTATTATATTTTGCTCCACGGGAATCAAACCCACAACCTTAGCCATGCTTGTGCCAAGCTCTACCAACTGAGCCAGACAGGACCACAGAGGCTAGGGGTTAGGGTTAGCCAGTGGTAGCTGGTGAAGGGAGAAACCGGAGGATGGGCTCATTGTAATACATAGTTATATGGAATGTAATGAGGAATGGTATCAAACATGAAATAAAACATCTGTCATTAATGATCTAGAATGAATGTACATTTGAAATAGTGCAGTGTCATCATTTGCAGTCTCTTTTGGGACCCTGTCACATGCATAACACAAAATGTTCCTGTAGTGTTATGAAAAGGCTAATATTTTATATAATTTTTGAGGTATACAATCCTCTAATTCACAATGAAAATAAAGATTTTCAAATAATGAATTGTAAAGGCATTTTCTAGCACATTTTGCATTTTTGGTTGGTTAACACGGGACCCACGAGTGCACTTTGATAGCCTATGCGATACCTATTCAAGATAATGGTGATTTCTTGACTCTTTTGAGGTACACTACATTTTCAGATGACTATAAAAGTATTATGATGAAGTTTGGTGAAATATTTCATATATATATATATATATATATATATACACAGTGGGGAAAAAAAGTATTTAGTCAGCCACCAATTGTGCAAGTTCTCCCACTTAAAAAGATGAGAGAGGCCTGTAATTTTCATCATAGGTACACGTCAACTATGACAGACAAAATGAGAAAAAAAATTCCAGAAAATCACATTGTAGGATTTTTAATGAATTTATTTGCAAATTATGGTGGAAAATAAGTATTTGGTCACCTACAAACAAGCAAGATTTCTGGCTCTCACAGACCTGTAACTTCTTTAAGAGGCTCCTCTGTCCTCCACTCGTTACCTGTATTAATGGCACCTGTTTGAACTTGTTATCAGTATAAGACACCTGTCCACAACCTCAAACAGTCACACTCCAAACTCCACTATGGCCAAGACCAAAGAGCTGTCAAAGGACACCAGAAACAAAATTGTAGACCTGCACCAGGCTGGGAAGACTGAATCTGCAATAGGTAAGCAGCTTGGTTTGAAGAAATCAACTGTGGGAGCAATTATTAGGAAATGGAAGACATACAAGACCACTGATAATCTCCCTCGATCTGGGGCTCCACGCAAGATCTCACCCCGTGGGGTCAAAATGATCACAAGAACGGTGAGCAAAAATCCCAGAACCACACGGGGGGACCTTGTGAATGACCTGCAGAGAGCTGGGACCAAAGTAACAAAGCCTACCATCAGTAACACACTACGCCGCCAGGGACTCAAATCCTGCAGTGCAAGATGTGTCCCCCTGCTTAAGCCAGTACATGTCCAGGCCCATCTGAAGATTGCTAGAGTGCATTTGGATGATCCAGAAGAGGATTGGGAGAATGTCATATGGTCAGATGAAACCAAAATATAACTTTTTGGTAAAAACTCAACTTGTCGTGTTTGGAGGACAAAGAATGCTGAGTTGCATCCAAAGAACACCATACCTACTGTGAAGCATGGGGGTGGAAACATCATGCTTTGGGGCTGTTTTTCTGCAAAGGGACCAGGACGACTGATCCGTGTAAAGGAAAGAATGAATGAGGCCATGTATCGTGAGATTTTGAGTGAAAACCTCCTTCCATCAGCAAGGGCATTGCAGATGAAACGTAGCTGGGTCTTTCAGCATGACAATGATCCCAAACACACCGCCCGGGCAACGAAGGAGTGGCTTCGTAAGAAGCATTTCAAGGTCCTGGAGTGGCCTAGCCAGTCTCCAGATCTCAACCCCATAGAAAATCTTTGGAGGGAGTTGAAAGTCCGTGTTGCCCAGCGACAGCCCCAAAACATCACTGCTCTAGAGGAGATCTGCATGGAGGAATGGGCCAAAATACCAGCGACAGTGTGTGAAAACCTTGTGAAGACTTACAGAAAACGTTTGACCTGTGTCATTGCCAACAAAGGGTATATAACAAAGTATTGAGAAACTTTTGTTATTGACCAAATACTTATTTTCCACCATAATTTGCAAATAAATTCATAAAAAATCCTACAATGTGATTTTCTGGAATTCTTTTTCTCATTTTGTCTGTCATAGTTGACGTGTACCTATAATGAAAATTACAGGCCTCTCTCATCTTTTTAAGTGGGAGAACTTGCACAATTGGTGGCTGACTAAATACTTTTTTTCCCCCACTGTAAACACTCACAGCGTCACATCCATAACGGAGAATGTCACATCCATAACGGTCAATATTCCTCTCTAAAGTATATATGAAAATGTTAATATTTTCATCATTGTTGTTTTTGTGTGTAGCCAAGCCTTCCTTTCAAAGTCTGTTAATATTTTACCCTAAGACTTTGAGATGCATAGACTTTGCCGAAGTGTCTGTTCTCCCAAAAATGCCTGTCCATTTCCATCACGTCCACAATGCAAGTTCTGTTGTTCCGTTACTTCAAACTGGTATTATTTAGAACTTTGTAATTTTGTGTCTACACTTCCCCTATAAGGTTCTACAAAAATACACATTAACATTTTCATTGATGCTTGATAAGTCATTTTTTTGTGTGCAAATCCATAACGCTGGAATTGCCCTGTCCATCCCAGTCCAAACAATCCTCTCAAGTTCCAAAACTGAAAACTGTTTAGATTACATAAAGGAGAGTTGACTGCTTTCAGTTCATGTAAAAAATAAAATAATTGCAGAGTTTCAAGGTTTTCTTCAGACAGTGACAATATAAACAATGTATAGCCTACATCCGTCAGGCTGGGAGAGACTGATGAGAGGCTGTGTTAGAGCATCACGCTGACTGATCTATAAATAATTATTTAAATTTGAGCTCTCATCCAGAGTGACTTACAGGAGCAATTAGGGTTAAGTGCCTTGCTCAAGGGCACATCGACATATTTTTCACCTAGTCGGCTCTGGGAATTAAACCAGCGACCTTTCGGTTACTGTCCCAACGCTCTTAACCGCTAGGCTACCTGCTGCCCCATGAGGATAATTATTTAGCACGTAAAGTGACTTTTAGAAAAGTCAATGTGCAGTGTCCGACTGCAATGTAGTGGAATTTGATCTCAAACACGACCGTAGTCTACTGTGCTCATGATGTCACCGGTGTTGAAAATAACTTCAACTATCAATGGACATTCCACATATGCATATTATAAATATTGATCACATGTCTGATTCTCCTGGGTCACTCAAGGTTCTCCAAAGTAATGCTGCTCATAGTCTACTGTGCTAATGATGTGACTGTGTGTGTTTTCCAGATGTGATTGGAGTCTGTAAGAGCGTGGCCGACGTGACCCGCCTCACCACCAAGAACAACCGTGAGGTCTCCAAGAGGACGATCAACCTGATGGACCAGTCTGGTAAACTGGTGGATGTCACCCTGTGGGGGGAGGAGGTGAGGACTGGGAGACAGACACTAGCACAGCCATATAGACGGTCTATATGCGTCTGGACACAAGGGGACAGTCCTGCTGGATAAAGAGAGGATGAAACTCAGTTTCTCTCATGCTAGGTGACATGCTGTAGCACCTTCATTATGTGTGTGTGTGTGTCCGTGTCCTGTCAGCCAGTGCCCCAGGAAGGGTACAGTACACCTCTCTCCTAATTTGAAAAGGTGTTGTGAGCCATATGCCTCCATGTGTTTGGAAATGTCTATTAAGCAGTTTGAAGAGGGAGAGGAGATTTCAGCAATGGGCTCTCTCTCTCTCTGTCTCTCTCTGTCTTTGTCTCTGTGTGTGTGTGTGTGTGTGTGTTTAATAGAAGCTGATGTGGTTGAAGTCACTGAGTAAATACCATGTCACAGTTTGATGAAGGAACCCAGCTCCCGCAGTTGATTTTATACGTGGCTCAGTGGGGCTATGCTTAGTTTGCCACCATTTCTTTCACTCTGACAACTACAGCACAATGTTCCCTCTGTTTGTTCTGCAGATATCCCCAATCTAGGGGGACTTGCGGAGGTACACAACATGTATAGTTTATAAAGAACAAGCTTTAGTAAATACAGAATTGCATGAATTTTTTCCCCACTTTTTTCCCCTTCTCCGCCAGTGCTGATGCACAACATGTCCAAAAGTATGTGGACACCTGCTTGTCGAACAGCTCATTCCAAAATCATGGGCATTAATATGGAGTTCGTCCCCTCTATAACAGCCTCCACTCTTCTGGGAAGGCTTTCCACTAAATGTTGTAACATTGCTGCGCGGACTTGCTTCCATTCAGCCACGAGCATTAGTGAGGTCAAGTTCTACCACACCGATCTTGACGAACAATTTCTGTATGGACCTCGCTTTGTGCACGGGGGCATTGTCATGGTGAAACAGGAAAGGGCCTTCCCCAAAATGTTGCCACAAAATTGGAGGCACAGAATCGTCTAGAATATCATTGTATGCTGTAACATTAAGATATCCCTTCACTGGAACTAAGGGGTCTAGCCCGAACCATGAAAAACAGCCCCATACCATTATTCCTCCTCCACCAAACTTTACAGTTGACACTCTGCGTTGGGGCAGGTAGTGTTCTCCTGGCATCTACCAAACCCAGATTCGTCCGTAGGACTGCCAGATGGTGAAGCGTGATTCATCACTCCAGAGAATGTGTTTCCACTCCAGAGAACGCAAGCTTTACACCACTCCAGCCGACGCTTGGCATTGCGCATGGTGGTCTTAGGCTTTTGTGCGGCTGCTCAGCCATGGAGACCCATTTCATAGGCCGTCATTGTAAATATGAATTTGTTCTTAACTGACTTGACTAGTTAAATAAAGGTTAAATAAAAAATATACAAAATAAATGAAGCTCCCGGCGAACAGTTCTTGTGCTGACGTTGCTTTTAGAGGAACTCGGTAGTGAGTGTTGCAACCGAGGACAGACTATTTTTACGCGCTTCAGCACTTGCCGGTCTCGTTCTGTGAGCTTGTGTGGCCTACCACTTTGTGGATGAGCCGTTGTTGCGCCTAGACGTTTCCACTTCACAAAACAGCATTTACAGTTGACCGGGGCAGCTCTAGCAGGGCAGAAATTTGACGAACTGACTTGTTGGAAAGGTGGCATCCTATGACGGTGCCACGTTGAAAGTCACTGAGCTCTTCAGTAAGACCATTCTACTGCCAATGTTTGTCTATGGAGATTGCATGCTGTGTGCTCTATTTTATACACCTGTCAGCTACTGGTATGGCTTAAATAGCCGAATCCACTAATTTGAAGGGGTGCCCACATACATTTGGCCATGTAGTGTAGTTTTGCACATAAAGTGTATATCGTTGGAAATCCTCAGTCAACCTATCTGTTCTATTTGCAGGCAGAGAACTTTGATGGCTCTGGGCAGCCCATCCTGGCCATCAAAGGGGCCAAGCTGTCGGACTATGGGGGCAGATCTCTGTCTGCTTCGTTCAGCAGCACCATCATGGTCAACCCCGACATCCCTGAGGCATACAAGCTGCGGGGCTGGTAAGTGTCTGTCTAAAGGCCTCTGTGACTGTGTTATGCAAGAACAGCCTGGGTATGTATGGTGCTGCTATTAGGTCATATTTTGGGTTCGAAGACCTAGAGCGAATCTCTCACATCCTCTGCTCCACCGTTGAGAGAATTCTAAAGGATTTAAAGGAATTTGAATGCAAATATCAGATCCCCAAACTCTGAGAGGGTGCGTGCTCCGTCTTGTATCATTAAAATTAGCCTACCTCCATTAGTGAAGATGTGGAGGGGTTACTTCAGTGAAGCGTTACATATGAATGCAAATCATTCTTAATCTGCGGAAAATGTATTTTTTCTCCTTCTTATCTGCCCTTCAAAAGAAGCCACAAATAACGGGTGCACTGGAGACCAGAAGTGACGTGCACAAATTTGTCTTTGATTGTGGTGATGGGAGCATTTGTGTTTTGATCACGTTGACGGGGCAGAACATAAATATTTTATTTCATATTAATGACAATAACAACTACATTGAACAAATATTTGGAAGTAACCCTAAAGCCTATATTTGGAGTTAAATCTAAAGCCTATATTATATTGGAACAAATATAATGAATGTAGGCCCAAATTTAGTTTGTATGTGAGAGTAGTTATTTAGGGAAAGAGGTAGTTGGTAGCACATCCACATGCAGTGGTTTAAGATGGCAGACAGAGGAACAGGCCCATGTGTTATCCCTTGAAGACCCCATCTATTGGCTGCTCCAGCAAAGCAATGGGAAAACAGTTACTGTGACTCATGCTTTCATCTTTTCTTTGCGTTCTCTTGCCAATTCCCGTTATTCATTACCTAAATAATGTTATTCACTGTGTACCATATCCCAAAATAAATACTCAGCTTTTCCAATCCCATATCTAGTTGGGAAGCTAGGCAGCAGTTTAGTTTTTAAGTTGATATCAAAGCCGTGTCTTGTCAATGGCAGGGTGGAAGCATAAAATAGAATATTGTAATTCAATGGGTAGAAGCAGGGTTGGAAAGATAGTTGGATAGATGTGTATGGTGGAAGGAAGGGGGGATTGATGGAGGAGGCGGGGTCTTCACAGGGACTTTAGGGACAGTCATTGCTTCTATTTAACCTTCACCTCAGCTCTCTGACACCTTAATTGATCTGTCCCTCCATCTTCTAGATCCCCTCCTCTCCTTCTCCTCTCCCGCTCCACTCTGACACAGCCAAGGCCTCCCAGTCTGAAATTGAAGGCAAAATGTCTCAAAAGTGGAGATCCAATCGATTCTCACCGAAGGTGCTTTATTTTGTTTACCTTCAAACAGCAACACCGGCCCCACACTCCACAGGGAAATAAGATGAAAGGAGGCTGAGGAATGAAAGGGAAGGAGACCCAATAACAATTCCAAATTATATTCTGCACGTCCTGTGCGTCTTGACAAGTGCTCAAATTCCACTTCCCTGTGCCTTGAAAAAAAGTTGGGCCGCTGTAATTATTTTTGAGCGCATCAGAAGCCTTGATCTGCATAATGAGAGCGGTGAAATGTGACTACATAGCGGGAGGGAGAGCGGGGTGGCAAGTCAACAAAATATGCTCATATCTGCCACTTCACTGTGTGTCTGGGCTGTGGTGATTTCTGATCACAGCTTTATCTCTCCCTCACGACTAACCTTTGAAAGGTTGTTGTTTGGTCACTGGATCTCAGACGTTTCTTGGAAACAGTTTTGGTCTGTGATGCTATTTGTTTTTATAATATGCTAAACATCCTGTCCTACAAACCATTAAAGGACTGAACTTTACAGAATTAGGACCAGTTGGGTATTTGAATGATATTTGGCCATTGCAAAGAGGTTATTCCCCAAACATAATGTGGTAGTAGTATTACATGCTGCTTCCTATTCAAGAGAATTCTCTACCATTGTCTGAGTGGTAGCCTGCCTCAAGCATTTTGTATAAAATTGTATAGCTTGTTTATCAATATGGCATTGGATAATGATGTAGATGTAGTGGAGAGACTTCACGTGAATCTTCCGTCTGCTTACTTCAACAACGCAGGTGTTCCACTTCCTGCCCTCTGAGCTGTGGGAGCTTCCTTCACTTTCTCGGATGTGTCTCAAATGACACCCTATTCCCTATATAGTGCACTACTTTTGACCAGAGCCTTATGGGCCCTGGTCGAAAGTAGTGTACTACATAGGGAATAGGGTGCCATTTGGGATGCAGATGCAGCCACTCCAGTCCCTTCTCACATGGACAGCCAGAGATAACGAGCCTAAGCATTGATGTGTTTTCCAGTGTAGAGCCTAGCTGCTGTGGGATGATGCAGGTCCTCAAGGACCAGTGTGCTCCTGCAGGTTCGCAGGCATCCATCAATTAGGCGAACAGTTCAGAGGTTGCTGATATGAGTCCTGACCTCAGCCATTAGTCTCTCAGACATAGTGGTGGACTAAGTCCTATATAACACTTCTGTTCTGCGTGTGGCAGTGACCCAACCAGCACATTGGGCTACATGTTATGATATTATTTTTGGATTATATTATACTTAACAAAAATAGAAACGCAACATGTAAAGTGTTGGTCCCAGTTTTCATGAGCTGAAATAAAAGATACCAGACATTCTCCATAAGCACAAAAAGCTTATTTCTCTCAAATTTTGTGCACAACATTGTTTACAACCCTGTTAGTGAGCATTTCTCCTTTGCCAAGATAATCCATCCACCGGAATATCAAGATGCTGATTAAACAGCATGATCATTACACAGGTAAAAGGCCACTCTAAAATGTGCAGTTTTGTCACACAACACAATGCCACGGATGTCTCAAGTTTTGAGGGAGTGTGCAATTGGCATGCTGACTGCAGGAATGTCCAACAGAGCTGTTGCCAGAGAATGTAATGTTCATTTCTCGACCATAAGCCACCTCCAATGTCGTTTTAGTGAATTTGGCAGTACATCCAACCGGCCTTACAACCTCAGACAACGTGTAACCACGCCAGCCCAGGACCTCCGCATCTGGCTTCTTCACCTGCGGGTTTGTCTGAGGAGTGGTGCTGAGGAGTATTTCTGTCTGTAATAAATTCTAATTGGTTTGGTCTGGCTCCCCAGTGGGTGGGTCTATGCCCTCCCCATGCCCACCCATGGCTGCGCCCCTGCCCAGTTATGTGAAATCCATAGATTAGGGTCTAATTCATTTGTTTAAATTGACTGATCAGTAAAATCTTTAGAAATGGCATGTATATTTTTGTTCAGTGTATATATCAATTGACTCAAAGTATAGATTTTTTGGCTACGGTAGGTAGCATTAGCTAGCGCTAGTCTGCTGTACCTGCACCAAAACTCCAGTATTTTCCTTCATAGCTTGTTCTCAATCTTCATTTCAAATATTGAGCCAACATGTTTTCAGCACTTTTTTATTTCCCTGACTGAACAAAACAAATGTTCTTATTCTCTCTTGTCTCTCTGCAGCAGACATATAGTGAGCAATATGTTTGGGACCTCAAATCGCAATAAAATCGCAGAATTGAATCGCGATACATAGATTATCGTGAGAATCGCAGTGTATAGTGTATCGGCACCTAAGTATTGTTATAATATCGTATCGTGAGGTTCCTGGCAATTCCCAGCCCTACATGATGGTCTACTGTCTAAGGATGGAATAGACTCACATATTGTAAGGAAGTAAAATGTTGTACTGAGAACAGAAATGTATTTTTTATTTTCAAGTAGTACAGAGCAATATGTTGATTTAAAACTAGGTTAGTAGTGAATGATTTAGTGATTTAGGCATAGCACATCAGTGCTTGTTGAATACTTTCAGTACTCTGGGAGAAAAGGATGTTGATCATCAGTGAGCCATGCTTTCAGCAGTCTGCATCTGCATCCCAAATTTCACCCTATTCCAAATATAGTGGTCCATAGGGCTCTGCTCAAAAGTAGTGCACTCTGGAATAAGATTCCATTTGGGATGTAACCGATCTGTCCACAAATGAAGAGGCCTTTTATGTGAACGTTTCATCTTGCAAGCATAGAAAACCCAGAGCTTTTTACAACTGAAAAACGAAGGCGAGCTCTGTGAGCCTTCTGTCAGAGCCAAGCTCTTGAAAAACATCATTTTGCAAAGTGTAGGTGTCTTAATTCGATCATTTTTGCTGCAGACTCTTGGGATTTCCGTAAGTATTTATCCTACCCGAGTAAGCTGTTGACTGAAACCCATGCAGTGGATCAGTGGTTCCGCTCAGCCTATCCCTGTGTGTGCTGGACTGAAAAAACAGCGCTCTCCCTTTAATGCCAGACTAATTAATCTTATGGAGAGAAAGTGTTTAATTTCCTCAAACAAGAATGCCGCACTACGCAGTAATTATCTTGAGCCCTGATTTGGTTCTGAGCTCCATAATAATATATATTATATGAACCCTTCTTGACTTTGAAATAGACTTCTACAGATTGTCATGAAATCTGTGTTCTTTTTGGGGGAGAATTGGGAATATGAACTACTGTGCATGAAAGAAACATGGATTTGTCTTTATGGAGAGCATCACATTTCTGTGGTGCTGCAGTAAATTAGGGCACAGTCTTGGCCCCTTGCATAATTTAAAGGCTTAAAGATTAATTTAGCTAGATTAATGAAAAGGTTCCTTACTCAACTGGTGCTGCATTTTCCTCGGCTTTCTGTAACTTTGGTACATGCTCATTTGCTGCCTTCATTATTTAGGCATTTAAAAGATGCTTAACCATAATTTATTTACCTTATCATAAAGCACATCTACTTAATTATAGCTTAGTCTAGTCAATTACCCTGCTCTTCCCCAGTATCAAGTAACATACCCAGAAAATGCCTGCCTGCTCAGTTGCTATTTGGGAGGATTTAGATAAAATCCACATACAATCTAATTTGTTTCTCTAATTTTGTGCTAATTTGTTTCATAACCAAACCTGAACGTGAAATGTTTCCCTACTGATCCGTCCGGTGCATACAGTAGCAGCCTTTGTCCATTAGATGGCATCATCACAGACACATCTGGAGTGACTCCTGTCCTCCCTTTCCAGCTCTCTCACTCTCGTAGCTGACTGGACAACTGTCTGTCACTCAGTCTTCTTGTCATTCTTCCCCTTCTTGACACATCCTCTTGTTGTTGTCCTCAGTCCTATTGCCGTTGCTCACTTAGTAACACTTGGCCACTCACTCTTTCTGTTTGGTGGTGTTCTCCTGCAGTCCTCCTCACTGAGTCATCTGATCTCCCTTACACACACCACAGACAGACAGGATGCGTCCCGTGTAGCTCAGTTGGTAGAGCATGGCGTTTGCAACGCCAGGGTTGTGGGTTCGATTCCGACGGGGGGCCAGTATGAAAAATGTATGCACTCACTAACTGTAAGTTGCTCTGGATAAGAGCGTCTGCTAAATGACAAAAAGGTAAATGTCCCAAATGGCACCCTATTCCCTTTATAGTCCACTACTTTTGACCAGAGTTCTATGGGCCCTTGTCAAAAGTAGTGCACTATATAGGGAATAGGGTGCCATCTGGTATGTGGACACACTGTTACCCACTAGTGAAGCTGCTCTGCTCACAGCAAAAATATATTTGTCCTTGGCACTTGTTACCTCAATGAAGCTGGAAGTGTGATGTTGCTGTTCAGTAGTTCTGCCTTGATTGTGCTGCTGTCAACTACTTTATTTCTCTCATTTATTCCGACTGAGTCTCAGTGCTCCAACATAACAATTCATATTTTTTAACTAAACAAGTAGCTTAACTACAGTGGGGGTAAAAAAGTATTTAGTCAGCCACCAATTGTGCAAGTTCTCCCACTTAAAAAGATGAGAGAGGCCTGTAATTGTCATCATAGGTACACGTCAACTATGACAGACAAAATGAGGGGGAAGAAATCCAGAAGATCACATTGTAGGATTTTTTATGAATTTATTTGCAAATTATGGTGGAAAATAAGTATTTGGTCAATAACAAAAGTTTCTCAATACTTTGTTATATACCCTTTGTTGGCAATGACACAGGTCAAACGTTTTCTGTAAGTCTTCACAAGGTTTTCACACACTGTTGCTGGTATTTTGGCCCATTCCTCCATGCAGATCTCCTCTAGAGCAGTAATGTTTTGGGGCTGTCGCTGGGCAACACGGACTTTCAACTCCCTCCAAAGATTTTCTATGGGGTTGAGATCTGGAGACTGGCTAGGCCACTCCAGGACCTTGAAATGCTTCTTACGAAGCCACTCCTTCGTTTCCCGGGCGGTGTGTTTGGGATCATTGTCATGCTGAAAGACCCAGCCACGTTTCATCTTCAATGCCCTTGCTGATGGAAGGAGGTTTTCACTCAAAATCTCACGATACATGGCCCCATTCATTCTTTCCTTTACACGGATCAGTCATCCTGGTCCCTTTGCAGAAAAACTGCCCCAAAGCATGATGTTTCCACCCCCATGCTTCACAGTAGGTATGGTGTTCTTTGGATGCAACTCAGCATTCTTTGTCCTCCAAACACGACGAGTTGAGTTTTTACCAAAAAGTTATATTTTGGTTTCATCTGACCATATGACATTCTCCCAATCCTCTTCTGGATCATCCAAATGCACTCTAGCAAACTTCAGACGGGCCTGGACATGTACTGGCTTAAGCAGGGGGACACGTCTGGCACTGCAGGATTTGAGTCCCTGGCGGCGTAGTGTGTTACTGATGGTAGGCTTTGTTACTTTGGTCCCAGCTCTCTGCAGGTCATTCACTAGGTCCCCCCGTGTGGTTCTGGGATTTTTGCTCACCGTTCTTGTGATCATTTTGACCTCACGGGGTGAGATCTTGCGTGGAGCCCCAGATTGAGGGAGATTATCAGTGGTCTTGTATGTCTTCCATTTCCTAATAATTGCTCCCACAGTTGATTTCTTCAAACCAAGCTGCTTACCTATTGCAGATTCAGTCTTCCCAGCCTGGTGCAGGTCTACCATTTTGTTTCTGGTGTCCTTTGACAGCTCTTTGGTCTTGGCCATAGTGGAGTTTGGAGTGTGACTGTTTGAGGTTGTGGACAGGTGTCTTTTATACTGATAACAAGTTCAAACAGGTGCCATTAATACAGGTAACGAGTGGAGGACAGAGGAGCCTCTTAAAGAAGAAGTTACAGGTCTGTGAGAGCCAGAAATCTTGCTTGTTTGTAGGTGACCAAATACTTATTTTCCACCATAATTTGCAAATAAATTCATAAAAAATCCTACAATGTGATTTTCGGGAGAAAAAAAAATCTCAATTTGTCTGTCATAGTTGACGTGTACCTATGATGAAAATTACAGGCCTCTCTCATCTTTTTAAGTGGGAGAACTTGCACAATTGGTGGCTGACTAAATACTTTTTTCCCCCACTGTATGTGGCTATGCTACTTGATCTCTCTCCTCTTATTCCCTCTTTCTCTTGTTGTCAGTGGTTTGTCCCAGCTTAGTTCCCCCCTGGCGCATGCTTAATCCGTTTTATGATTCAGACAATTTGGAAATGTTATGTTGGAATAGAATACATAGTCACATTTACAACCACGTACCCATTTGAAAATTACCTCATGTACTGAATCATTCAACTTCACCTCTACAGTGATTGAGTGCTTGAGCCGACCTCATGGATGACTAATCATATTTGTTGTATGTTGTCCGCCAGTCAGAAACGCACCGTGAGAGCCATAGCTGGAGGCAGGGAAGGAAAAGAACTGTGCTTCCAGAAGGGTTCCTGTCATGCTTAGCTGCTTTTTCTCCTTCCCTCTGTCACATGCTCTCTGTCATGTTGCCCTGCCATCCTGTCCTGCCTGTCCTGTCCTGTACTTGGCCTTATGGCTCGTCGTGACGGGGTGCCATGCTATGCACATGAATCTGTTATTTTCCCTTCTCTTCTTCTAGTTGTTGTCGCTCTCTTCCAGTCGGTTAGTCTCACTTCGTCCACGCTCGGAGCATCTCCCTGCTTCTCTCAGACCACTGTTGCACATCTTCTGCCAGCTCCAATTTGTCCTCCTTTTTGTCTCCTTCATCAAGCCCACTGACTTACTGTACCCTGCCTGTTGTAGTGCTTTCCTACAGAACACTCTTCTGTTTGTCTGCCTTTACAGTCTGCATTACATCGTCTCCTGGGTATCTTGTTTAGCATTTTGTTCATCATTTGTAACTCTGTCAAAAATAACATTTTGAGAAATCAGATATACATTAATGATCATCTGCTTACCTACCAGGAGTCAGCCCTGTCTGGATCTGAAAACACCATTCCTTTCATTCTATTCCAGCCTATTTCTCTTGGCGAAAACACCAGCAGCTTTATGAAAGGAGTTGTTAATCAGAAACAAATAAGTATTTTCAGGTGGATTTCAGAACTAGGTTGACGTTGTTTTTAATGCATCATCAGCCTGGTGTTTTTGTTCAGACCCCCTATCTGTACGAACACCAGTAGAATTATAACAAAGTAGGGATGCTAGTGCAGAGATGAGGGAATAGGTGCCACAGGAAATAATTACACACATTCTTCAGTGGAGGGGAAATTGGCAGAGGCCATAGTGGCCGGGCCTCATGCTCGCAGGCCATTAATGGGGATATTTTCAATTAGTCATGCTTCTAAGAGCAAGGTCCGGCTCCCTGTATTTACAGCCCCCCCCCCCCCCCACAGCACTACACAATACCTCCTAGCAATAGATTAGTAAGCGCTATTGATCTCTTGCACCATTCCAACCTGTGTTTTATTGTTTTTCCCTCTTTACCTCTCCCCCCTCCTCCCTGTCCCCTCCCCCCACTCTCCATCCCTCTCTTCTCCCTCCTTCCCCCTTGTCTTGTGTGAATCACCTGGAGGTAACGCTGAGTGAAAATTGGTTTCTGATTCCCCTATCACTGCTGTTGATTCGTTTCACTGCCACTCTCTCTGCCACTCAGCCTGCTTTGCTCTCAGCACAGACTATTTCTGCATCCCAAATGGCACCATATTCCTTATTTAGTGCACTATATAGGGAATAGTGCCATTTTAGGACGCAACCTAACTCAGCTTTGTCAAACAGGGATGGCTATGTTGTCCAGGATGGGTTTTATTAACCACTACTAGACAACAGACAACTCGCTAGGCTACAAGACGCTAGGCTACAAGACAGTGGTCTACAAGACACCTCTATGTATTACACTTTGTCTTCTCTTCTATTGTGATTGATGGGGTTGTTTCTGCAGTGACATGTTTGTGGTTTTAGGCTGGGTTTCTGTATAGCACTTTGTGATATCTGCTGATGTAAAAAGGGCTTTATAAATTAATTAGATTGGATGTTAACTAAAGGTTTGTGTGTTTTGTCCGTGTCCGTCCAGGTATGACAAGGAGGGACACTCTATGGATGGCCAGTCTCTGACGGAGGCGAGGACGGTAGGAGGAGGAGGAGGGAACACCAACTGGAAGACCCTGACTGACATCAAGACCGAGCACCTCGGACACGGAGACAAGGTTTGTTGCGCACACACACCCACACACTCACACAAACATACTTTTATGTAGACAAACACATGTACATCAAACATTCTAAAATATAATAAGGTCCTACATATTGCTTTTCTTTGTTGACTTGATTCAAAGCAAGAATATTCAAGGACAAACTGAAAGACAGTATTGAATGCAAGCGATCACTTTTTTGAAAGTGTTCCCTACATAGTGCACTACTTTAGGTCAGGGCCAAATGGCACCCTATTCCATATGGGACCTGGTCAAAAGTAGTGCACTATATAGGGAATAGGGTGCCATTTGGGATGCAACCCTACGGTATTCTGATATTCTCCCTCTCATTAATCACCAACATAGTATGTGTCCTCTGCTGCCCTCTCCCTACCTAGGTATATGCTTAATGTGAAGTCACATTTATCTCCCATATTGATTGTGAAGAGAAGAGGGGCGCCGTTCTTTCAGCTTGGTAATGAAGTGGTTGCGCTCAGATAAATCAAGTAATAAATGGCTTGTAATTCCAGCTTATTATTTACATTTTATGGTATGGAGGAAAGGTGGATAATTCATCTCCGATTATGGAAACTGATATGTCCTCTAATATTTGTAATATAAACTAACTATACTAATAAATCCTGGGCCTTGGTTTTTAACCTCCGTATTGGAATAAGGAGGAGGGATGAGATTATTTTAATTAGGTTTATTTGACTGACGTCTGAGGAGAGTCCTTGGGTTAGAACAGCACTGGGAGAGAGGCGAGGATGGAGAGGGGGAGAATGGGGGTAGCTCCAAGTCCAGGGTACACTGAGGACTAAGACAGAGGGGAGGGAGGATAGCGCACAAGCTCAGGACAGAGGGAGGATGGAACTGGGAGAGAGGGAGGATGGTACAAAAGCACAGGGTTGACTAAAAGACTCCGGTGGACTCGGGTCAGGTGAAGGAGTGAGGTGTTGGAGAATGGATAGAGGGCTTTGGGGTATAGACAGGTTTGGGTAAAGAGCATGTGAGGAAATCTCCTGCCTTAGCAAACAGAGGGGAAAATGAGGCATGTTCCAAGGCCTAGATAAATAATAGAAGAGCAACACTTGACTGAAGTCCTCTATTTGTGGCTAAATCCCTACCTGTTTGTGTGTGTGGAGGATGTTGAGGAATTGTTGTGGTGATTGGCTCAGTGGCTGGCTGGGCTTTAGTAGTGTTGCTCCTGGCTCTCTGTGATCTAGCCCTGGTTCTGCTGCTCTCTGTGATCTAGTCCTGGTTCTGCTGCTCTCTGTGATCTAGCCCTGGTTCTGCTGCTCTCTGTGATCTAGCCCTGGTTCTGCTGCTCTCTGTGATCTAGTCCTGGTTCTGCTGCTCTCTGTGATCTAGCCCTGGTTCTGCTGCTCTCTGTGATCTAGTCCTGGTTCTGCTGCTCTCTGTGATCTAGCCCTGGTTCTGCTGCTCTCTGTGATCTAGTCCTGGTTCTGCTGCTCTCTGTGATCTAGCCCTGGTTCTGCTGCTCTCTGTGATCTAGCCCTGGTTCTGCTGCTCTCTGTGATCTAGTCCTGGTTCTGCTGCTCTCTGTGATCTAGCCCTGGTTCTGCTGCTCTCTGTGATCTAGCCCTGGTTCTGCTGCTCTCTGTGATCTAGCCCTGGTTCTGCTGCTCTCTCGCTCATCTGCACTGCACCTCTCCAGGGCCTGGTGTCACCAAGCCTCAGTATAGCGCTCTTATTGTTATCCTTATGCCCCTCACATTGAAGAGTGTATGGACACTATATAGGCTAACCAGTTACTTGACACTCCCCTCACATTGTAAAGTAGACTATATGTTACATGCACACAGTAATGACATTATTGTGGTGATTAATATAAAAATGTTTTTATGCAAGAAGAACGATTTCCCTAATAATCCTGTTTACATGGACATATCTGACATCAGGATACCTGATGGGACTCTTGATAAATACAGAAAATTATACCACAGTGACCATGTTATTTTTGCGACATCTTTTTGATTCAGAGTTCAGACATATACATTTTGTATGTGAAAACTATTTATAAGATGCATACTTTTCTGAACTCACTTCACTCGCACATAAGAGGGAGGCTTGCACTACCTGTGGTGGCACATGTGCAGATCAAATACAACGCTGGAACACCGATTTAAGCTGTTTACATGTCCTAATAATTTGAAAGATTACTCAGAAAACCAGGTGTTCTAATCGCTGTATGCTTACTTTGATTTTGGCCATTCGCCGATTTTTAAGATGAGCAGCTTAAGGTGTTTATATGACTATTTCAATACTCGGCCTACTGCCATAATCAGTTTAATATATAATTATTAGTGTGCACGTAAACATATTCACTGTCTCATTGTAGAGTAGGCTGTTGGCACTATTTATGCTAACCAGTATTAGCATTGCTGATTCACGAGTTCCCTTGACCTTCACTAGAGTCGTCCAGACTATCCATTAGCCTCCTGTTGGGTTAAGGAGCTTTCCCCTGGCGTTAGGTTGTGGTACTAGAGGAGGAGAGAGGAAGGGAGAGGTGTGACCCAGGGCTGTAGTTTAGCCTGTAGTGTCTGTGTGTGTGATGAGGAGCTGACTCAAGCTCAGTCTGTCCTCTCCTGGTACTCCTCCTGCTCAGCCCGTGGAGACACGGGGTCACAAGGTCGGCCCTCTGAAGGCCCTTCGCAAGTCAGCGGCAATTAATTGTCCCTGTCACAAAGTCTCGGTCACAATCTCAAATTTGCCCTCTCGACAGCGAATAGCTAACCCCGTCCACAGCCCGCTCCCTTCTGATGGCTTGACACTGCCTGTGTATGTAAAGCCTTGTGACAGAGACTGGAGAAAAAAATGTTCAGCGGTCTCATCTCTCTCTGTGGTGAGTGACTCATTAATTGCAGAGGTATTAACTTGATTCATTAGTGCTCTTTGGGGAAGCTGCAGTGCGGAAAGGAAGAAGGAGGTGTTTGTTAAAACAACTGTAGTTTTAAAGGCAGATTCCATGCGTTGAAAAGGGAGAGATTTTCTCTAATTTGGCCACTGTCATTGATTACTCCCCAAAGGTTTTTTAGTTTGAAGTGACATAGAATATCAATTGTCCTTCTGTGCAACTTAATTGGGGTTGAATCCCTTAGGCATACTGGCAGAGTGGCCAGCAGTTAGCCTATGGAGAGAGCGAGAGGGGGAAATAAATCTATTACGGCCAATGCTGCGGAAACGTTCCGTTTTGTTTTTCTATTGATTTCCTTCAAAAACTGGAGGTTAAGACTTTGCCTGGGGCCTCCATCTAGATTGTGAACCATAGAGGGAAAGAATAAACTCCTGCATGCAGAATTCTCAATGAAGTGCACCATGCAGAAATGTCCTGTTTCCTGTCCCCTGCTTTCCTTTCCGTACGCCAGGCAATGTTCCCCTCCATGAATATGAGTCAGGATGTCCAGGTTATTAAAATTCCCCCATTGTAATTCTACTGTAGGTCTTTATTGTGTAAGGAAGTGTTATGATTTTTTTTTAAAGAGCACACACTCTTTTGTCCTCTGGATGAATCCTAATGACTGACTGATGAAGGCTCTTGGCCTCAGAGGTTCTCCTGTGTGTGTTTACATAATGAGATATTACCATGTGGTATTGCCAATAGGCCCTGGTCGAAAGTAGTGTACTATATAGGGAATAGGGCGCTATTTGGGATACAGACGGTGTTAAGGCGTGGAGGTGTCTGCTCCTCTCACTCCCCCTCATCGTGAGCCGTGACCCTGTTCTCACCCCACTGTGCCTCTGTCACCTCTCTGTCCCAATGGCCACATGCAGGAGTGGTGACGAGCAGTAGGCGGGGGGCTAACACAGATGGAGGGAGAGCGGGATAAGCGAGGGAGAGCGAGATGTTACAAAACAATAATCATTTGAGGCGTGACTGTGACACAGACCTGTCCGGGGCAGCAGGCAGCAAGGCGTATGAAGTGGTGGGTAGTGGGTGGGGGTACAGAAACAGAAAGGGATCTCTACAACGTGTCGATAGAACGAGAGGTGACGTGCCTCATCTCCAACCAGAGCTTGCTGCTCTCCGACAGGCTAGGAAATATTCTAAAAGGCTGTTTATGTATATGGGGGTTATAAACTTTGCATATACCACCATAAAAAAGATGAGGCTGCCTGCCATTTGCTGTTTTTCATTTGTGTTTGGAGCTATGCTATGCAGATTGCGGTTGGATTGTGATTTTTGCATCCCACTGCAATAATGTTTCTCTTTAATACAGTTTGAATATTCTAGTTGATGTCCTCTCAGATCTGTTCTTTATGCCTCTCAGTTGATAGTTCTGCGCCGTGTAATGGCATCAACCTTATGTAGAAATCATGGACCAAGCCTGCACATGTGGCCCATTTACAATATGGCCTGCCACAAAATATCTACTTTCAAAACGATTGACTGAAGAATTCTCAGTTATGTTGTGTGTTTGACTGTTTGTGTCCAGGCGGACTACTTCAGCTGCATGTATAGCAATATGGTAATTCCACAAAACATCTGGTGTACACATTTTAAAACGACTAAGAAGTATGCTCAGTAATGTTGTATGTGTTTTGTTTGTCCAGGCGGACTACTTCAGCTGCATATATGGCATATAGAATACGGTCTTCCACAAAATAGTGCTTTTCAAAACACTTGACAGAAGTACTGTGCCTTGCAAAAGTATTCATTCCCCTTGGTGTTTTTCCTATTTTGTTGCATTACAACCTGTCATTTTAATGGATTTTTTTGGGGATTTCATGTAATGGACATACACAAAATAGTCCAAATTGGTGAAGTGAAATTATAAAAATTACTTGTTTCAAAAAATTCTAAAAAATAAATAACGGAAAAGTGGTGCGTGCATATGTATTCTCCCCCTTTGCTATGAAGCCCCTAAATAAGATCTGGTGCAACCAATTACCTTCAGAAGTCACATAATTAGTTAAAGTCCACCTGTGCGCAATCTAAGTGTCACATGATCTGTCACATGATCTCAGTATATATACACCTGTTCTGAAAGGCCCCAGAGTCTGCAACACAACTAAGCAAAGGGCACCACCAAGCAAGCGGCACCATGAAGACCAAGGAGCTCTCCAAACAGGTCAGGGACAAAGTTATGGAAAAGTACAGATCAGGGTTGGGTTATAAAAAAATATCAGAAACTTTGAACATCCCACGGAGCACCATTAAATCCATAATTAAAAAATGGAAAGAATATGGCACCACAAAAAACCTGCCAAGAGATGGCCGCCCACCAAAACTCACGGACCAGGCAAGGAGGGCATTAATCAGAGAGGCAACAAAGAGACCAAAGATAACCCTGAAGGAGCTGCAAAGCTCCACAGCAGAGATTGGAGTATCTGTCCATAGGACCACTTTAAGCCGTACACTCCACAGAGCTGGGCTTTACGGAAGAGTGGCCAGAAAAAAGCCATAGCTTAAAGAAAAAAATAAGCAGGAAGAATGTACTCTGGTCAGATGAGACTAAAATTGAGCTTTTTGGCCATCAAGGAAAACGCTATGTCTGGCGCAAATCCAACACCTCTCATCACCCCCAGAACACCATCCCCACAGTGAAGCATGGTGGTGGCAGCATCATGCTGTGGGGATGTTTTTCATCGGCAGGGACTGGGAAACTGGTCAGAATTGAAGGAATGATGGATGGCGCTAACTACAGGGAAATTCTTGAGGGAAACCGGTTTCAGTCTTCCAGAGATTTGAGACTGGGACGGAGGTTCACCTTCCAGCAGGACAATGACCCTAAGCATACTGCTAAATCAACACTCAAGTGGTTTAAGGGGAAACATTTAAATGTCTTGGAATGACCTAGTCAAAGCTCAGACCTCAATCCAATTGAGAATCTGTGGTATGACTTAAAGATTGCTGTACACCAGCGGAACCCATCCAACTTGAAGGAGCTGGAGCAGTTTTGCCTTGAAGAATGGGCAGAAATCCCAGTGGCTAGATGTGCCAAGCTTATAGAGACATACCCCAAGAGACTTGCAGCTGTAATTGCTGCAAAAGGTGGCTCTACAAAGTATTGACTTTGGGGGAGGGGGTGAATAGTTATGCACGCTCAAGTTCTGTTTTTTTGTCTTATTTCTTGTTTGTTTCACAATAAAAAATATTTTGCATCTTCAAAGTGGTAGGCATGTTGTGTAAATCAAATGATACAAACCCCCAGATAATCCATTTTAATTCCAGGTTGTAAGACAACAAAATAGGAATAATGCCAAGGGGGGTGAATACTTTCGCAAGCCACTGTATACTCAGTAATGTCTGTGTGTGTGTGTCCCTCCAGGCAGACTACTTCAGCTGCATTGCCACCATAGTGTACATCCGTAAGGAGAATTGTCTGTACCAGGCTTGCCCTAGTCAGGACTGCAATAAGAAGGTGGTGGACCAACAGAACGGCATGTTCCGCTGTGAGAAGTGTGACAAAGAGTTCCCAAACTTCAAGTACCGACTCATCGTCTCTGTGAGTAGCTCTCTCTGTCTGTCTAAGCCCTCTGGCTTTCTGGCTGGATTCAGTACGCACAGTCACAAAGAGGACACGCACGCACACGCTGCGTCCCAATCTGCCACCCCATTCACGCTCACTGTGACAGGGTACCTGCCCTCTCCTGACCCCATCCCCTGGGCCTCTATTCATTCTCTCCTATCCTCACAGGACTGTGGGGATGGGGCTGCTGCTGCTGTGGGTGTGGCTGGGGGGTGTCTTCCTCTGGGGGACTTATCTACTACCTCTCATTACTCTCTCTCTAGCACGCTCTCTCTCTGGTACGCACACGTTTGCTTTCTGTCTTTGTCCTTCCTTTCAATCTTGCTCTCTTCACCCCTCCGTTCTTTCGCTCTCTTTCGTGCGTTCTTTCTTTCTCTCCTTTCGCTCTTTTGCTTCTTTCTCCTTCTGGGCTCAGTTTTCCCCTCTTCTCCCAGGACTCCAGCCAGTCTCCCCTATGGTACTACTTCTCTCACGGTCCTTAACTCTCCCCATTGGCTCCCTTTACAGTCATGTTTGAAGAAAATTCTTATTTAAGCCCATTCTGCTCTTGCTGCTGCAAGCGTCAAATAGTGGCTGGCTATTTTAGGATTAATTTGATTTGTTTTATTGGGTGTAAGTCAGGATTATGATGAGTTAATTGCTCTATTTTCCCCTCCTGAATACTGCTGCTCGATGCTGAGGCATTTTGTCTCTGCTGGTTAAAAATAGCAGCATTAAAATACTACCTCATTTAGTCAGCAAATGAGCTCTTGCAGCCAGACATCTAAAATAAGCGGCTTTTCTTTTGTTTTGCGCCTCTCGCCAGTCAGCATATTGCTTTTCTCCACAGAGCTGGAACATGAGCTGTGAATATGCTACCATTGCGCGCAGCTCGCATCACACATACACCTTGGCTCTTCTGGTGTTTAAAGTCCCTGCCTGCCAAATGTATAGAACAGTAGAGTTCTATAATAATGACTTTCCCAGCAGTATAAACTTGTGCAATCGACAATACATTGAATATTCAGCAGCAACTTGACATCATACACAACAATAAACCAAAGTACCAAATCCCTGAGAAGCCTACCTTTTTAATAGACTCTGTTTGCGTTCCAAATGGCACCCTATTCCCTATGTGGTGCACTTCTTTTGACCAGGGCCCATTGCACTCTGGTCAAAAGTGGCGCTCTATAAAGGGAATAGGGTGCCATTTGTGTTGCAACCTATGATCAATAAAGCCCAGATGACCTTTCCCTCTCCCTTTGACTTTCCCCAGTACTCACTCCTGCCATGTGTCTGTCTCTGTTCCTCCTCTCATCCTGCAGGCCAACATAGCAGACTACGGGGACAACCAGTGGGTGACCTGCTTCCAGGAAAGTGCTGAAGCCATCCTGGGACAGAATGCTGCTTACCTAGGGCAGCTCAAGGACTCGGTGAGCCTTTCTCCCTCCCCCGTCTCCCTCCCCGTCTGCCTGGTTCAAGGCCTGAGGAAAGGGCCTAGGGAGGTGCTGAACCCCAGGCACTGTCTAGCCTGGCCCTGCCAGCCACTAGCACCAGCTACCTCTGCTCTACTCTGCTGTGCCATGTGGTCTCTGTAGGCCCTCACACAGCCTCTATAACCCAAGGATTTCTATTGAAACATTTTTTTTGCTCTACATTATTCTTTTTTCATTTTAATTAGATGGAAAACGGCTTTGATTAAAACAATTGCTTTTTAATGGAAACAAGCACGTTTTTGATTGTCATTAAAAGTTAAACTGATCCCATTTTGTTAATTTTCATGCAGAATGAAGCTGCCTTCGAGGAGATCTTTCAGCAGGCCAACTTCCACACGTTCATCTTCCGTAACAGAGTCAAGCTGGAGACCTACAATGTAAGTATCGCATGACAGATATGGGATTTTTGGGTCTGATACAATACTTATTTTTGGGGGGCTACACCGGTTCTAATTTATTGGCCGATGCATTGTTTTTCAAACGTGAGATTTCAAAAATCAGTTTTCTGCACAAATTTCGCTCCAAATGAAAAACGTCTCTTCAAAGATACCTTTTGAATGTTATTTCTCACATTTGAAAAACAAACATAATTAAATAATGTGAAGTGCGACCTGTGAAGTGCATCGCAGTGCTTTAGGCGTCACTACAGACCCGGGTTCGATCCCAGGCTGTGTCATAAATGTCCGTGACCGGGAGTCCCATAGAGCGGCGCACAATTGGCCCAGCGTCGTCTGGGTTTGGCCGGGGGGGCTTTACTTGGCTTATTGCGCTCTAGCGACTCCTTGTGGCGTTGTGGGTGTTAAGGAGCGCGGTTTGGCGGGTCATGTTTCGGAGGTTGCATGACTCGACCTTCGCCTCTCCTGAGCCCGTTGGGGAGTTGCAGCGATGAGACAAGATCGTAATTGGATCACAATTGGATATAATGAAATTGGGGAGAAAAGGGGGGGTAAAAAATAAAATTAAAATAAAGTGCTCAGATTAGCATGATTTTTAAAAATCATTTGTCGATACATTTTACATTTACATTTTAGTTATTTAGCAGACGCTCTTATCCAGAGCGACTTACAGTTTATAGTGAGTGCATACATTTTTCATACTGTGGTGGTTTAGTGGTATAGTGACCGATTTGGGGGACACACACACACACGCACACACACACACACATAAACAATATCAGCCGATTGTAATATCAGTCAACCAATATATTGGTCTGGCTCAAAAAAAAATTCATAACAGACATTAGGCTTCGGCAGTATCCAGTTTGTCATATCTTCATGCCATACCGGGATAGTCAGTAATACAGACACTGAACACAAGGGGCGCTGTCTTCAAACCCCACTAATACTGTAATCCGAAGGTTAGCAATGCTAACAGGTACATGTGAAATCCCATAGAGAATGCTAACTAAATGCTAACGAGCACATTGTGAACATTTTGTACAGTTTCTGACCTAAACTATACAATTAACTCAAAAATGCTACACAGTTTGCTGCATGCACAAAACAAATATTAGCCAGCAAGGCTCTTGATTCAGGAAGGAATTCTCTTCTGTTACCAAGTGAATGCTTGATTTTGGAAGAAGCTAATCACTTAGCTAGATGGCTAACCAGATACTAAATTAGCAAACCAAATGCACAACTGCAGAGCATTTAGCACATTTTAGACAGTTAACTTAATAGTTAGAAGATATCTAGGCTGGCAAACATTTAGTTGTGAATTCCATACTGTAATTAGATCACCTGGCGCATGCTGCACAACAGTGAGTGACTCTCAAGGCTCCGGTCTCTTGTCGTTGTGTGCTTGTACACAAACACCACGTGACTGGGGACTACCATATTAATGTGGCAGGTGACATAAAGAATGCAATGTTTTTATCTCCTAACGTATTGCACAAATTGACTGCAGGAATTTATTTAAAAAGTAGCAACAAATATTCACATTTATTAAAAAACGTTGAAAAAGAAATAGTTTCAACGTTATTGACAGTTTTGAAAAACCATCCCGTGGCTTTTTCCAAATGTCCTGGTATGCAGTATATACGGTATACTGCCTAAGCCTAACAGACATTTATTACTTGATATCAGAGCATGTTGCTAACTATAAAGTAGAGGTTGTCTAGTTCCATTCCAGTCATCTGGATGGGAGGAGAAAGAACACACACATCTTGTTCAGAGGTTTGACAGAATTACAATTTATTGAAATCGGCACATAAACAGCTTCTTTATATGTTCACCTGTGAGGGACGTTCATATTCCAATTGGCCTGTCAAATATCAGCAGTTGGCTGTGACATGTGTCCTTACGTCGGTTGAATTGCCGCCTCTTCTCCTTTCCCTCTCCTCTCCTTCCATCCCTTCATCTGTAGAAAAAGACCACAGAACAGACTGTGTTTTCTTTAGACAGCTCGTTTTCAGGGGCTGTGTGAAAGGTGCACACAGATTAGTTGTGGTCACCTTCTCCTGGAAGCTACACAGATGGAGCCTTGTTTTGAGGGCACAGCATAAAATAATTGATTGGGCTGGGACTGAGAGCAGGGAGAGTTGGAGCTCTGCCAGGGAGGCCCATTAACAACAGAAGAGTTGAGACGACTGTCTGTCACACCGTGGCTGTGTTAGGGAGAGAGAGAAGACACGACACCGTCAGCTCAGCCTCGGCAGCTTACAGGAAGGAGCCTGCTGTTTCAAGGATGTCCTCAACCCAATGTCTCCTTAAATCAAATCAAATTTTATTTTTTCACATACACGTGTTTAGCAGATGTTATTGCGGGTGTAGCGAAATGTTTGTGCTTCTAGCTCCGACAGTGCAGTAATATCTAACAAGTAATATCTAACAATTTCACAACATATACCCAATACACACAAATCTAGTAAGGAATGGAATTTAAGAATACATATATGGACAAGCAGTGACAGAGCGGCATGGACTAAGATACAGTAGAATATTATAGAATAGAATGCAGTATATACATATGAGATGAGTAGTGCAAGATATGTAAACGTTATTAAAGTGACTAGTGTTCCATTTCTTAAAGTGGCCAGTGATTTCAATAGGCAGCAGCAGCCTCTAATGTGCTAGTGATGGCTATTTAACAGTCTGATGGCCTTGAGATAGAAACTGTTTTTCAGTCTCTCGGTCCCAGCTTTGATGCACCTGTACTGACCTCGCCTTCTGGGTGATAGCGGGGTGAACAGGCAGTGGCTCGGGTGGTTGATGTCCTTGATGATCTTTTTGGCCTTCCTGTGACATCGGGTGCTGTAGGTGTCTTGGAGGGCGGGTAGTTTGCCCCCGTTAATGCGTTCGGCAGACCGCACCACCCTCTGGAGAGCCCTGCGGTTGCGGACGGTGCAGTTGACATACCAGGCGGTGATACAGCCCGACAGGATGCTCTCAATTGTGCATCTGTAAAGGTTTGTGGGTTTTAGGTGCCAAGCCAAATTTCTTCAGCCTCCTGAGGTTGAAGAGGCTCTGTTGCACCTTCTTCACCACACTGGCTGCGCGGGTGGACCATTTCAGTTTGTCAGTGAGGTATACGCTTTCCACATCTGGGAATTCTGCTGCAAGACCATTTGCCTTGAGAAAAAAAAGTGGTGTATTTTTCTAAACTTTGAGTTGTGTAGCTAGGTTGTAAAGCATGTTTTCTGATGTCGGATGAACAATGTAAGGGTCTCATATTGACATTAGGGCTGGGAATTGGCAGGGACCTCACAATATGATATTATCACGATACTTTGGTGCCGAGACGATATGTATTGTTATTCTCACGATTCTATATGTATTTCGATACTGTGATTTTATTGCGATTCGATGTTCCAAACATATTGCTCACCATATGTCTGCTGCAGAGGGACAAGAGAGAGCCATGAGAAAACAAGTTTTGATCAATCATGGGAATAAAAGTGCTGAAAACAAATTATTTCCCTATTTAAAAAGAAGATGGAGAACAATCTATGAAGGAGTTTTGGTGCAGGTACAGCCAGCTCAAAAATTATATTGCGATATTGTCAAAATGAAACTATATATCGTCAAATAATATCCCTATATGTAACTATTGATTTTTTTTCTTTCTTCTTCCCATCACTAATTGACATAAAGCCCATGTTTTTGTTTCTTCATGGTTGCGGTGGTTAATGACTCCTACCAGTACTATACTAGAGCATCAATACTATAGCGTCATATGACAGCAGCAGTGTTGGACGGCATCTGTCTAAAAAACTTTATGTTAACGTTGGGGGAAATGTTTAAACTCAAGCAGCAGTTTGCATCGGTCATTGATAGTTTTCTCATCTAATTATGCATTATACAAAGTCACTTTCAGCGCTTCCAGAGGTGACCTTGTAGCTACGTACCTGCTGCACTGACCACAGACAGACTAGCAGAGACATGATATTGTGTTGATAGAAGAGATGCAGCTTAGCCATGTCTGCTGACAATATATTTGATCATTGTGTGAGGAATCAGGCGAGAGAAGCATAGTCAGAATTTAGTTTTAAATTCTAATAATTAGTTCATTTTATAAGTAAGTACGATTAGCCTATATGTGATCGTAGCCCAGCTATAACTTGGTACAGTGCTCTTATTCTCTCCCTCTAGCTCTCACGTTCCTCTCTTGGCCCAGACAGCCTAGTCCTTGTAACTGGTTTAGTCTGTCTCCAGTGGTTGACTGGGTGACAAGAAAAGAGGGCACTTCGGACATAAAACCATGTCAAGCTCTCAAATAGAAGTCTGCCTTCCATCCCATTCCATCCCATGGCGGGCCCAGCCCAGTGCAGTTGTACTACGGAAGAAGAAGCAGAGAAGTGCTGTGGATTTGCATAGCAAGCGGCAGCCTGATTCTCCTTGCTTTGCCCACATAAATCCTGCCTTTCTGGCAAGATGTGACCAACACTAATCGCTTGACAAACTCTGTCACACTCGCTTGTGGAGCTGCAGTGCAGTGGTTTCGTGTGTGAGCCTGAGAGAGCCGTGTGTGCTGGGGGGAGAAAAGGGGGGTGAGGGTGAGTTAGTTGGGGGACTAAAGGGAGGGAGTCACTCATTAGACGGTAGAGAATGAGGAGGGACCATTTCTAGCTCCCCGCACATCTTCCAAAAACGTCTGAAACCCTACCTCTTGAACACTCATAACTACTTTGTTGATAGAAAATGTACTTGCTACAGTTGTGATATGTTGTCTCACCTAGCTATCTTAAGATGAATGCACTAATGTAAGTCACTCTGGATAAGAGCATCTGCTAAATGACTAAAATGTAAATGTAAATTGTTTTCTGTGTGGCTGGAACAAACAGGGCCTGAGCTGTGTGAAGCCTGAGCGTAGGTACACACACACACACACACACACACACACACACACAAAACCTTGTCACATGGATCACACACATGCTGGTAAAGCTAGCCGAGCTGAGCCCCTAACCCTCCAGCCACACAGTGTCAGCATGTAAACCCAGGCAGGGCCAAAGGTGGGGGCAGCACAGCCGAGCACAGGACTGACACTACACTACAGCCCTATCAGGGCCGCTGTCTTCGGTCTAGTGTCTACACCTGCAGTAACTAACTGAGACCTCTCCTAGAGATGGGGACGTATCTGCTGTAGCGTAGTTCATGGGGTGGAATTCTTCTATGAACAGACACAATGCAACCATGGTTACATCATTCTTGTTTCTTGCTGTAGAAATGAGAAGATCTCCATTGCAGCTAGCACTCATTCTTCAATGAACAGTGGACAATTCAACCATGATTGAATAATTGTTTTACTGTAAATAATAATATATTCAGTGGACCACAGGCTGCATATGTCTGCAGAAGTCAAACCCCACATGCCTGAGGTCATCCACTGAACCATAACGTTACTGTATACCTTCTCAAGCGTTCCATCTGGCCGTGGTTAGAGAAGGCAGATAGGAGAGTATGAACACGCTAACATCCAGACTGCATAAATAGCTTTTTAGCTGAACCTAATGGAGTGAGTGAGGCGTAACCACAGGGCAGATAACAGCACAGATAGTCCTTTTTCATCAGTTTTTCCAAGCCCATGTGAGAGGGAGTGCTACAACACCTCTCTTCTTCCTCTGGAAGCCATCAGACAGCCAAGCCCCAAGCAGCAGAAGCTCTCTAAAGTTTTAGCCATATGCAAATCACAGTGCTGTGGGGCTGGCTAGGCTGACTGTTGTAGCTGCTGTACTCTGGCAGAACTGTTAGCGATGCAGGGTCAGGCAGTCCAGGCTACTAAGCCTGTGGTGTGTTTTTGCCTTATTCATTAGTGTCTGGATGGCTGTGTGGGCCTGACTCACTGCCCTCAGCCTGGGCCTGACTCCCCCCTCCTCCCTCAGCTCAACTCCCCCCCCCCCCCCCCCCCCCCCCCCCCCACAGTTCCTTCTGTCATGCACCCTATGACACCCTCCCTCCCTCGCTCTGCTCTGCACCCTGCCCCTCCCCCCGCCACATTCACATACATTAGCACAGCCCAGAACAATGCTCACTCCACACAGGAAATGGGCATTTCTCCTCTGAGATGATTCTATATCGGCAATTAATTGCAGCATTTTGATCTTTTGTGTCCACTGTGGACAATTAGCATTTTAGCAGCAGCATAGCTATTACCTGTGCCTGAGGATTGTTCTGTAGAGTTCTGCAAAGACATTTACATTTACGTCATTTAGCAGACGCTCTTATCCAGAGCGACTTACATTATTTTATTTTATTTTCATACCCCCTGTGGGAATCGGACCCACAACCCTGGCGTTGCAAACGCCATGCTCTATCAACTGAGCTACATCCCTGCCGGCCATTCCCTCCCCTACCCTGGACGACCCTGGGCTGCAAAGAGAGAGAGAAACTGTAGAATGGTGATGAATCTGAAGAATCTAACCTTAATCTCCTGGGTCGCATTCATTAGGCACGTATTTTAGCTTTCCGCTGGAAAACATTTTGCTACAGTGTGCACTTATGAATACGACCCTGTGTTATGTAAGGGCTGCTAGAAAGATGGGATTTCTTCTTAGGCTCTAATAAGAGTGAGAGTCAATCGAAAGGAACATGTCTTCCATCTCACCTCTAGTGGTTCCAGAGCGATTAATGGAGACAAAGTGACTGGGTTCATCCCAAATGGCACCCTATTCCCTACATAGTGCACTACTTTTGACCAGGATCTATATGGCTCTGGTCAAAAGTAGTGCACTATGTAGGGGAATAGGGTTCCATTTGGGACACTGCAGGTGACTGTAGCTGCCTGTTTAAAGAGTGATGGACCTGGTGGATGACCTTCTCTAGTCTAGACTGATGCTGAGTTGGTGAAAACATTTAAACGCTGTCTATCTGTCGCAGTGCAGGGAGGTTGCATCATCATCCATCTAAATGCCAGACAGCAGATTTTAGTTGCCGATTTTTAAATACAGGCTACTAAAATATCAACTTTTCTAACGTGTTAGAGAAGTAGGCTAATCTCTCTGGCACCAGGCTGCATGCCTACTTAATGCTGCTGTCTCTGGCTGAACCTGCAGGCAGAAGTCACCTGTGAGGAATCCAAGCTTTGTCCTTGGATGCACAGGCTTGTATAACATGCATTCCAGTAAAAGTCAAAACAGACCGTGCAGACCAACCGTCCGATCTCATCTGACCACAGAACATCAGCTGTATTTTTCTGTTAATTTCCCGACGATTCTACATCAATACCCAGCAGGTGATCTACTGCACACGGCCGAGGTTTGTGTTGGTCTTCCCTCTAACACAGTGGGTGCGTCCCAATAATATACTACTTCCCACATATCTAAAAGCATTGTATTGGTGGAGGCATGGGCTATAGGGAATTTCCACCACATTTCTTGTACCAGTCATTTACTTTTAAATCAGTGAAGGGAAGTGAATAAGTTCACGCTTTGGGAGGAAAGAGAGATAATTGGGAGGTAGCCAGTGTAGTGAATGGCCATGGAGGGTGACTTCATGTAACATCTATCCCATGTGTTCCCCTGTCTCTTTAGGACGAGTCCCGGATCAAGGCGACGGTGATGGAGGTGAAACCTGTGGACCACAAGGAGTACAGCAAGAGACTCATCATGAACATCAGGAAGATGGCTGCCGCCCAATAAGAACGCTCGCTTTGCCCCCTCGGCTACGTACAAGCTCCTCCCCCTGATCTGCAGCCATTTCAGATGGAGCCTAAAAGTGTCGCTCTTCTATACATAGTTTTATTTATTTTTATTTAGCTGTGTCCATGTTACTCTGTAACTTACGGAACTTTGAATATGTTAACTTTTCTATGCTAAATGTACTGGTAGTTTGTTTTTGTCTTCTTGGACCAACAAGTAATCTAGAGAGAGTGCTGCTGTGGCAGTATTATATCCCTCTGTGTTATGGGGATGTGTGGAGGGTGACTCTTCTGAAACTGCTGACATTTTGGGTGGTGGAAAAAATGGAACCAGGGAGGGATTTTGGAGAAGGAGGGAGGGATGGAGACTGAGATGGGACGGTCTTAACCACAGAAGTCATCGCTGTGTGGTCTGTCTTAAGTCGGCCAGCTGTTATTGCATGTGTGTGTTGTATAAGCAGAGGGGGGTCTGTACTGTAGCTAGCCCCCTCTCTTTCACACTCTGTCGCTCCCACCGTCACTATGCCTGGCCTGGAACCACCCATCCCTGATAAGAGCAGCTATTCCCCTCCCTCTCTCTCACTCACACACACAGAGCAGGCAGACTTGCGGGAGATGCTCTGTACTGTATTTATGTAGATACATGGTTTAACTTCTGTCGTTATTTTCAGTACCTCTTAAGTTAAATATTTTGAACAACAATAATACATGTCATCAGCATTTTTCTTTACATCTATTTGGTCAGTTGATTGCATAAAAATAAACCTGTTTGTGATCAAACACGATGTTCTGTTGACAGATATGAATAAAGGGCCCAGGTTAATGTGATGCGTTAGAATGCACTGCTGGAGTGTAGCCAGATAAATATAAGTAAATATGTCTCTGAGTGTAACCATGTTGTACAGCAGGCAGGTTAACCAGGTCCCATTTAAAGAGAAGTCAGTGGGGTGGGGGCCGTGGGGCAGGTCTGGAGCCTGGTTATCTTTGTTGCTGCATTTTAAAGGTTTTATTCAGTAGCTGGCTCCCAGTGCTCTCTGGATGCATCCCAAATAGCACATTATTCCCTTTACAGTGCTTTACTTGTGACCAGGGCCCATAAGGCTCTGGTCCAAAGTAGTGTACTATATAGGGAATAGGGTGCCATTTGGGACTCACAGCTATCTCCAGAGGTTGCACTCTGATGTGCCTCAGATGCCCTCCTGCAGTCTTGACTTCCATGTTGTATTAAAGCAGAACATCAATAAAGCTCTTCCCCATTTTTCTTCTGATAACCATCATGTTTCCGCTGAACGCTGCATCTTCGGCCCATCGTGTGTAGCTGAGATGGATTAAAGCTGTCTTCCCACTGTTAAAAATTGTATTTTTAGCTGTGCCTCATATTGCTCGAGCTTGTCTTCCCCCGTTCCTCCCCCCACCTCTCAAACTGACACCCTCTAATTCTTTCTATGGTGATTTTCCCGTAGGAAGACTTCCTATATAACACCGCTGTTGTCATTTGTTGGCTGGGCTGGCTGTTGTCTTTTGGCTCTGAAGATAACTAGTGTCAAAGATGAGCGGATCGGTTTGTGAATCCCCTCCGACTCCCGGCCTGTCAGTCACACATGTAACCATGGAAACAGCCTCTGGGCTCGGTGAGGGGTGAGCCAGTGATTGTCACTGAGCTCAAACACTTCATTCCGTGACGCACTCACACTCAGCTGAGAGGGAGAGGGAGGGACTCCAACTATTAACCCAATGCACATTTTGACTGCTTTAGGGAGTCAAGTCTATCACATTATAAATATAGTCCTTACTCACATCCTGCATGTAGACTACTAATTTAAAACATGTTGAACGAATAATTCACTTCATTCAAGCTTATCCTGAGGCGTCGTCACAAGATGCCAGCCGTTTACACCTAACTAGAGTATTTCCTTCCAATTTCCAATATGCCATGCAGACTTCCAATTAGATTGAAAATTAGATTTTAATGCACTTTTAGAATAGATTTTTACACTTGTTAGCATGACACATATTGGCCGACTCCCATTTAATTAAACTGAATTACATTTCTGTAATATTCAGAACTAGTTCCCACTGAACTATTACCTTGACAACAGATGGCCGTTACAGATGGGGCACTGGGGATTGGCAGGTGAAATCCACCCCCCTTGGATTTCTTCACATTTTGTGTTACAAAGTGGGATTCAAATGGATTTAATTAAAACATTTGGTCAATGATCTACACAAAATATTCTTTCAAAGTGGAAGAAAAAAAATCATTAAAAAAAATAGATTAATGAAAAGTTAAATACTAATATACCTTTATTAGATAAGTATTCACCCCCCTGAGTCATTACATTTTAGAAACACATTTGTCAGCGATTAGTGAGCTGTGAGTCTTCTTGGGTAAATCTAATTGTGCAATATTTATATTTACCAATTATTGTTTTTAAAGCTCTGTCAAGATGTTTGGGATTATGGCTAGACAGCAATAGTCAAGTCTTGCCATAGATTTTCAAGCAGATTTAAGTCAAAAGTGTAACTTGGCCACTCAGGAACATGCACTGTCTTGGTAAGGAACTCCAGTGTAGATTTGTCCTTGTGTTGTAGGTTATTGTAGTGCTGAAAGGTGAATTCCTCCCAGTGTCTGGTGTAAAGCAGATGGAAGCAGGTTTTCCTCTACGATTTTGCCTGTGCTTAGCGCCATCCAGTTTATTTTTATCCTGCAAAACTCCCCAGTCTTAGCCAATGTCAAGCATACCCATGCCATGATGAAGCCACCACCATGCTTTAAAATGAGGCAGTTACTCAGTGATGTTTTGTTGGATTTGCCCCAAACAAAAAGTGTATTCCTTTGCCATGTTCTTTTTGCAGTGTTACTTTAGCGCCTTTGTTTCACACAGGATGCATGCTTTGGAATATTTGTATTCTGTGTAATTGTATTCTTGTTTTCACTTTTAGGTCATTATTGTGGAGTCACTACAATGTTGTTGATCCATCCTCAGTTTTCTCCAATCATAGCCATTGAACTCTGAGCAGTTTCCTTCCTGTCCTGCAGCTCAGTTCAGAAGGACGACTGTATCTTTGATGTGGTTTAATACATCATCCACAGCATAATTATTAACTTGAACATACTTAAAGACATATTCAATGTCTGATTTGTTATGGTTACCCATCTACCAATCACTGCCCTTCTTTTTGAGGCTTTCGAAAAGCTCCCTGGTCTTTGTAGTTGAATCCGTGCTTGAAATTCAATACTTGACTGAGGGGCCTTACAGATGTTGTATGTATGGGGGACAGAGGAAGGGATAGTCATTCAAAAATCATGTGAACCTCTATTATTTCACACAGAATGAGTCTACTATGTGATTTGTTTAGCCAAATTTACTCATGAACTAATTTAGGTTTGCCTAAACAAAGGGGGTGAATACTTATGCAGCGACTATATGTTAGTCATTTAATTTGTATTTGTAAAAATGTCTAGAATTTTCATTTCACTTTGTCATTATGGAATATTTTGTGTACATCAATTACAAAAAAAATCACAATTAAATATATTTCAATCCGACTTTGTAAGGCAACAAAATGTGCAAAATCCTAGGGGGGTGAATACTTATGATACCCACTGTAGGTGGAGAAATCACAATAAGGTTGTCCTCAATGTGCTATACTGTAAATCAGTATTTAAATTGAATAAATTAATAAATAAAAACTATATTGAAGCCCATAGGAAGGAGTTAGATTGTCATCAGCATCGGACACATACAAGGACAATACAGACACGCAAGCATCAGACTTGGGATAAGAGGACATTCCCAGATCTGTCCCTGAAAGCAGATGTCTGAATAGTACAGTAGAGGATCTTCTTAATCTATATAAAATATGCTCCCAGATGCTACACTACTGTTAATGTACAGTGCATTCGGAAAGTATTCAGACCCCTTGACTTTTTCCACATTTTGTTACGATCACCTTATTCTAAAATGTATTAAATTGTTTTTTTCCCTAATCAATCTACACACAATACCCCAAAATGACAACGCAAAAACAGGTTTTTAGAAATGTTTGCTAATTTATAAAAATGAAAAACTGAAATATCACATTTACATAAGTATTCAGACCCTTTACTCAGTACTTTGTTGAAGCACCTTTGACAGCGATTACAGCCTCGAGTCTTCTTGGGTATGACACTACAAGCTTGGCACACCTGTATTTGGAGACTTTTCTCCCATTCTTCTCTGCAGATCCTCTCAAGCTCTGTCAGGTTGGATGGGGAGCATTGCTGCATAGCTGTTTTCAGGTCTCTCCAGAGATGTTCGATCGGGTTCAAGTCCGGGCTCTGGCTGGGCCACTCAAGGACATTCAGAGACTTGTCCCAAAGCCACTCCTGCGTTGTCTTGGCTGTGTGCTTAGGGTCGTTGTCCTGTTGGAAGGTGAACCTTCGCCCCAGTCTGAGGTCCTGAGCGCTCTGGAGCAGGTTTTCATCAAGGATCTCTCTGTACTTTGCTCTGTTCATCTTTGCCTCGATCCTGACTATGCAGCAACGCTCCACCATCATGCTTCACCGTAGGGATTGTGCCAGGTTTCCTCCAGACGTGACGCTTGGCATTCAGGCCAAAGAGTTCAATCTTCGTTTCATCAGGCCAGAGAATATTGTTTCTCATGGTCTGAGAGTCTTTAGGTGCCTTTTGGCAAACTCCAAGTGGGCTGTCAAGTGCCTTTTATTGAGGAGTGGCTTCCGTCTGGCCACTCTACCATAAAGGCCTGATTGGTGGAGTGCTGCAGAGATGGTTGTCCTTCTGGAAGGTTCTCCCATCTCCACAGAGGAACTCTAGAGCTCTGTCAGAGTGACCATTGGGTTCTTGGTCACCTCCCTGACCAAGGCCCTTCTCCCCCGATTGCTCAGTTTGGCCGGGCGGCCAGCTCTAGGAAGAGTCTTGGTGGTTCCAAACTTCTTCCATTTAAGAATGATGGAGGCCACTGTGTTCTTGGGGACCTTCAATGCTGCATAAATGTTTT